TCCTTGACAGCAAATTATCAAGTGGCAATCTGTCGCATTCTCGTACGGTTGTTCCAATTCCACGTTTCCCCTGGATGTAAAACTATAATCTAAGAACTGCTTGAAGTCTTTATAACCTGCTTGCTTTGTAGAATCTGAAGCTTGTGGTGTATGTATAGACGATTACTGTTGTAGAGCCTGCTGATGTGGTGAAGGCATATATACATAGAATGATCATTTTGCATTCCTCGTACATAAAAAGGAGAGAAGGACCTCACTACATGCTTCAAATAATACAATGTACCACCAGGATCCTGCTATCCACGACTTGCTCATTCTGTTTCGACGCATACCGATCCAGAAGGATGTGATCGCATTATGGCAACAGGCATTCATAATCACAACCGCTCCTGAATGCGGAAATAATGCACAGGAAGTACCTTTCTTTTTCTTTGATCTAGGGAGGACCGTCAAACTGCGCATAGTTTGAGAGTCACAAATTATTATCTTTGCAAACGTTTAAGTAGATCGGCTATAAGGTGTAGCTGCTTGACGGAAACGCTTTCTCGAAAGTGAAGCGTCGAGTGACAATAACCCTCTAGCTTGAACTAGATCTATGGCGGACCAGTCTCCCCAGGGCGACCTTTCATAGCTGATGGGCGGTCATATAGCGTTTTTGGATGGAAATATTCCTTGAACATGCCACGAGAGTCCCGCTATGTTAGCGCCTATTAGGTTCTAATGCTTCCTTGGACGTCGAGTTACCAAGTTGGTGAATCTTCAAATGTGTCTTGCATAAACTTTAAGAGTGCATCATTACTGCTTAAACATTCCATGCCATAGCTTTCTAAGCAGACATTTATGGCTCAGCTCGAAGTATATAAAACATTGTCCAAGGGTGATACGGAGACAGCAGATTCGTTCAACGCACTATGCCTTATCGATTATGTGGATGGAAGTAGAAGTCGAAATACGAAAATGTTATATCGATGCATCCTCGGAAACATCCGCGAATATTACAAAGTTAACCCCTGGAGTTGAAGACGGAAATCCGAGAAGTTTCTGTTTGCATTCGACATTGCTGTCATTTATGCGATTGCTGTCAAAGAAATATACACGGTGTTCCTTGATAAGGGACAGGTTACTATGAGTCGTAAGGTAGGACGGTATGCTGAATGGAGGAAGAATTTTGGGGGGCAAGTGCTGAGCAAGCGGCACCTGTGATTGAAACTTGGAAGTGGTACTTGTTGCCAAAAAGTTTATCTTCCCCCAAGTTTGCTTGATCAAGTCCGAGGTTTGTTGACCTCGATTATCTAAGTGAAGACGGAGCTGCTAGGCAGTCTCAAATAAGTTCTGTGTTTCTTTGCCAGTAGGTAATAATTTTACCTTCTTGAAATTCTCTCCTAAGACCCATTTGGTATCAACTTTAACTTCGTCCGACTGCATCTAATCCTTGTCCATGTTTTGATTAAAACTAAATCGAAGAGCGTACAGAAACTCCAAACTCTTTCCTTTCACTCGCATCACTTTTCCCGCTCACGACTTCTATTCTTTCGCCGACAGACGACAGATGAGACGAGTATCAGCATGAATGAGGGTTGGTGCGAATATCGAGGCTGAGAAGACTGCTCCCTCACTTGAACAATACCTACCTTCTGCGAGCCTGAAAGAAACAACCTGAAGTGAAGAACTGCATGTTCAAACTTGATTGATAAATCTCAATTGGTATATATGATAGTCAGAAACATATATATATTGGCATTGGTGCGTGGGGGTAGAGGGAGACACCAACATTTTATCTCAATTGTCGAAGATGTCATTACAATTTCATTATCTTATAAACTTACAGAATCGTATCATGGCAAATTCATGGGCGACACTTACACCCAGCTCACAGGCGCCTACTTACTCACCTATCAGTCATCATGGGGGCAAGAAGAATGCTACTGATACGATTTTGGCTTACTACATTGTAGATACTCCAAATACTCCGAACTCGTTTCTTCTACAGCATATACGTTGAGCAGCTTCAAAGGGGCTCTTTGCTATCAGCATCCAATGTGCTGTCAACTCGACTAAGGCGCCGTATGTGTCACGGTTCGGTAGAGCATCAATATAAGGGCTTTATTGACTAAGACAACTACGAAGAGGAAATTTAAAACAGTATGTTAGGGTAATCGACGAGAGGAAAACTCCAATGTTGCCGCAGGATAGGAAACTCCAATCCGACAGATGCGTATCCAATTACATCCTAGCTCTGACTTATAAGAATCCAGGATAGGCTACACAGCGAGTGACGATATCCGCCAAGCGCCTGCCTGGATAAGACAGGAACAAGACTCTCGCCTTCCAGAACTACAGCCCATGACGAATAAATATGGGGTCGATTAGACAGAGGCAGCAATGACAGATGGCAGGATGCATGAAAGATACAATCTACAGGCGAACAAAAGAATCACCATGCAAAAGCCGCACTCACAATAGTCGGGGCCTTCTACGATACGCAGACGGTGGTTCCTATGGGGGTGACGTGGGAATGAGAAAATAATGAAATGGTAGCAGTTCGTTTATTGACAGAAACTAACGACAACGGACTTCCATACACGAGCATGGAATATAGAGCACATATATATAGCTAGCTAGTTGAACAGAAAGATCTCCTAGTCTGATCTAATGACCGAATCACACAGAGCTTTGTTCACTCTAACCATCTACGGTCATGCAAGGCAGAAAGACATGATGCAAGCATACTTGCTGGAGGGTAGATCTAGAAAAGGCAAATTATATATGATATAATGATAAAAGGAAGTGTCCGAATTCGATTCCGAACGTCTCGCAATTGTCAAGTGAAACCCCGAGAAGTCGATAAACCGACGGACATCTAGAAGTATATATGAAGATGAAGACCCTATAGCTTTTCCACTAGCTACTACCAATTACCTTAGCTACCATATCAGGAATCCAGTCAAAGTGAAAGCGACTAACACTATCCCAACTTCTTAACTTCATGCTCTGTCCCATCAAACATTCACAATTGGGGGACTGTTCTTACCTTCCCAACAACGAGAACCAACTTTACTTTAAGGACGACAGTGACAGCACTTGAAAATTTGACAGCAATGCTTCAGTTCAACCAAACCACAACAAAATGAAACCTCTGCTCACAGAATGCAAAACTATTACATTCAATGACAGGCGCGGCGAGTCTTGTATGAGCAAGCTCACTCGAGCCAGCGACTACGACCACCCTTCCAGATCCATTACTCTATATCCAGACCAGCACATCGGCAGTGTACCTATATTATACATCAGCTAGATAAGTCGAAACTGAGAGAGATAGAGAGAAGAGAGGGAAGATCGTTTTTATTATTGCACAACACCTGAGCCTCAGACAGAATATAAGAGCAGGACAGCCACCACAGAAAACCAAAAAAAAAAAAAAAAAGTCAGTATAGAGCTCCAACGGTAGGTAGTTAGTTATTGAACACCTCACCGCCACGAACTTGTGACAGTATCATATACCCCTCGCACCTCTCTTTCCAAAGCCCCGCTGTTTCCCTCCCAGACAGACAGACAGACAGTCAGAAACGCATAAAACTACACCCGATGCCATCCATTCCAAGCTTGGAAACCCACAGAAGAAGTCGATAGCAACATCACAACATACTTTTCGTTCCAAGACAGACAAGACCATATGCTTACCCACTCCGATAGACATGCATACAGTAGCAGTGATAAATAGCGCTCAAGCTCAAGATCGGAAATTGAATGAGGATTCCCAGATGAAACATACATGACAGCCTGTCAGCATGCAAGAATTTGACAGCAAAGAAGTCTCAATCCCTGACAACAAGCTAAGTCATTCATCGCTACTGCAATGTAATGAAAAGCGGCTAGCTTGGAAATAATATGTCGGCGACATGTTTTATTGTCTTTGAGATGCCGTGCCATATTCTTTCCGAGGTTTAAGTTCAAACTCTTGACGTCGTTCGCAGAGGTCATCTCTGCTTGCTGAACACTTGCACTCGGTGCTGGTCCTAGTGACTACTTTTAGTCATCGAAACGTTTTTTAGGGATGGACTACTCTATCATGCGATTGTTGTCGTGGGCATATATAGCTCAACGCTCTATCATTCCTTCCTTCCTTCCTTCCAAAACTCGCAGATAATCTTCAAAATACTCGCATAGCTGGCGTTAACTAACGACCGACCACTTCCAACGGACACTGCTGACACTCAACAAAGAAGGGATGAAGTAAGAATGGAAGATCTCAAGATCTCAAAAGGATTTGTATTCAGCCAGATAGATGCATGCATGCGTATCCATCCACCCATCCACCCATGCTTCTGACCATGCCATGCCATCTCTTGTGTGCCCAATGCATTGATTCACCCCCAAAAGCAAAACATATCTTTTCATCTTCCCTTCATCCAATCCAATCCAATCAAAATGATATATATCCCGTACCATATCCATATCCGAATCCCATGCTCGCCATATATTCCTCCATAATACTCCATCATCAACAGTTAAAGGTATTAATGAACACGCGAGACGAAAGACATTTGCCTGCATGGGCAGGTAAAGACAAATCAAGGCAAGTAAAACAATCACAAATGGCCAAATAGCTTAAGCCAAGTCAGACCTATCTTTTTTGCTCGTGGGTTTTTGTCGGTGACGAGATGAGATGATGATTCTTCTCGTCCAGAGCCGATCGATTCGTAACATAACAATATTCATGAGGTAGCCATTTCCATATCCATATCCATATATCATCCATACAACTCCATTCTTTTTAAGACAGAGTGGAAGAGCACAAAAACTCCTGGCAATCCAAACCCTTGTGATAATCATGTAGAGAAGTCCGAAGTTTCGCAAACCGAAGAAGCCATTGAAAGATAAAAGTAAATTTTCCCAATCCAATCCATATGCCGTTTGACGCGCCTGTTAATGAGTATTTTTATTCGAGTGATCGAGATTCTCTTGCTCCAAGACATGTGAAACGAAGATCCAGGGCAAGTCTATGCGCCGTTGATGACGACCTCCGGGCAAGTCTTTTCAGCGATCTCCCCGATTGTCTTACCGGAGTTGCTGTCTGTGGGATCGTCGATTGTGCTCACGCTTGTGCTGGGGAGGCTACTGCTTTGAGGGCTGTTTTGTCCGTTTGTCAGCATTGGTGTTGGGGCGCTGGAGTTGATTTCCATCGGCATCGTATGATTGGGCCTAACAAGTGAAGATGGATTGATAAAAGGAGGCGGCCCAGTATAGATAAGCTTCTCGATGGCGGCGATCTGCTTGCCGTAGTTGTACTTCTTGAGCTGGACGAGCTGCGGCTTCATGTCTTCTACAAACGCATCACGCTCGGCACCCTTGAGTTGTGCTAGAAGTTTTTCTGCAAGAGCGTTAGCTATATACAGTGCATTTTATGCGTGAAAACTTACGGATCACATAGTTTCCGTATTGATCCTTCATCATGAGCTGTAGCGGACTAGTCCCATCACTGTGCATGGCAGTTAACTGAGCAACAATGGCTTTTCTTTGTTCATCCGTGCCGAACTGAATGCTTTTCTCAACCACGTTTGATGCGAACTTGTGTTTCGACAGGGTCAAGAGCTGCGCAGTGATAATCTTGATGATCTTTGCTCGATCTTCTGGTTTCCCATGTTGGATGACGTGCTGGGTAACATAGTTGCCGTATTGATCCGTGATGAGCATCGAAGCACATTGATGGAGCTCTTCTAGAATGGCGGCTTGATCATGAGGTTTGCAATATTCCAATATCCGCTGGATGACTCGGCAACCGTAAGGATGAGTGGCGAGAACATGTACTTGACCTCTGAAAGCTTCGATGACAAACTGAATATGCTCAGTGGGGACACGCTCGATGGCTTTCTGCACAACATGGTTGCCATTCTGATCTTTGACACATTTGAGAACATCGGCTTGAAGTTCATCGACGAGCTCAGCTTGCTGATCCGCAAGGACATGCTCTAAAGCCTAAACCGGAGTTAATAATTTTAAATGGCAGAGGAATTTGACTACCGACCTTCTGAACAACACGACATCCATACATCTGCATTGACAACTCCATGACATGGTTCTTCATTTGTTCTGCGAGTACGCGCTTCTGAACTTGGTTACCATGCTCAAACAACTTTTGAATCACATAGTTGCCGAATACATCGGTCATCAACTGGAGAGCATTGGGCTGAATCTCGCGGAAAATCTGCTCCTTCTCATCGCTGTTTGCAGTCTCCAACTTCTGCTGAATGAAACGTGATCCATGCTGGTCCCCACTGAACTCAACGACATGATTGTAAATGTCCTTTAGCTCATATCGTTTGTTTGATTTGGAGTTTGACCGGAATTCTTCCAAGAGAACACTTCGCACACCTACACCAACATCTTGCTCCTTCGGTCTTGTTGGCACGCCCTGCGTTGTTTGATATGGAGGCATTGGCATGTGATATCCGTACGGAACACTCCCTTGCCTGAAGTTTGGTGGAGGATAATCGTACGCATGAGGATATTGACCTTGGAATGGAGGGTATATGTATTGTTGTTGAGCGAACATGAGTCTTCGGTCGAGCTCGCTGGGACCCTGCGGGATTCGTTGTCCCCTCGAGACCGGCCGGTAAATCTGGTCTGACCCTGACGGCGGAGTTCCCGCTGCAGAGAAATATTTTGGGCTGTTGTAGCCACGGCGGTAGTCGCTATCTGCAGGAGAAACAGATCCTCTATCCCCAAAATGAGGTTTGAAATACCCTTGGTCAGGGAACGGCTGTGACGCATAGCGATCATAGGTCAGGCTTTTGGGTCCGTTCGGTACATCCCACATCGAATTTCCATTCTGGGAAAAGCTATGCGGTGCATATTTTGGGTTGTCTAGTGAATCTTCACCAAATGCAAGACCTCCAAGTCGATCACTCAAATCGGAATCATGCTGTGCCGGATCACTATATCGTGAGCTGTTACCTTGGGGAAAAGACACGGCCGGGCCGGAAAACGATGGACGCTGCGAGTGTATCGAATTGTTCGGAGTGTGTCCAATAGACCCAAAAGTGGTCCCATAAGGCAGGCTGCCTCCGTTCAGACCAGAATCGGACGACCTTGAAGGAGGCATGCTGCCATCCCTTGACGCACTGCCACTAATTTGCAGGTAATTTGGTTGGTTAAAATGATCTCCCTTGAAACTTCTGCCTGAATTATCATAGTCGTAGGAATCATCTGGGCCAGGGATATATTGACTCAAGTTCTCCTTGTCATCTGGGAAAACGAAGGATGGCTTTCGGCCGAACTTGAAGGGGCCAGAAGAAGGATCAAGGTTGCTCTTGGGAGTTACCCTAGGGAATGTTGTGGCTTGCCCAATCCGTGATTGCTGGTATTGGTTCTGCAGCTCGGATAGAGTTGTCTGAGAAGCTGTGGGAACACTACTCCGCACATGAGACGGGGACGTGCTTCCGCTATGAGAGGATTGAAGAGTAGTAGGGGATGTGGTATCTGGAGCGTTCCACGGTCCATTCGCCGGTGCCCCCCATGGATCGGCTTGGGATGAGGCTCTCAGGGCACTTGATCCACTGGGCACTGGAAAATCACTGTCGTCCTCTACCGCCGCTACCGCGACATTAGTACGGCCGAACTTCTTGTCATGACATGTAAACGCACCTCGAGAACGTGAAACCTCTCTCTTGGCGTTGGCAAATCCACTACCAATTGCAGTATTACCCCAGATGCCACTCGAGGCTTGCCAGGAGCCGCCATTGCCAAAGGCTTGGGTCAAAGAGGCGGGTTGTGAGTTCCTCTCATCGTTGTTAGGTCTGCCGGGAGCCGCACCAAAATCTCCTCCGAATCGGGACCGCGCCTTTTACAGAGTCAGCAACACGCACACTCAATTACCAGGAATCATGGGCACTCACAGCGTTCGTCATGGCGCCTGATGGTCTATTCGTAGTAGTAGAAGACATGGAGGTGCCTGTGCGGTGGAAAAAGTGTGTATATAGAATTAGGTAGGGCTTTGGAAGGGTTCGTATTATGTTGGAAGAGCCGATATGTGTGGCCGGTAATTGTTCTACCAAAGAACAGTCTTTCTACTAGGTATTTGACAGGTTGTAGATCTATATGACTATAAAGATGGTAGATGTCAGCATGGACGTGGTAAGGCTGATGCGGGCTAGATCAGACGGAAGGGTAGGGAAGAGAGCTGAGCGGCGCTGAGCCGAAGGAAGAAACGGAGGGAATCTCACCAAGGCAGACGGTCGGGGTATGTAACAAGCGACTATGCTGCAAGCTCATTTACAAGTGAAGACGGAAATGGTGAGCGGAAAAGGAAGAGTTCATGAGGTGTTGAGCATCGAAAGCGAGGGAGAGCGAGAGGTAGGGCAAAGCTCTTGGTCGCGCGACACAACCCCTTCGTTTGTCATATGCAACGTCAAGTAGGCGGACCTTGGAGAAGTAGAAGCAGGCACCCGCAGAGCAGAAGAAGCCAGATTTGATCCAAGGGCCGCAGGGTCGAAGATTTGAGTCCCTTGTGTGTTGTCTTGCGCTGGGAGAAACTTTGCGCCGGTGAAGCAAGGGGAGGGAGGGAGGACGAGGGCCAGGAACGTGAGTTTTGCTGAATTGGATCTGGAGATCGAATTCCAAACAGGGTTGTGCTAAATGACGTTCCACAGCCTTTTTTTCACCACCAGGGGCCGAGAGTATAGAGGGTGGAGAGGGTTGAACTTGGGACGGACGGGGCGAGAAGAGAAGTTTAAGTCGTTATCGTTGATTCGTATGCATGCCTGACTGTAAGTACGGCCTGTACTGTACATACATGGGCAGGCTGGAGATTGACTCTGTGAGGAGGAAGAGAAAGTATGAAAAGTGAAAGACGGAGAGTTTCTGAGACCAGACCAGCTTGTGGCTTTTTTCAGATAATGGCAGTAATATGGGGTCTGGTGGTTTTCCCCGTAGGTAGGGGATACATCCACATCCCTTGAAGGGACTACGGTTGGCTAGGCTAGGGAAGGCAAGAGTACGGAGTACTGGACTGGATCCCACTAAGGCCGCCCTAAGATGTTGCGAGTGAAAGGCTTGATTTGACAGGCTTGACAGGGAGCTGAGGGTGCTCCAAGCTGAGGTTGTGGTGGAGAAGAGAGGGACTTTCCCTTGCTGTTTTAAGGTCATCATGCTATTGCTAAGGTACAGAATTTCGAAATGTAACTGCGATGTAGGTATGAACCGGCCCTAGAAACAACGCGGCTGCCCAAAAGGCGGCCCCCCATTTCAGGGTAGGGTGCGTTGTTATTTTGAGACATGACAGCAGTAGAAAGGCCGCTAAAAGACGGCCTTTCCCCTGAAACACCTCGCTACCAGTCTAAGTTCTAAGCCTTAGGTACCTACCTACGATGGTAAAGCAGATGGGTAGGTAGGGTAGGTAGGAATGTGTGAGAATTATTGTCAATTTCATTGCATAGCTAGCTAGCTACCATACCTCGAGAGAATCAGGTCGTTAATAACAATAAAAATACTACACTATAACGCGCGGGAACGTCCCCAAATCTGTTGACACCATCGTCTCCACACAAGATCGCCCGCCGCCCATGCCATACCATGCCACCCACACACCAACACCCACCCTCTCACCATATCCAGAAAAGATCCGGCTTGTGCAACCTCAAAGCCTCATCCGCCTCACTACCTACAGTACAGTACCTCTACCTATACCTTACCACTCCACTACCTCAATTACCAAGTACCATTCCCCACCTCTGGAAAGTCGACAGAAGCAATCATTTCATTCTCATCATTCCAATTCTCCCACCTACCACATCTATCAGAAATCATGATCAGCAGATGCAGCCCTTCATTAAGCTTCTCACCTAGACCTGCTAATGCTGTCCGAGGTCATCGTCCTCGGAATCCAGCATACCGGCGTGAGACAATATCGACGCTGGATGGTGGCACGGATTCTGCATAACAATCACTTCAAACAGAGTATTCATCATTGCTTCACTCGCCCGCCAAGTCCAATCTTCAAGCCATTCGGGAGACTCGCACAGCAACGGACCATCAGATCCATAAGCAATCAACTTGGGCGCACGACCCGAGGTACCGGCGTGAAAGCCTTGATCCCACGAGTCGATGCCAAATCGTCTTTAACAGCGCATACCATACCTCCTGTAGTGGAATCCCATTGAATGGTAAACAAACTCTGGGTGGCTTCCAAGTGCCTCGCCTTCCTGCATATCTCGAGACCATGAACCCTCTTGGCAAAGAGCAGCTTCCAATACATCAATCATCCCAACAAGTACACCTGTATTCCACTCCAGATCTCCGTACTCCCAACCAGCAAATCTCGTACCAGTCAGTTGGTGTCGATGCCTCGTCCGCGATACAGGACTGAGGGCGCAGAAGTCGGATCTGATCCTTTATCTGCACCACCGTTGCGGTCTCGCTTGCGAGAGTCTGTGTAAAAAGCAAAGGCTATGGGTGATCGGACCATCATCCATTGACATGGCTTCACGAGAACCTGACAAGTGACAGTGATTTCGGGCGAGCCAGGACTTGCATAAACTAGGTACAGTAGGTACTGATGCGTCCTCGTCGTCTCTATCTCACCGCTGTTTCTGCCTTTCTTGGGATGTCGATCGAAGAATTCATTGTCGACAATATGCATTTACGCACTGAGTTGAGGCCTACCCATGTTACACTGCATTGGTGTGCCGGATTTAGTCGATATTGGCCAATAAGATGGCCGAGTATCACGTGTGTGTGTTTGGTCAGGGGATGTCGTAGCTAATAGCTATAAGATGCACCAATCAATCTTCTGACGAGGTCATTCGGGGCTATTGTGAGTGGGAAGTATACTGTTCCTCTTTTCCAGAACCCTACATAAAGTTTGTCTTACAATTCATGGTGAGTTGGTCTCAAACTAGAGCGGCGCTTAATCTTTGTCCCTGGTCTTGAATAACCAGCATGTTCTAGACCAAGATCTGTCACATTGATCTTCGAGCGGCAATGAGATCTAATGATATGGAGACGTCTTCTGGAAGAACTTTACCTCATATTACTGGCCAAAGGATTCTGTCATACGGAACAAGCCAGAGAGCGCCACAGACGTGTTACAAGTGAGAGAAGCAATGGGGATTGGAAAAAGAAAAAGAAAATACTGTTTATCATTAGCCTCAGAGAGTGAGCCGTTTCATAAGTGGCTCGGGTGGCTGAAACTAGTGACCAGCTCACTGCCAAATCCTCCGCACCTTGGAATGTTATTTGGAAATTGCCTTCTTCATCAAATCCTGTCTTCCAATCAGACTCGACAACAAAGAAGAAGCAAGATCAAGATGGTAACACGTGACACCCCTTAAACCCCTTAAGCCCCCTTTTTGGTATTTGTGAAAGACCCTCGAGCTCGACCTGCAATACTTGCCGCTGCCAATAGCATCAACCATCGACCGCTCGAAGGACACCATCAGTTTCCACGCCTTCAATCGACTGCCCAAAAAGCATCAAAATTCAATTATGAAGTTTTCATACGCTGACGCACCAATCTCCGGCTCAGGTTCATTCCATAGCATCATTCAAGTCAAACAATAAGCTATCCATCTGAACTTCCCCACACGAACGAAAGACTCGGCACACAGCCCGCACCTCATGATCCGAGCCTGACTCCGAATGCTTCAAAAGTGCGCTTGTGCCTCCCTCAGATTCGGTCTCAAGATCGTCCCTGATCTGCGACGGCATGAACTGATGTGGGAGCGAGAGCTTATTCTTATACTTAACCCGAATGGTGGTTTGCAGTTCATAGCTTATCTTTCAGATCAGATCAGATCTCCCGCGTGAGCAGCAAGTGGAACCGTTTGTGTCGCGTCTCGGCAGTGCTTGTCGTCCTCTACATTACATACAATACGAGCTGGTCTCCTGCCGATGTCCAATTTTGAGGATACATGAATAACTGTCGGCTGATGCATTATCTGATTGAAGCTGCCAGATGTCAAAGGTACAGGACTGTATGGATGATTCGATATCGATAGAAGATCCGCTACCAGAATCAATAATTAGACGCTCTGATGCCCCCCCCTCCCTGGTAGAGTTGAAGAAAGTGAAAGAGTGTGTGGCTTTGCAGAAGATGGAGTGAATTTCATCTCCGAGCTTTGCACAATCCACCGTTAGAGTGGGTCCACTTCGGCCATCTGATGTCCTCATTGGCCCTGGTCCCACTTTAGCCGCTTGTACCTGGCTCGGCTTGACTTGCTTGGGAGTAGCTCAGAAATGGCGCTGCTGGCCATCAGGAGAAGAAGAACGGTCGGTCGCCCTTGCGTCGTTTGTTCGTTCGTTTCTCGCAACAACCTCACAAAAGATCATCACGAACGTCGACGTCTCGCCCTCTCCTCCCCTCCTTCCTTCCCTCGGGATTCTTACACTCATTCCAGGTATCAGCTTCACTCTCTTAGCTGATCACCGTCCATTCCTTCCTTTATTTACTCCGGATCTCCCGCACCTCTCGCGAACCCGTACCTACTCTTGCTCCTTGCGTAAGTGCATTCTTCACGTCTTCCCACCTTTTTCTTCTTGTTGTTGTCTCTGCTGCGACGCGATGCCCTTGACATTGTATCGCGAATTGAACTGCAATGATGGACTCATGGCCGCCACTCAATCGCAGACTCCAAGCTGACCATCAATATCAGCCAATAGTCTCAATACAGCTCTTTGACGACCATCAATACGTGCTCAACACAGCAAGATTCGATTCCCATCACGTCCAGTTACCCGATAATACGAATACCAAAGTTCTTCACGACTCGTTCTCGTAAATAAATACCTACATTACAGATACCAATGGACTCGGTATCAAACATCATAGCCAGAGGCAGCGCCATACTCGCCGTCCGTGACGATTCCAACACTACCAGAATGTCCAACAGCATGATCGATCTCCTGATCGCTCTCATGGTCCTGGTATTCATTGCCCTTCTCCTAGTCGGAACCCTTTACATCGTGCGCAAGATTCGCCGAAACAGAGCCGTTGCACGGCAGCAACTCCCCACCTACAACGAACAACCCGTCAAAGGCCACCACCGTAGCCTGACAATCACCACAACCCCAATTGGCCGTGGCTCAAGTATCTACGTCTATGACGAGAAGTCAGCTATGCTAAACAGCCCCCCAACCACACCTACATCGGCCGTGCCTGAAATCCGCATCACGTTCCCCGATGAGCAGGACGAGTCCGGAAAGCGCAAGAGCGGCCGTGTGGTGGTGGTACGGGTTGGCGAGACCAGCGTTGGACTCGAACCCTTGAAGGAAGACGAGCAACTGCCTGCGTATGAGAAAGAGGGCGGAGAAAGATTCCAATCCATCGACATGGAACGGATCGGCGGCCTGAAAGAAAAGTCAACATGGTCATAGAGCATTTCAAAGCCACGACCAACGTTTTTCCTTTCTCATTAGGCGTCTCTTTTTTCTGCACAAAACTCCTCGTCGATCTCGCCATCACTCATAACTCACGGTTCCTCTTGTACATGACCAACAAACACTTTCGGGACGGTCCAAATCTTCTTCTTCAATTCGCTGTAACGACTTTGCAACCATCCGGCGGCATCTTGTTTATCAGTGCCCTTTTTACACATCCCTTTTGTGCCTCGCTCTGAGGACGGAGTTTATTTTGGTAACTACACTACAACAAACAGATAAATGATAGTTTCGTGTGGGTTGATTGAAGGAAACCTGCTCCGTACATTATATGCGCGCCAAAATACAGAAAGGGGAGGACCTTCTCATCTCCATCTCGACTCGAACTCACAGCAACAATTTGTCCATTGGTTGGCTTTCTTCATGGACGCTTGAAGGAAGGCTGGGTGTGAGGAGGGAGAACGGAAGAAAGGGTCCTTTTCTTATTACCTGTTGTACTTAATGTATTCTACGTAATTTTTCTAAACTCACTTGTTGATAACACGAATTGATGACTTCTTTTCTTGCATCATGGCATGATGTGATGTGACTGACCTAAGTGATTTTGTTTTTCATTACATTGACCTGCATGAAAGGAGTCGGAGATATAACAAGTAGCAAACTGGTCTCCGTGTCGACCGTGAGTACGAGTTTCAAGCTCCTACAAGCCTACAGATCATCATTCATCTAGAATGCAGTGCGTAGTATCCAAGATATCACACATTACATGATCGTTCAACTCCCAGCTTTGTAGACTCCTAACCATGACTTTCTTTCACTTCTACAGATACCGTAGGTAAGTACCGTACCCAAGGAAGAAGGCCAGTAAATAGTTAAAGCTAGTACGGTACAGTACAAGGGATCATCTACTATACGTATTCCACTCCATGCTCTTCCTATTGTACCTGCTATAATGTACTATACTATATTGTATGCATTTGGTTTACAAGTGTAAATAGATGAGGGATGCTAGTTCTTGCACCAGGATGTTTCTTATTTGATTATCTTTCAAAGATCTGCATCGGTGGGTGGGTGATTGGATGCCTGCCTGCTTGATTGATTGGAAATGGGTTTTGGTTTTTGAGATACGGGCTCGAGTATGTGGAGGAGGGATGGCGTGGGAAGATGGTAGGGAATATAGACATACATGGTTTGGTAGAGGTGACGGAAAGAGGATGCGGTAGTTGGAAGAGAACAAAGTCAGAGGGAAAGCTATCTGATGCCTTTCAGTCAAATTTTCAACAATTTATTGCTTGAATTGCTCATCTATCATACTAACTAGCGAGCTACACAGTCTATGTTCCACCGAGAAATTGCAAACCCCTTAACAGTCCATCGAAACCCCAAACTTCGGCAAAGAAGTCAGTGTTTCGAAAACACATAGATGGAGAAAAGCTAAGAGCAACCTAAGAGTCTATGAGTAAGCAACCGCCTAGAGTACCCACGACTCTCTATCTAATATCCCATGCATGTCTGTCCATCCATGTTCCCTGAAACAACGCAATTTTTTGTCAAGATAAAAAGAAAGAAAGGGAAAGAAAAGCCATCAAGATTACAAGAGTGAGCACGTTTTACCCTCTCCCAACCTCTTGAGTCCATTAAACGCCTAAGGGAACCTTTCTGAGAATGCTGCTTTGCCGAATTTCGATTCGATGTTCGATATCTTGTAAGGATCGATATTCGGACTTTCGACGACGGTTTTGTGACGTAAAAGTCACTCGGGTATAATCGGATCTCACCAACGCCGACTGCCTCCGAGAGGAGCAGCATTGGAAGAGGTAAAACCTCCTACCAACGACCTTGTTAGTTCCATCAGCTGATGAACGGGGGGAGGAAAGGATTCTGAACTTACCACCACCGCCACCACCTCGGCCGCCTCCACGTCCACCACGATATCCTCCTCCTCCTCCATAGCGACCGCCACCGCCTCCACCATATCTTGTCATCTCGGCAAGACGTGGGTCAATCTGCTGCTTAGCTTCAGTCAGAACGGAGACGAGATCACGGGCCTGCTTCTGGTCTGAATGATAGAGTTAGCTTGGTTACGTTCGAATGGTTAGGAAGGAACTTACTGTCAGTTGTGAACAGCGTAATTGCAGTACCATTGGCACCGGCACGACCAGTACGACCAATACGATGGATATAATCCTCCGAGTTGTTCGGGTAATCATAGTTGAACACATGAGTAATGTTACGAACATCTTCATTGATGGGTTAGCAAGAACAAGAAAGAGTATAGCAACGTTCCAGGCGGCTAGTGAAGAAGCTGCATTTGAATGCATCCAATACTCTCTCGGCATCTGACATGAACTGTCCATTGCGGGTAGTGCCAGGGCAGGTAAATCCACACATCCTGGTCCTCTTGTTTGGGGGTCTTGGAGACAGCTTGATCGAGTCAAGAATTGCTAATTCCACATCTTGTACCCGAAGAATCACTTCTTCAGTTTGGAATCACGAGGGTGGCAAAAACCATGCAGCACCCTACTTCCAAGACACCCTTGAATAGAGAACCGAAAGATACGAAAGAACCCGGGCATATACGCAATCTAGAGAGGGCCTGAGCATTGAGAGTAAAGCACTACTCGGTAGCCCACTGGGCGTTGCTGTGAAGGGGGAGGGGGGTGTTTTATTCATACCAATACCACGGGAAGCCACATCAGTGGCAACCATGATGGGACTCTTGCCAGTCTTAAACTCATTTAGGACCCAATCACGCTCGTTCTGTTGTTTGTCGCCGTGGATGGCTAGAAAGTGTTAGCATGCAAAACAGGGAAGAGAATGCACATATTAAACTTACAAAGCGCCGGCCATCCATCTTGTCGGAGGAAACGTGTGATATCGTCAGCAACACGCTTTGTACCAGTGAATATCAAAATCTTGTTATCCTTGTCTTCCATGATCTTCTCGAGGTGCTTGGTCATCTTGTCACGCTTTTCAAATTCAGAGACAACCTCGACAATTTGAGTGATTCTATGGTTAGCAGAGAGTTCCAGGGAACCGATGTTGACCTGGATGAAGTCGGTCAAGTAATCGGAGGCAAGAGCACGGACTTCCTTTGGCCATGTAGCAGACCACATGCAAGTTTGTCTGTCAGGGCGAATTTGGCCGAGAATCTTACGGATTTGTGGCTCGAAACCCATGTCCAACATACGATCAGCCTCGTCGAGTACGAGATAAGTGACACGACGAAGGTTAGTCTTTCCGGACTCTAGCATGTCAATAAGACGACCTGGAGTGGCAATGCACACTTCCACGCCCTTAGCGAGGTCGCGGATTTGGCCACCCTTAGGAACACCTCCGTAGACACAGGTGTTACGGATGCGGGAGGATTTGCCAAACTTGGTGATTTCTTGTTGAATCTGAACGGCCAATTCACGGGTAGGAGCGAGGACCAGAACAATAGGACCGTCGCCTTGAGCAAGAAGGGGTTGCGCATTGATGTGGACAATGGCTGGTAAACAGTAGGTCAAAGTCTTTCCGGATCCAGTCTCGGCAATACCGACAACATCGCGTCCCGACAGAGCCATGGGCCAACCTTGAGATTGAATGGCAGTTGGTGCTGGAAAGCCCTGGGCCTTCACTTCGCTCATAACATAAGGTGGGAAGCCAGCCTCGTCAAAGGTCTCGACTGGTCGTGGGACATCGTTGCCTTGGACGGCGATGGAGTGTTCCTTTCTGAATTTGAGGACATCGGCTTCTGAACGGTTCGTGACTTGAGGATCTTCCTTGTAAAATGATTTATCAAACTTTGGCATGGCATTTAGATCTTGACGACTTGTTAGCTTATGCGTTTGCAAATAAAATAGGCTTCGGTGATACAACTTACCCCAGCTTTGCTTTTGTAGACCAGCTCCAAGGTTTGACATGCGGTCTCCGCCTGCACCACCTCCAAACCCTCCACCACCACCGCCTCCGTATCCACCACCTCCTCCAGAGTAGCCGTTGACGCTTCCTCCGCCGCCACCGTAGCCACCGCCGCCACCTCCAGAGTATCCATTGCTTCCACCTCTGGATCTTCTATAATGTTAGTATATGGATCTTGCAGCACGAGGAAAAAAGGAAATAGAATGTTGTTGCCTTGGAAATGATGCGTCACCCGGGGCTCAAAGCTGAGCTGAGCGCCGGCTTTGTCGCATCACGATACGCAAGACAACGAGATGCGTTCGACTTCACAACAATATTTAGACCGTAGGTTTTCATACCCGTTGGAATAGCCACTGGAGTAGTTATCGCGGCTGCCATATGAATCGTACCCATTAGAGTATCCTCCTCCTCCTCCACCGCCACCGCGCGATCCACCATATCCACCACCTCCGTAAGACATGTTGCTGATTTGTTTGGGTCGAAAGAGCGGATTAAGGTGAGTGAAATCGTGATATTACAGTCGGAATGGTTGTACTGTGCAGAGAGTGTCTTGAATGGATGGGAGAGCACTGAGCAGATGTGTTTGCGATGGATTTTAGAAACTTGCGGGAAGGTGGGAAGGAAAAGTTCCTGCAGAAAACTTATCTTGTTGGAAAATCTTTTGGAACGAGCGATGCCGAATGCGGACTACCGTATCCACTAGAAAAAAGACCCTTGCGACGCCACCCTTCAGTGCCTCGAGAGTGCGTGAGGCGAGTTCGCAACATTAAATTAATCTACAACCAGAGCTTCATAATACATACTTCTTCCCCGAATATGGTTTACAAGCTGAGTTAAACTCTTTTGGGCGGAGAAGAAAGGATGGCAGGCAGGGTATTTGGTGAAATGACAAGCGTAGAGACGAAAGCAAGTAGAATCTACATGCAAGGATGGTTTCACCATATTCGAATCCTAAAAAAGCTATCTAGGGACCAAAAGGCTGGTTTGAATATATTTAAAGCTCAAGCCAGCCCAGCTCGTCGGCAGTTTTGCAACGACCGAGAAAATAATATTGCTGTCTACATTGCTGCAATCTTGTATCCGCCATTTCTTGAATTTCTCATACCAAGTTGTAACATCACTGCCCATAAAACTGCTATGTTTGGCTTCCTCCCATATCCCAAAAACCAGTCTCCATCTGTTTAGGAATTAGCAAATACATAGGTCCTCTTGGACTAAACCGGAACACTTACTCTGGTTGCATGAATAAAGATCTTCGCCAGCTCTTCAATACGGCTTGGTGATTGTAAGACGACATGTCTCTCAAGGAGGGCTTCTACAGTCAGTCTCCAGGTTGTCTGATGTAGTAGGGAAACTCACCAGATCCTATTTGCACGGCCTCCGAATAGTCATCCGCAACGTAGTTCTCAATCCATTGCCAATATATGTTCCCCTCGCGTTTTGTCTTTGGGTCCGCGTGAAGACGTTTCGCAATTTCACCGTAGCCGATCAAGCAAGGTGCCATGGAAACTTGCAGAGCAAGCCAATCTTCGGCTTGTCCGATATCGAGGACGTATCTGGTTCTGCAATTAGCTGGATCCCCCATCAGGTCTGAATAGTCTCTACCTTGTGTATGCTGTGCATGCTGCAATTCGTTGTTAACGGCGCCTATGGCTCTAAGGTTAGGCATACCTTGGCTCTCCTCCGTTGCCTCAATATCTTTCTTCGTCATACCGAAACCTTCGCAGTATTCAATGTGTAATGACATCTCGTGATGGATATGGCTCACGATTTTTGCAGCCTAGATTCTTTCAGCATTGATCCGGGGAAGGTGATGTGTCGCATCTCACAGCCGCAATATCTTCCATCGTTTTGGCTTTGTACCCAGCCAGAGCATTGGCTCTTGCGAATTGAACCTGAAATGATTAGCTAAATTCTATATATTTCTCGGGGAATCACGGACCAGGTACAAATAGTCTTGGACCAGATAATATTTGAATGAGTCGACTGGTAAGCTTCCGTCGGCAAGACTAGCTACGAAGTCATGATGGGTGTGTTCTCTCCAGGCTTTTTTGATATCAGTTCTGTCTAGGAGATATTCCAAGAAGCGACCTCTGAAATCATGGTTAAAACCTAGTTAGGAAGAAGGGACATTCACTTACGGTGCAAATGGTAGAGTGTAGGTTGAGTGAAAGTGGTTTATTGGACCATTTCCATGGCCAAGGTCTGTGGCGGTTCTGATTCCAGCCTCGACATATCTACAAGCCCCCTTCACAGCTTGGGCCATTTCCTGGCCACTTCCTAAGTTTGAAGCAATGGCAGCTGCTGTCGTTAGACGATAATTTTATTAAAAGGTAGTTTACTCACATGCCATCGAGCACCCAGTACCATGCGTGTTCTTGGAATTTTGGTATGCAGTTTCTATTCTTGTTACTTCTCCTTCTCCATACAATATATCGATCATAAGCTCTCGCTCCTCGTCAGTTTTGGCCACGGTGCCATCTTTCTTGAATGGTAAATGCCCTCCCTTGACTAGGACGTATTTAGGTCCCAGAGATTGCACAGACTTGGCAATTTCTATCAAATCAGCGACATTCTTGGGATCTTCAGCTGGTTGGCCAGCATCGGAAAGGAGCAGCTTCGCTTCGGGGACATTGGGCGTCAGAATGGTTGCGTGTGGAAGAAGAAGAGTCCGCAGTCCACGGACTGCTTTCGGTGGTAGTAATTGGAAACCACTGGTTGAGACCATGACCTGAATCCGTCAGTTACTTTCGTTTCTTTTTTGAAGTAACGCGTACAGGGTCAATGACCAGAATCTTCACATCATGTTTTTGAAGACATTTTGCTACAACTTCTATAGTCTCCACAGAAGCCAACATCCCTTTGAAGATTAGATTAGTGCACTTCTCATCTCCAAAGAATTATAGATGGGGCAAAAATAAAATATTTTTACCAGTCTTTACCACATCGACACCAATGTCACTGATACATGCGTCAATGAGTTTGCCCACAAAATCTGGCGGGGTGTGATGAATATCCACAACCCCAAGAGTATTCTGGGCTGTCAAGGCTGTAGTTGCAGTCATAGCATAACATCCATGAGCTGCGATCACCTTTTGATCTGCTTCAAGACCCCTGAAAAGTTGAACGTGCCATGTCAGCTGGCGTACTCTTCAAAGTAGGAAAGTAGGAGCAGAGTCTTTATTTGACTTTCGGAGTAACTCACGCCCCCCCAGAACTGTCTGAACCAGCGATTACAAGAATACGTCCTTTCCCCATTGTACAGTGAAGTTGATAACAGTATGATGAAATATATAAAACCCTGCTCGGGAAAACCCCAGGTCAGGCCATTGGCTGATTATGTCAGCAACTTTCATCCACCCTGTTGCACCTAGTACACCCAACACCATGTGCACAGGACTTGGTGCACGCCCCCATTTCAATTCTAACAACACCAAAACATATTATACTACACCACACTAACTGATGGGTCGCATGGCTGGACAGCTCGGGGGGCTCGTGGGTATATGCGCTGTGGCTGTTGTTGCATGAATTGCATGACTCTCTAATAAGCCTCTTTTGATTACAACAGCACTCAACTTTCATCAGAAGACAGCATATTCCACTCAAGATATCCAGAGCTGTTCCTCAACTGGTATCTGTTCAATGGCGACGATATCCACCAATAGATCCTTGTGGGAGCAGTTGCCCACCGAGTTATGGGGCATGGTTTTTGCTTTCCTCACCCAAAGCGACCATCTCAACCTGAGCACCGTTTCTAAGAATATTCATAGGGTTGTCGAGCCAGTCTTGTATTCCGAGTTCAATTGGATCCCGGGGACTGATGGGAAATCCCCCCCACCGCCATCAATCTCTAACTTGGAGGGTGTCGATGTTGCGGAATACACAAGATCCAGGCGAAAAGAAACGGCATTGGACTCCAGGAAAATACGGCCCTCCTCCATATCTTCTTCTTCGAACCCTCTTGCATCGGCCGATACTCGCTCACTACTTCAGACATGCGAAACTACTGGCCGCAATGCCCTGCCATGGATTGTTCTACAGTGCCCATGAAGCACGTGAAGGTGGTCTGAGCTATCAAGCAAACGGTATATGCGGCAGTCTTATTGCGTGCATGGATCACGTCTCGAAGAAGAACTGGTTCGAAGGTTTGGCCAAAGGGACTGTAGATGTGGCGGTTGCCCTGCTACTCTCAAGAATGCACCAGCTTACGACAATCGAAATAAGAGTTCGCTGTGGTCTGTCGCCAGAAGCACGATCTTTGAAGCACTCACGCTCCCCCAATATTTTATGCAAACCGCGACAATTAGGTCAGTCGTTATTTCTGTCGACTTTGATGAAGATGGCAATCTGAGTTTCAATCCTTGGGAGGTAAATATGTTCGATATTGCCGCCCAAGCTATCTGGACTACTCAGCATCCCCCGAGTCGAGTCACTATCTATACCTTGCTTTGCCCCGTCACCTTACCTCTGGAGATATTATAAACCCTATGCCTGGCATCTCAAACAACTTCGCCTCAAACATGGTAGTCTCCGTGAATACCACTTACGCAGCATGCTGAGTCAAACACCAAACCTCCAGGAGCTTGACTGTGACCTGGTCTACGACTGCCGATTAGATCAATTCTTGGACTGCCAAATTCTCCAAGCTGCTCTGAGACAAGTCTCCGGGTCTTTGCAGAGGGTAATAATAGATATCGAAGTTCGCTACAATGACGGCTGGGATGTTGTCAATACCATGGGATCAATGAGACATTTCAAAAAGCTGAAGTATTACCCTATTCCAATGGTATCAACAGCACTTGTGTTAACACCGCTCTTCTAGACATCTTGAAATTCCGCTGATAACACTCATGCCGGACGACCCTAGCGTCTTGGATCGGATCCTACCAGACCAGCTGGAAAGCTTAATCATCTATCCCGACCCTTATAACCCAAACTTGGACAGACACTGTCATGCCGTGAGACAGGTGAAGAGATTCTACCAGAAAAGGCCATGGTTGAGACCAAAGCCCAAGACTTCGTGGATCTAGGCTTAGGAAATAAATAGGCAACGGATCGCTCTATTGGCATGGCTGGACACTAAGGTCTTGGGTTTATAAAACTGAAAGTTGATCTGAAAATGCATGTTGTCTCAACCATGAGCATAAGATGGGCGATTCAAGCCTACCTGGCAAGTCTCGCGAGTTCTCTTCACATTCTACTCGTTAATGATTTCGACATCGAACGTCTAATTTGCGTGCTGCCTCGCGAATCCACCCTCCGAACAAGCTTTACTTGTTCGGCATTGCATTTATACATTCCATTTAAAATGATTCTGGCTTCCGCGGCATCTTTGGGTTTGAAGAGAAGAGCCTTATCTGATTTACCACTAATACAATACTCAATCCACCAGAAAATCTGTCTGTCCCCTCCTCCCTCAGGCTTTTAAGTCGAGAGTCAGGAGCCTTTGAAACAACACTAGCATATCTAGAGAGCATTCGAAATGGCAATTGGTGAAAAAAAGCGTCCAACAACGACGATCGCATCATCTATCAAATACTCCAAGAACCCCATACTCAGGCAAACTAGCTTTCCTCTCACAAACCCCCACCCCACTTGGAGCAATAGCATCTCTCACAGCCGGGCTTCTCGCTGGCGGTGGGACTACCACGTTCAAGCCATCAGCTGAAGAATAGGGGATTGTTTTCGTATTTCTACTGTCTAAAGACGTTGTTTTGATCTGTGGGAGACTGGGGTATCAATTGCACGGTCTCATGATATGTCCCCAAAGACATTCTGCCTAAAGCGCACGTTTTGATCGCTTGACCTCATGCCATAGATGGGATGCTTTCTTTGCTGAAGTATGAGCTTTCCCATCGGTAAAAGGACTTGCTATCTACCGAGGACGCGGATGTAAAGGGACCGGGGAAGATAAGGACCCTGTTTGAAGGAAGCCTGGAGAAAATAACTCGCCATCGCAATCAATATCGAGACTGGAACAACAAATCTACCGCTTTTTATTTTTGCGCTCTGGGTATGTATGGCCCCTAGAGTTACATATATGCTTCTTCAGGCCAATCATCTCAATCATCTTTTCATATTATCTTTTCCCTCGTAAGTTCCCTCATCCCTCACTGCATGTAAGAAACCAGAACGGCCTTCGCCTCTGGTGACAGCCGTTCATTCACATATCCTCCGATTGCGCCTCCGTGTCGCGCATCTGCGGCCTTTAGGTATGAACCGACCCAAGGCTTCACATTCGTCACATCCGGACACTCATCCTTAGGCTGCTTCTTGCAGGTATTCAAGGGCGTAAAGCCCACGCCGAAGCTTAGGTCGTCGACATCTACTTCGACGACTGCATCGTCGGCGGCGACTGGCATCGGAGGGTTTTCAAGCAGCTTTAGAAGAGCTTCACAGGTCTTGCTCCAGCCTTTCAGGTACTTGACCGCGAAGGCCTGCGAATCCGTCAAGGTCTTGGTAAGAGACACAACAGCGAGTTTGCGGTCGGTAGGACGGGCAAGCTGTTGGGTCGTGGGGAGAATGATTGTTAGGTAGATGGGAACGAAAACGCCGTCTTGGACGCTATCACAGTTTTTGATGAAGAAGTCAGCGCCGAGGCCAGACTGATCGCGAGAGGAGATGAGATGATAGAAGCGGACAAATCGCTGCTTGAACTTCTCGGGTGGGTTGCTGTTAAGTCGTGTGAATATGAGGGTGAGAATCGTAGGGAAATATTGCTGGATGACGTTGCTGTAGGGGTACATTAGTGAATTTTTATGAATTTTGGAGCACAGAACTTACGCATCACACGAAATAAGCACAGCTTCCAGGACATCGAAGCTATATATTTCCGAAGACTTCTTCGACAAAAGCTTCTGGAAGATGCCCAAGATCGGCTCAACTTGATTATTCGCAACAATCTCGGCGGCACTTCTGGGGATGATAGACGTCAACAATCGTGCAAGTGCTGGTACATTGCCTCTCGACTCCCATAAAGCTGGCATCAGAATCGGAGTGACCAGCGCCTTGTAGTAGTCAGAGAGCGGACCATGGGGGCGTGCCTCTAGCAGGGCGGCGAACAGCTGGAAGACGTATGGCATGAATTCTAAAGATTGATCAGCATGGAACAAAAGCTCTGTAATTTCTCAGTTCTACCTTGAACGTCGTTCTGTAAGACTCCTGCAAATGGTGGGTATAGGTCATTTTCAAGCTTTTCTGGTTGTGCCGAAGCAGAGTATCTGACCAGCGCACCCATCGCCTCAAAATGATAATAGTAGAAGCGTGGATTACTTGGATTCTTGCCGATAATATCCGTGATATGAATTAAGTGTTGTAGAACAATGTCCGTAAGCGGGATCACTCCATCCTTGATCACAATCAAGACTCTCATAACGCAGCGCATCAAGAATTCGTTTTCTTGGATCTTCTCTGGAGCCGGGTCTTTCTCTACGAGTTGGAATAAATGCTCCAAAAGGTCCTTCGAGAAAGGGGCCACATCTTCCTTGCCAAAGATATGTTCCCCGGCATCGTTGGTGAGGAACAGAACTCGCTCTACTGCAATCGACGCGTAGGTGTAGACGACGTAGTTTGAAGATGCCAAATTCTTGACCAATGGTGGGAAAGCTGCGCTCCACTGTTCCTTGGTCAATTGACTCCGGAAAGTGTAAAGGTATTTGATGGCATCAACTTTGATGATTGGCTCGACTCCAGTATCGGCAACAAGATCACCTGCAATATTATTCTGAAAGAATTCAACTACACTGAGAAGAGAATTTGTGGTCTTGACTCCGTGAGTAGTCGTGATGACACCTTTCGCAGCGATGGCTGAGAAGAGGTAAACCGCAGTATCCTTAGACTTCCATTCGCCCGCGTCTTTCTTGAAAGCCTCCAAGTAGTGGGTGATGTAGCGTCCAACAACCTCGGTGACCAAGCTTTCAAACTTATCCAAAAGCTTTCGCAGAAAGTCTGTCGCCGCTCGTCGTCGAGTATCAGCATCAGAGCCTTCAAGGTCCCTCCGAATATATTCGATAGGCTCATCCTCGAATTGCTCAACATCTGATTCCCGTAGGCTGACATTAGGAAGAATGACCTTCTCCACCACCTGCCCCAGAATTTCTTGGTTGTTGAAGTTTTCAGCGTGTTGTGGAATGCTTGCCACAGCCGTCAAAAATTGTAGTGCTTTACTGACTAAAATGTCGAATTTTGTCTCCGGGCCAATTGTTGTCAACAAACTCCACGAGCTCATGATAAATGGCTTGCACAGTTCTCCAAATGCATCCTCGTATTTCTGCATGTACAGTGTCATAGCCTCGCAGATACCAGCCTTGACGAACTCCAAGGGTCCAGATTCAGATTCATCGTCTGTCGCGAGCAAAGGATTTTCGTATGTAAGGTATTTGTGGAGGAGAGATGTAACGCTGGGTAGATTTTCTTCGAAGATTGGTGGGAGATCCTGGGACGAAAGATCGTAGAAAAGCTTCACTAGCAGGTTCATAACTTCAACATATTGCTTCAGCACTTCCTTGTTGTTCTTGTTGGCTTCAATCTGCTGATCGGTAGTCTGTGTAGAAAATCAGTTCCCAGCCACCATGTAGGATAAATACAGGACATACTTCGAGCAATTGTACGAATGGTTGTCCGAATTTCGACAGCACATGGTTGATCTCTGTATATAAACCATCAGATGCAAACAGAGGTCGCCATCGCTTAAAAATAGAGTGTGCCACTTCCAAAACACCAATATTGACCTTGGGATTGTCAGGTGTCAGGCGCGACACCAAGTCCTATATGCAATCAGCATAAATAACAATATTGTAAGGTGTTTTTTGGAGGGACTAACATCAACCAACGTATCCCAACGTTCCCAGAAATCAGAGTCGGCGATTACGCTGATCGATTCTCCAAGTTGGGATTGGATTGAGGGGGGCACCGAGATCATCAAACCAATAAGCTCCTTCTTGATTGTTACGACCTCATTCTCTGCCAGTTTGTAGGATCCATCTTCGTCCTAGATGCTCAACTCAGTATATGTCCAATCTTCGAAGCCTGAGAGCAGCGCTACCCACCACCCAGTTGAATTTGATAAAATTCTTGAAGCACAAGGCTCCAGAAAGTCTAGTGTTCCGAGGAAGCGATTCGGAGGCGACAATATTCAAGAGGAGGAGGGAAAAACCTGGCTTCTTCTCTTCCTCCAAGAGGGCAGCCTCAGCTACAGATAGTTAGCGGGGAAAGTCAACAAACGGGGAAGCTGGCGAGCTTGCCTTGCTTATGCTGCTGAGGGTCTAAAGTGGCCTGGAGCAGCTGGGCAACAGTCTGCAAATCAGAAGCCATGTTGCAGCAGAGGAGGTGGTCTTGAGTTGGGAAAAAGAAGGTTGAGCAAGCGGTGATGATCCTATTCTATTGTTCTATTTGATACCTAAACAAAAACATTTCAGCCTCACTCAGTCGCAAGGCAGCGCCACAGCGTGAAGCCCGCTAGAATTCTGCCACCCCCCACCGCTCGGAGACCCGCACCGTCACTTCTGTTTCAGGGCATAAGGATAAGTAAGGTAAGGTAAGGTGTAAGGATAACGCAAGCAAGGCTAAGTGGGTTAAAGTTACCTAAGAAAGGTAAGAAGGAAACATACTTTGGACCGGGAGTACTGTATACATGATGATGATTTTGTTATACTTCCCGCTGCATAATGTATAACGTAAGGTTATACTTTTACCAATTGTTTACCAGAACTTTACCTCCTACTCCGTACCCTTCCCTTCCACTCAGGTTAGAAAACGTGGGACCGACTATACAGTAAGCGCGATAAACTCTGTCGATTTTTGTTAGCTTATCGCAGAACTTTTTATTATCTGCGTAGCGCAGGGCAGGCAGGCCGGAAGCAGGGGCAGGGTGGGTAGCTCCGAATCGTATTTGTATGCAAATCATCCATCCCGTCTGCTTCCCACCCACCTGACTTGTGACTTGATCTGGATCAATGTCTTCCGTGTCCTCACGCCCTCTTCAAACTCTGCCCCTTTCGCAATAAATATCCAGCTCTCCGATCCCGATGACAAATAATACCTATTATCCCGTCTCTTCCTACTGCTCGAGTACCCGCACACCAATTCTGCCTATGGACCTGAGAGCTTTCCTGGGCACCTAGTTATTCATCTCGTGGCGGGCTGATCTACATGCACTGCGGACTGCTATGAGCTGCGGAAGCTGCACTTGTTCCTCGCACTCGTGCCCGCATAGGATCTGATGTAGGTTCTGTGTTTCTCGGTGCCCTCCCTGCTGCCATGTTCTTTGGGTTTAAGGTTCTGGGCAATGCCAGCCCCATTTGAATCTGAATCTGAATCTGCATTTACAGGGCGAAGTGCCGTCAACGCCATGCGCCTCTTCCGCTCATAGTTTGCAATAAAAGAATAGAACTATAAAGCTAATGCTCCGTCGTTTCCAGTGGCCTCTTTCACCAGCAAACCCCTCGATCTTTTCCAACCGTTCTCCCCGCGCGAATCGAGCTTCTATGCCTCCGACCTCCGGAGACGCCCAGACTCCTGAGCCCAAAAGCACAAATGGACTTGTCAGTGTCTTCAAGAGTTTGACTGGCGGAAAACAATCCCGCAGTCCCAGTTCGCACACTCCCGCTCTGATAGCTCCTCGACTCAATGGCTTGAGCAGTTCCCCGCCTACAAACTTTGGAGGTCCTCCGAACTATGAAGAGTTATATGAACAGTTGAAGATCGGGAATCCTCTTCCAGATCGACTTGCGGCAGCAGAGGCGATACGCCATGCTGTTCAAGACTTTCCTCTGAGCGGTGTAGGTTCCCCCATGATTTGTGTTTTCGAAGATACTAACAAACTGCAGATAACAAGCATATTCAAAGAAGGGAAGGATCTCATCGAACCGACGAAAGCACCAGAAGCTCGAAATATTGGGTTTCAGCTTCTCACTGCATGCGTTCAAAATACATCCTCGACTGATCCGGAGCGATTAGCTTACTTCCAAGTCCTCACTGCCCCAGCGAACCCCGAAGACTTTCACCTACAACTTGCATCTTTGGTGGAATTGGCGAAACACGGCAAAGATTTGTCGGGCTTCCACTACCATACAATACCACTCCTGACAGCTTGGCTACGAGAATGCTTCAACGCTACCGCGTTGGCCCGTCGCTCATTACCTCGAAACAAAGCGAAAAGTAAAGCTCCGCTTGGCGAGGAATCCAACCTATCTTTGCTCTTTGCATTCATTGTGGATGTCATAAAATTCAGCTTCAACGTTTCGAGCGATGAGACTGCCGGGGACCTTATTGATGTGGTTCTCTACATATGCCTACAAACGCCGGTAGCGACTGATTTGAGAGCTTGTATCAATGTCATTGATACAATCGTCACCTATGGGGAGATTCCAAAGAACAAACTTGTTGACTGCGTCAAAGTTTTGTGTGCTATTCATTGCCTGGTGGAAGCTGTGGAACAAGAAGCATGGCGCTCGATCAGGACCCTCTGCCGCTCGCATAATGGCCAGACAACTGTTAGGATTCTTCTAAATATACTTCGCGATCCACCAGCAACTGGAGGTCCTGGCAAGCATGCTATTCGTGAAATCCGGGGAGCTTTGTCGGTTTTAGAAAAGTTGTTCACGAAGAGCAGTGAAAAGGGATATCCCCTGGTACCCTTCACACTCCTAGTACACGCTCTCAACAAAGTCGTGTCAATAAGACACACCAAAGTTGAGGCGGATGCATTGAAACTCATCCTATCTTTGTTCGGTGACGAAGGCGACGAAGTCCCAGACAATGTGATGGAAGAGGATTGGGCTCTGATGTTTGATGTAGTGGTGAAATGCTCGCGACGAGCGTTGGAGACATCTGACGGTAGCCCAGTTGCTACTAGGTCTCGAATGATAAGCCCCATGGGCCAGGAAGAGATAAGCGATCGAAATTTGGTGACTACTCTGGGGCAAACACTCTACAGTCTCATCGTTCGGGTAGAGCAACTCCTAGTCAGGTTCAAGGGCAGCGACTTCTACCAGCGCGAAGACTGCATGAACTTCTTCGTCCAAGTTCATGCTCACCTACCTGAGTCCTGTGCCGAACTGGTCATTGATTACTTCATGGACTATAGGTTATGCTACCCTACAGATCTAGATTGGAAGAGAAATATTAGGACAATCCTCGAGGCCTTCTTCGATGATCGCTCCCAGCCAACACCTATTCGACTCCACGCGATCGAAGCTGTCACGGACGTCTATCAGGTCGTGGAAATGATGGATGATCAGGAAGACCCTAATCTCATACCTGATTTTGTTTCGGCACTGCTGGATGACACGGGCGACGAGAAGGATATTGCAGTGTTACAGGAGCTAGTTGCCTTCGCCGTATCCGTTGCTGAAAAGGCTGAACGTCCCCTGTTCGACAAGGTCATCTATGCTATTCGTGGGAGCGTCACAAGTGATCGTCTTCAATCCCCGCTTGGATCTCCACCCGCATCTCGACACGGCTTAAGTAGGCCTGTATCTTCAGCTGTGCCCAATCCTAATTTGGTCCAGACTCCATCAAATGTTGTCACGAAAGGCTTCATTCAAATTTTCATGAGAACCATGGATAAATCCACCTTCAAAGCTCTTCGGATGTTCGAGGAAATACTCTCTATCGCCAAGTCTCCTGACTGCGAGACAGATGCGCGTATATCAGCCATGAAGATGCTTTTCCGCTTACGAGCAGACTGGGCGAATAGAGTCTTTTTAATTCCCCAGACTGAATCTGAGGGCTTGGCAGCATCTTTGTATCGAACAACAGGTTCATTAGCCAGAAAGCACGCTGCTGACGAAGCAGCACAGCAGCAGCGCTTGTCTAGAAATGAAGATGCTATCTCTCGTCTATCGCGGAGTACTTCCTTTAGTCAAGGACATTCTCAACCTAGACAGCCTGTCCGATTGGGAAGTGGTGCTAGCAGGACTCTCCAAAGAAATCACCAAATGTGGATGTATCCAGACCCAGAAGCCCTCCCAGAAAGTCCCTCTGACAACTTAAGCTCGCGGCTGATTTCCATCGCCAACGATGAAGATGATCATAAGGATGATGAAGCGAATGAGAAGGTTCTAGAGGATGGTGGTACTGGTGAAGGATCCGAACCCGAAAAAGAGCAAATTGAAACCAGCTCACCCCTGAAGCACCAGGCGACGCTAAATATTGGAATGTACGTTGAGACTGTGACTAGACTTCTGGAGAATCAGTGCGACTGGGAGGTCTATAGCTTCATTCTAGTTCACCTGCCCTCTCAGTTGACAAACCAAGCTCTCTTCAGAAGTCAGAGTGCGATTAAGAAGATCAAGGAATTGAGGAAGGTGCTATGTGATCTTCTCAAGAATGATAGCTTTCAAGAGCCGCCGGGCTCATCAGGTCTTCGTAAAGCCGACGTGGCAATCTGCCTCTTCCAGGTATTGAACATGGTCATGGGCTATCACCACCATTTTTTCAAGAATGACCAAGATGAAATTGTTCGAACGTTTGTGCTAGGAATAGGATCAAATTGGGAGCGAACTGCCAAATGTTGCATCCACGCTCTCTCCATATGTTGTCATGAGATGCCTGGATCGACAAGCAAGTCACTGATGACCATTCTCCAAAAGATGTCAACAATCATCACGCAGTCTCAGGTTGCTGTTCACATTCTTGAGTTTCTGGCCTGTCTTGCTAGGCTGCCCGACCTTTATGTCAATTTCAGAGAAGAAGAGTACCGAACGGTGTTTGCAATTTGTTTTCGTTACCTCCAGTACGTCAGAGACCAACCGGCCAAGGAAGGGTCTTCTCGCAGCAGCTATCCTCATGCGAGGAATTCTGCGGTCATTACAGAGCACAGTGTGTTTGAGAGCAACCTCCAACCGAATACATCAGACGATCTACCGCAATATGTATATGCACTGGCTTATCATGTCATTATATTCTGGTTCCTGTCACTAAAGCTTAATGATCGAGCAGGTCAAGTCAGTTGGATTGCCAAAAATCTCGTCTCAATAGATGCCAACGGCAAAGAAAGAATGGACGAGCAGGCGCAAGCTACGCTTGACTTTATGCAGCGCGTCGCCTATGCAGATGTCGACGATTCGAGAGCAGATCCTACCTTTACGTCTGACCGGTTTGGCGAGATCTTGAAGAAGCGATGGATAGTCGGCCAGAGTGTCGTGACTGTGGAACAAGCAACTAGGGGCGGTTGGGCTCAAATCACAAAACGCCAGCCGTCAGGAACTTCGTGCTACATAATCCGCGAGAAATTCAGCCGGCCTCCAGCACACCAGAGTCCAGTTTCAGCAGATTCCACGAGAGAATCTCAGCACTCTGATAATAACATGGTCCTCCCAAGTCACCTCTTGCTGCAGTTGACCGCCTCAATCCCTCAGGCTGCGGAGTCGATTCGTCCGATTCCATTACCCATGGATACTGCTATGGACCGAGCAATCAAATCATTGGATCGCAACTTCACTGTCGATGGCCACAAAGTAGGTGTGGTATATGCTGGTGAAAATCAAACGCACGAAGTCGAGATTCTGGCAAACATCATGGGCAGTACTGATTACACCGACTTTCTCACTGGTTTAGGCACCCTTACGAAACTGAAGGGTGCTGATTTCAACACCCAAGGCTTAGATCGCTTTGGCGACTCTGATGGCGAATATGCAGTCTGCTGGCGTGATCGTGTGTCAGAGATCGTTTTCCACGTTACGACTCAAATGCCAACGAATCTTGAGCGTGATCCGCAGTGCATTGGCAAGAAGAAACATATTGGTAACGATTTTGTCAATATCATATTCAACAACTCCGGTCATCCATTTCAATTCGACACCTTCCCTTCGGAATTCAATTATGTAAACATTGTTATTACTCCAGAGTCGCGAGCCTCGTTCGTTGCCACCCGGTTTCGCTCGAAAGCAAATGCAAAGAGCGCATTTTATAAAGTACAAGTTATGAGCAAGCCAGGATTTCCGGAGATCTCGCCGGCTGCGGAGACAAAGATCATGAGCTTGGAGGCCCTGCCAGGCTTTATACGCCTCCTAGCCCTCAATGCCTCGGTGTTCTGTCTCGTATGGGCAAACAGGGAGGGAGGAGAGAATGTGTCGTCATGGCGAAACCGGTTACGTGAGATCAATCGACTGAAAGAGAAATACGGGCCGAAGCCCTCTACTTCATCAACCACCACGCCCCCAGGCACCGCGAATGGTGTAAATGTACGAGATAGTGTCACCAGTCTCCGACGCTCGTCGGTCGCGAACTTCCTGACCAACACGAACGAGTCCAGTTCTCAGCGGTCATCGGTTCTTTCAACGGCCGAGACGCAAGTTGGCGGTAGTGGAGGGGATAGTATTGTGGATAGTCTAGACTTTTCGAAATGGGCGTAAAAATAGGTGACTGGCGTTTGTTTGGAACAGCATTTGGGAATTGGGAGGGATAATACCACAAAAGTTTTTGATTTTACTTATTATTCATGCTTCTGACAATCAGTTTTGATTTGGTTGAATTTTGGTTACGCATGTTACGACGGTCATCATGAAGCGTAGGCGTTCAAAGGAGCTTGACTGTTTAGTAGCCGGCGCATAGCCTTTATTAATGTCCATCACGTGGATGTTTTTACGGAGACGATTTCTGGGATAGGATGACCAAGGAATTTTCCTGTATAAATATTAGCTAATCATTCAATCTGAGGATATCAAATCTAATACATCTGACTATTGTGCTTGCTGTGAATGCTTCAGCATCCCGACACTTTCGATTATTCTTTTCTTTGTAAGGCCTTCGCACATAGTGCCCTAAACTTCCCAACTCAAGTAAGTTCATTCTGATCATAGCGGGGCGGTTGTTTACAAAGATTTTAGACCAGACTGAATTAAGATTGACAAATTCTGAAAATACGGTATGACGCTCAAAACTATCCAGACACCGAATCCAATACCAAACAAACTTCTATCCCGACCTCGCAAGCGCCCTTTCCCAAACAGCCAATGTACTCTCCCAAACCGTCTTCCCCACACCCTCATGCCTATACCTAACTAACACCGGCACAGCATCCACACTCTCATCCTTCGCCCCCAGTCTATAAACCCCGCTCTCCTCACTAATCTCCTTCACCCCCTCCGGCAACGGCACCGCCGCCGCCTCCCACCCATCCCTTCTCTTCAGGGGTGGAAACCTCGCACTAGTAGCCAGAAACACCCCTCTCTCCCCAGCCTCCTCAATACTCGTCGAGAAAAAATTAAGAACCGGTAAAATAAACCACTTGACAAAGGTCGCGGGCAGTGCCCACAGCCCCGTCATAGTACCCAGCAAGCGACCCAGGACACCGGTATCCACGAACCCGGGGTATTTGTGGATGAAAGTCACGCTTGGGTTAGTCTTGGCCAGCTCTTCGAAGGCAAGGGTTGTTTGCGTGGTGCTGTTCTTCATGGCTTTCAGACCGGAGAAGTTGGCTTTTACTTCTAGGTCCGAGAGGTCGATGTCGCCTTCACGGCCGCCGGCGAGGATGGAGATTACGCGCGGGTTGGGTGATGCTTTTAGCAGGGGGAGGAGGTTGTAGGTGAAGCGGAGACGGGTGTAGTAGCGCAGGGCATGCGGAATGTCTATCCCTTCTTCGCTTTCTGAGATGTCGTTGTTAGTATACTGTATGTAGTATGCGAAAGGGTGGTTTGGGGGGGGGGGGGGGGGGAGCAAGGAAATGAATTACGATTTCGACCATCGAATGATAGGTAGCCGGGTGAGACGAATAGGATATCTACTTTCGTCTCTTTGGATTCGATCTCGTCACATGCCTTGTCGACGTTCTTCATGAGTGAGACTTCTGTCTCGATGAAGTTCAATACGGCTTCTGGATTTGAGGTGCTGAGTTCGTCTAAGAGTGGTTTGGCGGCACTTTGGGAGCGGCCTACGATGTAGATTGTTGGGCTGTTGGCGTTCTTTGCGAATTGTTTCAGTGTGCCCATTCCAATACCACTGGTTGCGCCGACGAAGACGGCGACTAGGCCGGTGTTGGCTTTCTTGAAGGCTGCATTTGATGCGGCAATATCTTTGATGTTGACCATTTTGAGAGGTAGGCAACTTTCTGAGCTGTGGTTTTTTTTAAGTGGTTTTGAGAGATGAGTTTCTGGAAGGAAGAGAGGAAGGTGGTTGGTGGTGTGTATATAAATCTCAGATGTTCGAGTTTACAATGTAAGGAGAGGGTGGTATGTAAGTGAGACGAGAATGGCTGAGCAGTGATGAAAGTCTTTATACTTCTTCACTGGAAGAATGAGTCACCTACTATATATGTATCTCTCTCTAGCTTATGCTGCTAATCAAGAATGGCAATTCGAATTTAAATGCACCTGCGCCTGCGCCGTACGTGCCATAGTGTTGCCTCAATTCTCGCTGGGATCTATTTGGCGAGCTTGAGTGTGAAGGATGAACGGATCTTCCGTGGGCACTGATTTGTACTTCTGGCGCAAGCCACCGACAACCTTTCCTGATTTTAGCCTTTTGCCTTACAAATATCGCTGATCTCTTCGGAGACTTTTTGGGTCGCCTAGCATGTTCTACACTTAATACTGCAAGCGCCGGCTAAAGTTCTTACTATCTATTAGGTACTTTAGGCCTCAAGGGGCCAGAGGGATGCTAGCATAAAGAAAGAGCAGGTAAATATTCTGCTACAGTCAATAAGGAACGCTGATTAAGTGTAATCATTTTCTCTTTACTCAGTATCTGTCCACTGAAAAAAAAGGTATTCAACTTAAGTTATAAAGAAGCAGCTATATAACCTAGACTACGGGGTAAGGGGAGTCGCTAGAGTAGAGTAGGTACCCTAGAAGGGAAGATGCTAAACATCTTACTACCTTATGCTAGGCTAAAACCATCATAAGAGCCTGCTACAATAATCGACTCTTTGAAATGGGAGAAATGCATGAACTCGTACCTTTGAGTTACAAACAACATATTGCACGTGACCACTGACAAAGGCCGATATGCCGACATATTTCGATGATTATTCAAGCAAGACGCCAACATCCTTCAGCTTTTGTCCCTAGGCACAATTCCAAACAATGATCATGGCAACCCAGTCTCTCTCACGGAACTGCTTACGGATATGCACTTCTGAAGCACCCAACGCAGCCAGAGCTTTCCTCAAACTTGCCCCCACAAGAAGACATCTCTCCAACTTCGCCCCGCCGCCACTCCTAGATTTCCTCCTCCCACCATCACGATGCCTCTTTGCTCGGGCAGGCAAGCCTACAAGAAGCTCTAGAAGAACATTCACGTCTTCTGCTACAAGACAGCATACGAGTGCTATACATAACCCGCAAAAGGATGAGGATGGCAATGAGATGCATATAGAGATTACTCCTCGAGCTTCTAACGTATGATATGACTGTCTCATCCTACGTGGAAGTCTGAAAACTTATGCTAATGGGGATGTATTTTATAGAGACTAAAGGAAATAATGGCCAAAGACTCCAACCCCTCCCTCGCCCTGCGAATCCAAGTCGAAAGCGGCGGGTGCCATGGTTTCCAATACCTGATGTCGCTCACCACCCTACCCTCCCTACCCATCTCCTCCTCTACAATACCCCTAGAAGCGCCTCAGGCACTCAACACGTCCTCCAGCGACCCGAATGCGATGCCACCGGGATCGGCAGTCGAGAAAGGTGTTTTGGGAGAGGATGATACGGTGTTTGAGGCGGAAGATGGGTCTGGTGCGAAGGTGGTTATGGATGGACCGAGTTTGGATCTGTTGAAGGGGAGTAAGGTTGATTTTACGATGGAGTTGATTGGAAGCCAGTTCAAGATTGTGGATAATCCGTTGGCGACGAGTAGTTGTGGTTGTGGGACCAGTTTTGATATCAAGGCTTGAGGGAATGCAGAAATTGGGTCCGTTGCTCATGGATCCCGTTTCACATTCCAACATAGAGGACTGTAGTTTCTGAGGGGCTATATCTTGCTTGTGTTCGGTCGTCATGTAGTTATGAACCGGCAATTCAGACCCTGGAACAGACAACACTTTTAAACACAAATAGATAAACATCGAGAGATCACAAAGAGGATACTAGTTAGGAAGGAATACACTGTGCTTTGTCATGTTATTTTATTTTTATGCTTCTTTACGCCTCGCATGCCAGATAAGTAACTGAAGCAAGCAAAAACCGGAGAAGCTGAAAACAGACCCCGCGCCAGTATGATATCGTCCCATCCACATAAGCTTAGTTCATTTGTCTGATCAAAGCGTTGATCTTGTCCTCACGGTTTCCGAGATCACCACCTTCCACGAAATGACGGAACTTTCTTGTGCGGAACCCACCAGTTGGGTTGGACAGCTTGAATGGCCCTATTCCCTCTCATTAGTATTGTTTTTAACGAAAGGACTCAATTTGACTTACAGAGGAAGTTGGCGGCTTGCTTGAAGTTGGGGCCGACGGTGAAGATCTCGTGGATCAAATCCTCCATACAGACGATACCGTACTTGCCGAGGCTGGTCTCGATGATTGCGTTGTCGGTGAGGGCAATGCGTTGCTTCTCAACCTTTCCGTATCCGCGCTTGTAAATGAGCTCACGGACGGTCTTCAGGTTGGGGTATCCGTAGGCGATCCATGGCTCAACGACCTTCAACATCTCAAGGGTGGCCTTGGTCATGCGGACAAAGACACCGTTGTTGATCTGGAGGAGACGGAGAAGTTGGAGGATCTTGCGGGGCTTGGGGGCGATCTTGTTGATACTGTATAATTGTCAGCTGAATGCCCCCAGAAAATGAGAGATCGACCCTTACCCCTTGATACGGACAACGAAGACCAACTTATCCTCAGCAGGAATGTAGAAAGAACCATCTTGCTTGGAGAGACGGGCAAGACGAATCTTCTCACGCTCTACATCACGGTACTCCTTGACGTACTTCTCGGCACGCTTGAAGATGACACCGCGCTTCTCCTTTTGAGCCTACAGTTGAAGATGTTAGCTGTGATCCAAGTATAAACTTATAAACACAAAGGTGACATCTTCAATGACTGTTTCAGACCCGAAAGATGGTTAATTGGCGACAACATCGATACTTTTGTATCTAGTCGCGAAAATGGTGTTATGCATCATAATAGCCATTGAATGTCACCCTCGTGTATACGAAATAGCCACTGACCTTCTTCTTCTTCTCAAGCTCGGTAGTGCGCTCCGCGCGGGCCTTCTCCTGAGACTTGCGCTTCTTCAAGAGGGTCTCGGGAATGAGGATTTGGTCGGCGGTTGGGACGGATCTGCTCAGGTTAGTCGTTGTCCCACATACAACTTGTGTGGAAGAGCGCCGGGTGAGAATTGCAGCTAGAGCGCGACATTCTCGCAGGAGGCTAACTCGAAGTATGGATTTTATCAGTGAGATATCTCATGAAACCGCTCCTGGGGAGGATGGTATATTCAATTGACATTGCGTCTCAACTGACAAGACCTCGGACAAAGTCCAAGATTGATGCACTGCACGTAACATCTTTTCGTGCCCAGCGCAGAACGCATGAGTAGTACTTAGATTGTGCGGCAATGAATTTTAAAGAGAAGAACGAATCTTCAACCTCAAGACCCCGTGGTACCGATCTCCCCGCGATGGAGGGTGTTTAGGCCTTGATCGTCGAAGGAGAAGAAGTATTTCGGGAAGGATCGAGCTGGCTGCCATGTATCAGAGAGCGCAATGGCCATGATACGATGGAGATCCAGCGAGAAAGGACGGCGACTAAATCTGAACCCAAACTTCAATCAGCTCTTCGAGATAATATAAACGTACGTCTTTGCGACCTGCTCCGAAGAGGAAGTACCGGTTTGCTTCTTGGCAGGCATCGTGTCGAGTTTGTCGATTGTCGATTGTCGATTTTGGTGATGGTCCTGGAATAAGAAGAAGGTCAACCAGAAACTTGCTGAAGATGCAGAAGCCAGCAAAATTTTGTGTGGGCGCGCTAACTAGCCGAACCTAAGTCTCCCAACCCAGCCTAGCCCCGTGCCCCTTGCCCCGTGGCCCGCGTGCCTCCGAAATTCATCCGGATCAATATTACTCCAGATTGTCTACAAGACAAGCAAGCGAGTTTAACCCAGAGTTTCTAAATCTGACCTGCTCACAGAAAAATCAAGATGGGAGTCGTTTACGCAATTGGATCGAATGGTTCTGGTCAGCTGGGCATTGGTCACAAAGAAGATGTCTCTGTCCCAAAAGAAGTCAATTTCACCCCCAGCGCCATTCTTTCAACAGCATCGAAAGTGAAAGTAGCGGCAGGTGGAAACCATACTCTCTTACTCTCATCCGGCGAGATCCACTGCTCTGGTGATCCTAGCAGTGGGGCATGCGGCCTTGTATCTGGTTCTGATTATTCCGACTCTCGCTTTCAGAAGATCCGTCTCTCAGAAGACTTGAATAAATCACGTATCCTTTTTTGCGCTGCTACTTGGGAGGCTTCTATCATAGTTCAGGAAGACGAGAATGGACGTGCTACGAAAGTCTACACCTTTGGTATTGGGAATAAAGGCGAGCTTGCTCAAGGAGAACTCCTCTTTCGCTCTTCCAAGGCCCATTTAGTCAAAAACTTTCCCCCTGAAGGGAACGAAATTGTGGACTTGACGGCTTCTGTCACTCATGTAGTCGCTGTACTGGACAATGGAGCTGTTTATGGATGGGGTAACGGTCGTAAGGGCCAGCTAGGTCAACCGGAAGGCATTATCTACGTTCCAAAGATCATAGATGTTGATTTCAAGGTTCTTCGCACCGTTTGCGGGCGAGAGTTCACTTACCTTGTTGGGGAACCCGAGAAAGGGGAGCATGTTATCCTCGGATCTGATAAATGGAACATTCGGTCTTCCGCTCCACCAGTTATACCTAGATGGAAGGATGTAGGTGCAAGCTGGGGAAGCATCTTTGTGTTGCAGGAAGATGGCAATCTACTATCTTGGGGCAGAGAGGATCATGGACAACTTACCCCTCCAGCATTGCCATCAATGTCACAGATTGGGGTTGGTAGCGAGCATGTATTGGGACTTACAGTGGAAGGGGACGTCTTGGCATGGGGATGGGGCGAGCACGGCAACTGCGGACCAATTACAACAAACGGCGATGTGAAGGGCCGCTGGAATGTAATTGCTTCTTCGAAGTATTTACCACCAGGGACCAAGATCTCCGGCATTGGGGCAGGCTGTGCTACTAGTTGGATCTTCATCAGCGATTGAGTGACCCTCTTGCTCATGCTACCTGGAATTGCCAGTCGTCTTGACGACATCATATCACCTCCGCTGGGCACAATATTACACTCGCTATTAGCGAGTTTAGCTCTTTCGATGCAGCGCTCGAGTTACGTGCATGGCAAGGATGGGAGCAATGGATTGTTTCCGAATATGCCCTGAACGCTTTCATCAATCGAACATTCCCTTGACCTAGTACTACGTTAGACCGCATTCGCAATCAAGAGAGCGCGCGGAATATACCTCTGAAAGACGTTGAGTTGGTGGAAGACGCTGTGTGGGGATTAAATTTGCATCTGAGTCTCCTCCCTCATTCACCGGCGGCCCGTTGATGCTCTGGCTTTGGTTCGGGTTTCGACTTGAATTCATAGTCATCGGATTCTGCAAGCCAAGATTAGCACGTTCGGCTTGCCGTACGGAACTTTGCTTACATTATCTACCTCTCCGGTATCCCAAAGTAGCATCGGTTCGTCATCATCGTCATTGACCGGGTCCCATCTTCGGTCTTCGTCATTTTGAGTCATGAAGAGCTCGTTGGCCTGGATGCTAGGCTGCGGAGGAGGTGGCGACGGTCTCGGGGCCCTTTTGTTTGCGTCCTCTCGTACCCGGCTTGGTGCAGCACTGGCTGGTGGAGGTGGCATCTCTGAATTCGATTTCGCTTCAAGGGGCTGTCTAGTAGCAGGCCTTTTAGACCCAGCTCTAGATGCGTCAGGAGTAGGTGCCTGCGAAAGACCCCGAACCTCCCCAGTAGTCATCAGGATAAACTCGCTTGTCATGCCCTCGTCGCTGTATGTCAGTTGCATTGGGCATTGCGGGCGAGAATACAAAGCTGTCACAATCGTATTGGTGATCCCAGCATGTGTGATAATTGACTTGAAATCCTTGACACTAATAACGATATGAAGTTGCTCTTCGACAGAAAATTCGGCAAATTCCAAGGTATCTATTGCAATTGTAGTACGCAGTGGTTGCTTTAATATCTCTGTACTAAAATCAGTCATTATTTCGTTAAAATTGCAGAGTCAGAGACCTACCGGTTCCAGACATGATCTTCTCAGTGTAACTCGTGAGACTGACACGGCCATCTTCTGAATAGATATCGAGTTGCTCCGTACCAGATCCGAAATGTTCGACGAATTCTCGCAAAGTCCTTGAAGAAATTGACCAGCTATTCCTGGCGATCGCCCTGTCAAAGAAGGCATGCATTGGTGCAATAGACTCAAAAGTCAAGCGGTAAGTCTTGATCACGCCTGTAGACGTCAATTCGCTGCTGGCGAAACTTGACTGGATATCTTACCATGTCTGCAAATGATCTTGATTACGAATCGGCTTTTCTGCCCTTCTCCGTCTTCGACAGAGATCTCACACTTTTCGATTGCAGTGTCTCTCTCCCTGGTGGGGTCGAAACCACGTCCCTTGAATACAGACAATAATGCCTAAAAAAGATGAGAAAATGGAGGAGGCATAATATTCACCAGATTGCTCACCTTGTTATAAATTTTGCAGTAGAATTTATCCTTGGCCTGAGTACCAGACCTGGGAGGCTTGAACTGGTACTTGGAGAAGAACTTATTGCCTGTGAGTTTAAAAGAGGCGTATGCAGATTTTGAGGTGTTGAGAGCAGTCAAAACAAGCTGGATTTGATCAGTACCAATAGTGTGAATTGACTGAAGCATCCCAACTGACCTTGTCATGAGATGCTTCTATTGAAACTGCTTCGCTGAACTTGCCCAAACAGACAAGAGCATCATGCAACTTGCTGAATGATTCGGGGCTGAGAGTGAAATTCAAGATGGCCATGATGGATCCCTAGGGACTGGGCTACTTTCGGGGCATAGCTCCGTTACTTAGATTCATGGTATCATGATTTCACGGATTTGGTGTTGTGGACCGATCCAATTGATTTCCCGTGGATTCGCGATGGAATTTAGGTACGAGTCCAGTCGCGTCGCCAACTGGTGTGACGGATAAAGCGGCACTATATTCTCCCTGCATCAAGCGGAACTCGCGCTCGCGGTTAGAGAGGAGAGGAGCTGGCTGGAGTGCCGCTTTGTCACGTCTACGGCCAGGCGCGTCATCTTTTAGACCCCGCGCCCGCGTTACCTCTGCAAAACATCAATATCAAGACCAAAATCTTAGCAAAACTACCTACTGAATTGCAGCCAAATCAGTGACTTAGTCTCGGATATCATGTATGACCTCAATCTTCCCCAGGATGTCTTGTTCTATATTTGTGAGGAGCTGGCAAATCTCCAAGACTTCGGGACTCTCTTCAACTGCGCACGAACAGGAAGCTCTCTGGCTGGCATAGCTCTGGGATGGCTATATAAAATCCGTAAGCAAACCTCTCTGATCGGCTTTTTTCCCCTTCTTCGAACACATTTGGATGCTTCAACGTCCTTTTGAATGCCTTGGGTATTCAAGAACATTAGGAATACTTAGGATGCCAAAATTCTTCTCGATCAGGCAACACTGACTCCACGGCCATGCAGATCACCTATCACCAGTAATCAGCAGCGAAGGCAACGATGCCGAATTGACGAAGAATCAAGGCCTCGAATATGATGCTCAGGTTTCCAAGCAAAGGAATATGGTAGCAAAATGGGCTTTACAGTGGAAGTCGGTCATCCGCTCATGTCTCGGCCAAACATTATATCCGTATGGTCTTTACATTCGAGTCCTCGACCTCTCGAACCTTTCGGATCTTCTCGATGATACCTCGTTTCGAGATCAGTTGCAGCGGGACTTCTTTGCTGGTGACATGGCCCAATTTCTAAAGGCTCAAGAGACCCCGGTCAAGAGAAAGACAAGAAAAGAACCCAAATCTGTGTACAGTAAGTGACAGGGTGGTTTTCTTTTCCACGCCTCTCAAGTCACATAGAATGTTCCAAGCCAGGTATCACGTTGAAGATGCCTAAGAACTAATATTAACTTTCTTGTCTCGATAGACCGGCTTACTATTCCGCTCATCCTTGAGGCTGTGGGGGAATCTATCACCAGCTATGTCACCGAATCTGCAAGTCAAAGCCACTCTACAGTAGCCCTTGAGGATCTGTCTGGTGATATAAATACAACTTCACTGTCACAATGGACCGGTAGATTGTCCAAGTTAAAATCTTTGACTATATGGGACGGAGGGGCTTTAACCGCAAATGTAGCTACATCTATTGCCAACAATTGTTTTGAATTCGACGACCTGTCGGTCTATAAAGTTGGGGACGATGACGATTCAAGCCTTGCCTCATTTTTTAGCGCCCTGAGGCCGAACACGCTTCGGTCGTTTACCGCTCAAACGGCTGATGGAGTCGGCCCTGAAACCCTTCTTGCCCTAAACCACCATTGCGGCTCTCTGAAGACTTTGAAGCTTCATGGTGTCAAGCCTAATGGTATCAAAAATCTTAACCACCTCCAAGGATGCAATTTCTTAGAAACTCTCGACCTCACTGCTGATAGGCAGGCGGGATTCATCGATTTGAAGGCTACTGAGAATGATGTTTACCTGGAAGTTATCGCCTGGCTTAGAAAGTGCGAGCAGCTCCGCGAACTCCTGTTACAAGGCCTAAATACTGCTCCATCAATTCTAACTGAAGTTTGTCTCTCCAACAACACCAAGCTCCAGAAACTAGTCGTAACTGGGTACCCAGTGATCGACAACCAAGACTTTCACAGGGCACTGTCGCATCAAACGTCTTTGGAGCATCTGGAGCTGAAGGCAGATGCTGAAGGAGGTTTCCGAGACGATATTGATATACTCATTCAATCGATAACCAAATTGCCAAAGCTAAAGCATCTCAACTTGGTACCCACCTCCGAATACTTCCGGCCTCCGGATATCATAAACCTAGCACGTCACATGAGAAATTTAGAAGAGCTTTGGTTCATGGGTTACGATGTTGACGACAGCATATGGTATTCTATTTCGAGTCTTCGTCAACTACGGGTTCTCAATATCCTTTCTCTCTCCTCATTCACACTTGACGGCATTCTAGCCTTCATAGCGCAGCTACAACCAGACACCAATCATGGCCTGCTCTTGGCAGTGATGAACCAGAACCCTGTCCACGCCTTCACCGATATTGAGCAAGGCATCATTCGACAGGCGATTGAGGAAAAGGTCAATGGCACTTTTGAATTTGTACTATTCAGAGAGGAGGATTCTGCTTCCGAGGAACTTTCTGATTAGAGCATAGCAGCCTGAGAGAATGCCCCACACTACCTGGCACATTCTCAATATTTGCTCTCATGGTGCACTTCGCAGCTGAAGGACAAATACGGCCTGTTTTGATATCGCTTGCAGACTGTAGGATAGAAGAGGACATGGACTGAGATTTTGAAACCCAACAAAACTCGGTTGAGATGAATAGCTTTGCTGCATCTTCACTCTTGAAGCAAGCGACGTCAAAATGTAATGATAGCACGAATAAATGATAAAAATGCAGACCAAAGACATAAATCTACGTGATACCATTACCGCATATATTAGAAATATTCCATCGGGGAGACTTAGGACCAGGCCCAGGGCAGAATCGAAGGCGTTCTTGCTCCACACTGCATTTTTACAACAGTCCATTCAAGTCATTCCGGGACCTACTCTACAGCTACTTTGAAGTCTCGCAGATGCGCACTTGAAATGGAACAATCATCCCAATCGATACACTTGAAGTACCCCTCCAATCTCCCAGCCATCTCAAGCCACCAGCTTTCGAACAAACCCCTCGATGAACCCAGCAACAGCCTCCGGTGCCTCAACAGGTAACAAATGTCCCGCCCCCTCCACGACAACCAATTCCCCCTTTACGTTCCCCATCACCTCACTCTTCAACCTCTCCACCGTCTCGACCCGATCCCGATCCCCCCCAACCACAAGCACTGGCACCGAAATCCTCCTCGCATCCCCCGACACATCCTCCCCCATCCCATACCCCGGCCATGCTTCCCTCGCATACCTGTTTCCCCTCACCATATCCTCCACCAGCATATTTACCGTCTCATCGGCCAAAGGTCGAGCCGTAAGTACATTCCTCACAACAAATTCTGCAGATTCAGCAGTACAGAACGCAGTCCGTTGCTGCTCTCTCATTTCCTCGGGGAGTTGGAACGGAATAGGGGGAGCGGGTGCTAGTAACACCACCCCCTTTAGTCGGGAGCCGAAGATGTTTCTTCCGGCGAGTAGCTGTGCTACTTTTCCTCCCATGGAATGGCCTATCAGGATGAAATCTGCGATGTTGAGAGACGGGATGAGAGACTCGATATCTGAAGCGAGGGCGTAGATGGAATATGCGGCGGGCTCTTGGGGCCCGGTTGATTGGCCCCAGCCGCGGAAGGAGACGGAGATGCTGTGGTGGGCGGGGAGGTGAGATATTACTTGGCTGTAGGTTCGGGACGAACCGCCCCAGAAGTGGAGGAATATGAGGGAGGGGGTGATAGTAGGGAGATTGGAGGGGGTGACCTCAAGGGAGGTTGAAGGACTGATGGTGCAGAGCTTGGAGCTTAGCATTTTGAGAGATAAGTGGTCGGATGAGTCAGAATGGACCTGGCATGGATAACAAGCAGAAAACAAAAAAAAGGGCTCTGAATATCAAGGGCCATGGCTCTATATAGTGCTCAATATGATGGACTATCATTGAACAGATGAATTGCGTAGTGGCAATTGCGAGACACTACCCTGTCTCCACCGAGAAAAGACTGAAAATAGAATCAAAGCTTTCATGTGACTGTGATATAACAATGGTTCCAGGGGCATTATTGTTCGGAGTAAATACCGGCTACACTAGAGCCGGATATCGCATCGGAAATGGATGTAGAGGGATATAGGGAGGAATGCAACTTTGTCCGCAGCACGCTGTGTTCGCTTTCTTGTCATACACTCCGCCGATGAGGTCGGTCCTCTCGAATCGCATGGGTATTGTATTTGGAATATTTGGAAGGAGAGTCCAAGCTTGCTCAACCCCAATGGTTATTGCCGCCCCTCTGACCCTTTCGCAGCTTCTGGAGTGTCCTCCTCTACCAGATCATCGTCCTCTGGTCCTTCCAATTCTCCGGATTTCTCCTCTTCCAACCGTCGGTATTTCCTTTTACTCTTCTTCGTAGCACTGCTCTTCTTCTTCCTCTTCACTTCCCCCTTAACAGCAACTCTACTCTCGGATCCCCTTTCCATCACATCCAATCTATCAGCAAGCATCTGCCTGGCAAGCTTCCTATTCTGGGTACGTGAACGGTGCTCTTGGACTTTGAGGACCAGGCCGGTAGGGAGATGCTTCAATTGCACGGCTGAGGAGGTTTTGTTCTAGACTTTAAATTAGATCAGATCCACGTGAGGAAAGAGCAGGAAAATCTGCAGTTGATAGGAACATACGATTTTCTGACCACCAGGCCCACTGCCGTGTAAGAATACCTCTGTGAACTCATCTTCTGGGGGCGGCTTAGGCCTGTCCGGCATCTTCTTCACCCATTTTGCTGAAGTCGTAGTGATGCTACATTTTGTTATGTACTTGGTCAATGCATGATCAAAGACGAGGCTCCTCCTCAGAATTCGAAAGCCTTCTTGAAGCATGGTACATTTTGCGATTGAGACTCTTCTTTTGACGCTGTGTTGTCCCAAGACCTTCAACACCGGAGATTTTAGCCTGACAGCCGCCGCCGAGCCCGCTTGGCGCCAAGCGCTTGTTCCAAAATTATGGGGAGATTCCTGTACTGTAATTTATCGACTGGGCTTCATCAACTGCATAGTTACTCGTTTTCTGGAAACCCGTAACACTACAACTGTATTTGTATCTCCTCGGAACCATTGCTCGATATTTTCATCGGTTCAGAAACAGAAACCCCCCAACGTCACAATCGCCATGTTCGCATCCACGTTTCGCTGGCTGCAGCGCAAGAGATACCAATATGAGGTACTTCGTCCTGGCGAAAGCATTCCGCTTTAGCTATAGACACTGATGATACCAGGTCACATTCTCCCTATACATGTTGACACCGACCGAAAAATTCATCTTCAGTAAGCTCACCATCCATCCCACCTGCGTCGTCCCTGACCTTCCGGCCCGTCCCCTTATCCGTCCTTCTACTCGTGTGCACATCAATCACATCAACTGACTCGAAGAAACAGATTCCTTCCTCTTCCTCTTCTTCAGCATGATTATAATCGCCATGACGCTCTACCTCCCGCAACACATCGCCTTCCTCACCAACCGCGCCTGGTTCTACTACAACGGCGAAGAGAGCGCGAAGCTGGCTGGTGTGGGCGTGAACTCCGTGCTTGATAGTGCTACGAGTTCGGTGCTGGTTGAGAAGGTTAAGGAGACGGTTGCCGTGGCTGCGAATGCTGCTGGCTCGTCGATTATAGGGGCCACGAAGGAGTTATGAAGTGAGAAGAGAGGTAAATTGCCACGATTGATGTAGAAATAAGTTCGGGTTTTTGTTTTTGGAGTTAGGGGCGGTTGGGAATGGGTGCATGAAAGACGATACAGCGGTTCTGAATAATTAATAATGCGGAATGGTAGAAGGGATCAGAAGCGAAAATATTAATTGGAGAAAGAACTCTCACGTCCCATTCCAAGTCCAATATGACAGGCGATAGCACTAGAAGCCAGCACTTGATCAGGCCAAATCGACTGTCAAGATGATTCGATGGTTCAAGTTTCTGGAAGGAAGTAGGCCGACTGAAGTTCCAATATGGAAGAAAACCCTAGTCATGGTAGCACTAGAGATGCTACTTCCTCTCCCAGGGCGCACTAAATAAGTCGAAGACTTCCTCAAGTGAGACATAAATCAGTTTATAGTCATCGCTGGATTCGAGACATCCAGGCACGCTACATCAATTCGATATTTCAACACCTCACTACAACTACTTTCATCTCCTCATAATTTGTTATTCAGTTCCCTCTATGGTTTCTTCGCAGGCATAAGCTGCTTCATCGTATTATACATCAACTCCCCTACCCCCATGACCCCTTTCTTATCCAAATAATGCAAAAACCCCAACCTATAATCCGCCCAATTATACTTCAGCCCCCCATCCTTCTCCAATAGTTTCAGACTTTGCATCGTGACCGGGCCCGCATGGCGGACCTCAATCTCCTCCCCGGCAGCATCTTCCAAATCTCTCACATAAGATATCGAGAGTAAGCATAACACGGGCGAGAAGGACAAACTAAAGAGCGACATAAGAGTCAAGTTCTTGCCGAGACTCCTCACGTATGTGTCGAGGACTTGTGCGATGTCTGGATGCAGATCACACCCGAGCGCGTTCATATCTGCGGTGTTGAAGGCGCGACTTCGCCAGATACAATTACAGATATCCATAAGAAATCCATTGAAACGATTGATATAGTCTTTTGGGTAGCTTTGTGCACCTTTGCTGACCGAGGCCTTTGGGCCTATGGCCATCTCGAAGGCGCGTTTGTAGAGTGCGAGGATTCCGCAGAGACGGCTAAGGATGGTGAGGGAGGGGGTGAAATGTAGGGTGTAGATGAGTTCGGTCGGCGGGATGATTATACGGACTGTTTCGTTTAGGGATGGCTGGGTGATTATGAAGGCGATGGATTCGTAGAAGGTGAGGACTGTGGAGAGTGTAGTGATGCTTTGTGAGCTTTGGACGATACTGAGGGCGAGGGTATCGACGTGTTTTATTAATGCGGAAATGGATTCTTTTGCCGTAGGTGAAAGTTGAGGGTCTATTAGGACGGCTACCGCCCAGTTGTTGAGCAGCTTATTATAGAATGTCAGGAGATCCAGCTTTGACTGCTCGGCTTCGTCATCTAGAAGAGCTTCCTCCATTGCTTGGAAGATAGAATAGTATAGATCTAACATTGTCAGAACTGTATCGTACCATGTTTCGGCTACTAACCTTGGAATGGCCCAAGAGGGGTGTATGACAAAAGATCAAGTATGATTTGACGGCCCACAACACCATTCCAGGAGGTGATCATTGAGTTTAGATATGCTGAACATGTCGGTGGTAGTTTCTACGGATTCGTCAGCATTTCTGAACATATACCCATAGCGCTGAATACGTACCTTGGTATAATGCGTATATGCTTGGATGGAAACCAGCATTTCTAGGATCTTGATCTCAGAAGTGTCGGCAGCCTCCAATTGGTCCTCAAAGAAGGCCATCAGCCAACTGTCGACTCGTCTCGCATAGACCTCGGATGATCTTAATTGCAAGAACTTCTGCAAAAGAGAATCCTGAATCACTGCAACCAGTTGATTGGGAGGTTCAATCTTCTCGAGACGTTGAACAAAGTCATGTACGTCTTCGATCTCTTCCAGAGTGACAGAAGACTATATTTGTTAACATCACGGCTTGAGGCGGGTGAAGTAAAACTTACTTCTTGAGCACGTGAAGTATGCACTTCTGGTACCACTGAAGATTTGGTCTGCCTTGTCCCTCTTCTATTGGCTCTAAAAGTCCGTTGCTCCAGCGGTAAACCATCCTGTGTCTTCTGAAAGTGGACTGTCTGAATCTCCCCAAGTCGCTGCCGCCATTCATGATTCGGGTGCTAAGTTGGTTAGCAAAGGCTTCATGGATTTCAAACCATCCTACCGTAAACACAGATGCTCGTCCAGATGTCACATCGCCAACAATCACATCCGGGTAGTAGTCTTTGAAAACTCTCATCAGTCCCACGAGTGGCGGTTCATTCCCAGCTTGCCGAGTCAACTCCATCCTTATCACGTATTAGAGGCGTGCAATAGTAGGACTCTCAGGGCCTAACATACAAGATCTGGATCCGATATGGCCGTACATGTTTTCGTCGAGTTATAAGAGATAGCACGTGACACAGATGTGACCTGAAGCGTTTAGCATGCGATACTATGGAGATCTGGGGAGGGGGGATAACCGTATTGCAATTGTGTCGAGAAGGTTGAAGAGAATACCATAAAGCTGAGATAATACTTTCGGATTCTCGAGGACATCATAGACCATGACCAGCCACTTCAACAGCGCTGCCTGAGCATTGTACGACGGCTTAGCCCTTCCATGACCCAGGCTGGCAACGACTTTGGTTACAATGCTATCCGAGACCTTGCCAGCGGGATAGAGATTTCTGATCAAGCTATTTATGCTTGCTTGGTCTAGCTCATTGGGGATGGTGATAATATCGATAACCCTACCAAGAGACGCGCTGGAAAAGCCTTCTTCGTATGCTTTCGAGCAGACTTTGTCTACCCTACTCGATATTTTGCTTGCTCGAACCTTTGCTGGAACCTTTGCGGCTATTGCAAGAGTCAGTTTTTACGCGTGATACACGTTTTCAGACGCGTCTTTTCTCACCATTCTCTAAGTCTGTAAGCAGCTCTGAGATGCTCTCGTCGTGCTCCGGAGACGTTGCCATGATTTAAGGTGGACGCGCGATGCACGAATCTCATATGTTGTGCATGCAGAACGGGTTGGGGTTTTCGAATTCCATCTATATCGGCCGATCGCCTGCTTTAGAGAATTTGTGTAACATCAGACGGTGGGGTAGGCCACAGAATAAGGTGGTACAAAATTTGTCTCTCGTACAGTATTGGGATTCGCTAAACTTCAACCTAACAACAACCCAACTCTCCAGTTCGCGCCTCCCCCCACGGAATATATACTATGGGATCTTCTAGAGGGGGAACACCGAAGCCGCCAAGCAGGCGACACATCAAAATTCAAGAGCTTCTTCGGAGTCCTCGAGAGCAAAGTGTGGTTTCACGACAAAATATTATATTCTTCCTTGGGACCGACGCTGTGTCTTGGCCCAACCCGCTCAAACGGCTTATTACCCCGATAGACCCCCATGAAGATGCAGCTGCGACGCCATTCGCGGGCTTGCACGTAATCGTATGATCGATCTAAGAGGAGACCCGCCCGCTTCTGAGAAAGATTCTGTCAAATCCCTAGGCTGATGATCTGGGCAGTCACTTCAGGAATGTGAGGCATTGGAGCGAGGCATGTTCCTCTTGAAAAGACAAGGCGGAGGAGGCAGGCGGTCGGAAGACTCGTGCACTACCTACGATACAGTACCGTCTGCGACTTCATAATCGACGGACTGTTGGTCGGCCCATAGCGAAGGCGGCATGTCGCGGATGAGAGATTGAGAGAATTAGAGAACGAGAGAAGAGGAGGAGACCTTGAGGCATTATTATTTGGAATGGCGTCGTGGTCGTTCATGATTCAACAGCACTTCGCTGAATGTAGACACCGACAGTAGTATGAGGCAAGACCTTGACTCGTGGATGGTAACACAAGGAATATCATGGGGGTCTATATTGAGTTCGGTTTTGCCGGGGAGGATTCAAGAACAAGTGTCAAATGTTTGAGACTTGGTGTGCCCTAACGACTTTACCTTACGGCCTAGCGTAAGTCTTCCATCCATCTAAAGTCTCCATTGGAGAAGGGAACATACGGTTGAAGAGAGTGTCCGTTCCAAATCTTATGATACTAATCAGTCTACAGGTTCAGATCAGGTACGTAGGCCAGTCCTAAACCTGGCAATACCACCCCTCGGACAGCATAGAGTCCATACCTCGGCAGTAGTGTTGTACGACACAAGCTTCTGCCCTTGTCCCCCATGAAAAGAGTCAAATTGGACTTCTTAATCAAGCTTTGTGTACTAGGTACTTTGGTACTTAGCCACGTTGTCTTCGGTACCTAGGCTTCCATTCCATTTGATTTGCTAAAATCGCGCGCCCCGCTGCAGATACGGTGGTGGGGGGACCACACCAACACAAGTTGGCGCTGGAGAAACTTTAGAGATCCCGCCAAATGCCCCAATTACACCGTTTGTCATGGCCAGAGACAATTCTGACACACTTGCCTCCACATATCCAGTTACACAAGCTTTAGATTAATGTGTGTGACCCTCGCAGACCTCCTCAATCCATCGCTCTGGCGAGCGCTTTGCCCGGGTTGCAGTCAATTTCAGGCTCTTTTCACGATACTTCGTCGCCACGTACTACGTACATTACAGACTAGGCCAGGCTCCGATTCCGATCTCTAGCTCCACCTAAGCACGTGTCCGCTAATTAAGATCATATACCTCCATACCTTTCAAGGGCTTAGCCAGCTTCTCTTTTTAAATCAAATCCTGTGTGTGGGATTACATCTCACCAAAATAGCATCATCTTGTATACCTGGAAGGTGCTTAAAATAGGCAGCGCCTCATATACCCACAAGTTTTCTCGCAGAAATTACCATACCCCATTTTCAAAATCGCCATGTCGAGCTGGGAGGGATGAAAGAGGGACATCGATCATGTACTGAATACACTTCATCTTCGAACCTTTTTAGATCTTCATAGACGTCTTGCTCCCGCTCCATACACTGGATAGGGGTGCCGAGTTCTGATCAAATCAAAAGCCGGCCCGTCCTTTTTCTCCAGTCCACTATAGCACGCAATTAATCTTAGCTGTTGAAGGTTGAGGGTAGCCTACGGGTTTTGCTCTGGAGATGACTACTCCGGTACGGCAGTCCACCGGGTCAGACGAGGACGACGATGACATGTGAGAGAAGCAACTAAGCGCTTTTTGTGAAGGACTCTATCTTACTTTACTAGGAATATTGATGAGGGGCAAGAATTACCACATCTTACCGTGGAACAGAATACTACAAGTGGAAGCCAAGGGGCACTTGCTACTGTTCTACGAGATGCGACCAATTGGCTCCCACAAGTCAAATCCCTCAAGGAGACAGACGTCATCATTCTTCTTACGCCTGTGACCATTCCTATTAGCTCTGATCCTACTGACACAAGGTGAGAAAGATGTTCTCTATGGTTCTGCTATTAGATAAATCCCGCACCTCCACCCTCCTTCTCAACCTTTTTGACAACTTTCCGGGGCCTTTGTTACCTGTCTAATAACTTCTTTGAAATCTTAAACGTAGTTGACTAACAAGCCAACCTTCTACAGCGATCCTTTTGAGCCCCTAGGACGCTCGTTAGCGAAGAGACACTCTCGCATTCGGCACGTACCTTACACCCAAAGGTCAGCATAGCTTGCATCACACAAGACTAAAGCTAACCGTTCGAATCAGGAATGGTATTACTTCAACTCACCTTGGGTTCATAAAACGAGGGCATGTTATCATACTTTGTTTCGCCCTGCGACCTGGCCAACATATCCAACTTGAATTTGCAGATATTGCGCTGGCGGTCAGCGACAACAAACCTTGTATCATCGTGGTATGTTGTACTCCGATAGATGCAAACCAAGTTATTCCATTTCCCACCGTTATTCAGACGGCTGGATATACTCCTCCAGCCCTCGAATCCACTGCTGCGTTGATTTTCGGAGAGCAGCAGTCAGCATTTCAAAGTGATCCATCACCAGCAGCCCATTTTACAGACCCGCAGCGACCCAGATTATGGCCAGTCGAGCTGTGGAACGAGGTGCGGGATGTTTCAAGTGTGCTGGAGTTATGGAATGAGAGTATCAATGGGCGCTTCAGTCTCGACCAGACAACACTCGCCTCTCTTCTCCGACGTCCAGGCTACGCCAAACATTACGTTGTTCGAGACACAAAAAATGGTGTGATACTTGGTATATGTGCCACATATCTCTCATACGTTGATAAAGAAGGGGAAAAACTCATCGCCTCCATAGCAGCTCTCCTAGTCCGGTCCACGCACCGGCACTTAGGGATCGGTCTGAGCTTACACAGCCACGCGGTTTCTCAGCTTAAAAAAACACGAGGTGTTATACGTTTACAGTTCGGGAGTACTTTTCCGCGGATTCTCTACGGGCCGCCTTCCGATATGAATTTCAATGAAGAGTGGTTCCGACGAAGGGGATGGCACTTGGATAAGGATGTACCCGGACAGGGGCAAGCAATATATGACCTCATTTTGGACTTCAAAGATTGGAAATATGGCAAAAATATTTCTCCAATGCAGCTGCAATTCAGGCTTTGTGCACAGGAAGATATGATGAGAGTTCTTGATCTTGTTGAGGGATCTTCTGCGAGACGGGGTAAAATGGGCTGGTTCGATCAGTACTCATCTTTAATGAATGGTCCCAACGTCAAAGATATTGTCATAGCACTCGAAAACGACAATATCGTTGCCACAGCACTCACATACACGCCATCTTGTGGTAGCCCAATTCCATCAAATCTACCGTGGGCCGCTCAAATCTCCCCCGATATTGGTGGAGTAACTTGCATTTGCCTCCGTAAGTCGTTTCTTTGTGTATTGATTACCCCTCATTCAATTTGGTTCTTCCAATTTACAAAAATCCCATGCTTCGAGCTCATGAATTACCTGCTCGATGCGAAAATTTGCATTGTCTTGTATCGGTGAATCAAAACCAGGTTCGGGTACTATTCTACCAGACGGTCACAATTACAGACGGAGAGATCAAAGTTGCTTCAAGGGAGGCAAATCCTCATATATGCACGGAATAAAGTGTATCCACGTTATGAATTATATGGAAACTGACAATTATATAGCAATTGAGAACAATACGGTCATGGTTGGCCTACTTGATGCTTGCATAAAGAATCTCCAAAATCAGGGTATGAAGAGAATGTTCATTGACGGAATATCCAGTGAGCTAGATGCATTGAAGCAGCTAGGTAGGTTTCTAGAGTGTCGAAAATAATCTAATCTGCTAATGGCTAAAGGATTCCTGGAATGGGCGAAATATAAAGATGTATGGAAAGATACATAAGCAATCAGAGTATCCACTGTGGGCATGGGATTCGCAGTTGAGTTTTTGATAATGTGCCATCCAGAGGTATTGATTGAATGCCGAATATTAGCCACGAGGACTTCCTATTAGACAACCTCCACCGACATGCGGTCTTTTCTCCACTATTGTTAGTGCCGACAACTCCACAACTAAGAGTTTTCGAAGGCCAGGTGGTTGATAGGCTACCATGATATGTTGGTCATCACGCAGCCACGTCGCCTGCATGATCTCCGGATGTCTTGGCTGCATCGCGCGGGAAAACGCCATCTGCAGCGGTTGACGCAAAGGACGAGAAAACATTCCACCAGACCATTTCACCATATACAGTAATACATATGCCAAGTACGCAGTACATGGGGGTCAATTATGCATACTTAAATTCATTAGTTCCAGGAATCCTGGACGCATGTGTAGCACTATGGCAAAGTCTCTAGACCGACTTTATGCGCTCCTCAGATCGGCGAATATTTCCACCCTCGAAGATCCATCGATCTTATAATCGATCTCCGAGACCTTAAACCTTCAAAGTCGTTCCCAAGATCTAGTCGTATATTCAAGAATTGAAATAGTGTTCTTATCTTCTGCGATTGTACTATCTTTACATGGAGTTGATCCCGTCGCTCAAATTAAATTAACGTGAGATGTGCCATGGAGGGGGAAGTTGTCTCTATGGCGGCAGTAGGCTGCTGGCATTCATCGAATAAAATATTGTAATCACGACTTACGACACCTCGATTCGACACCAACGGAACGAAGAGCACTACCAAGGTGGATGAGTGAATGACTGAAAATAATGTTCGCCAGAGCAACTCGAACTACTAGGACCTTTACTACAGTCTATTCGACTGAACGGTAACGATCCTTCACAAGCTTCTCTGCTTTCAGAATAGGAACCACATCGTTGGTTAAAAAGCACTGCTGAACGAATACCCCACAGGCATTAGGCCTTGACAGCTAGAGCATGAATAATTTCACGGATTTCAAGCCGTTCAGTGCTAGTGGCCAACGCAAATTGTCAACAGCAGAGCTGCTATGGGCAGGGACAAAGGTTACCAGGAGCGTCTATTTGAATGAGTAGGCATTCGCGACTGGAACAAATGTCCCAGATGAAGCCATCGATGAAGCAATACTTTGGCAAATGAGAAAGGAAAGCGTTTCGATGGAACCTTGCAATGAAGACTTCGACCGACATCGAGAAATGTCCCTGCATGTCTATACCAATATAATGTTTGTATATTTCCAGCCCCTTCTTCTGAAGTCGGACATTGAAGAGTTGAGCTGCTGTGATATTTTCCCTTGGTCCAAGCTATCCAAGCGGCTCTGGCTCTTCAGGCCCCGCGGGTGATATAGGTAGTTATCCATTATACTTCAAGTAATGTGACATTAGCTTTTGTCTCTATTCAACACGTTTAGCAGCCATCTCATAGGCAATTCTCCTTGTGACACCAAGTATTTGGTCAATATTTTGATTTACATATTATACAATACTACATTTATATCTCTCCAGTCTCAAATTATTCATTTATATCCCGCTCTTGAGTAGTCATAACCTCCGTCGTCTTCCGCACTTCCCATTCTCCCTTCGGGTTTTGCATTGGCAGGAATTCCTCACTGCTGTCGTCCTGCAAAGGGTCCACACCACGATTCCGACTCGAAGTCCCACTGCTCTTACTCGTCCCCTTCCCACTAGGCCCATCATTCGTACTCTGAATCACCGTTGTAACGCCCACCCCGTTTCTAACATCACTCAATCCAAACTCCGCAGCATCACCGACCCTTGCATTACCCCCGCTCCGAAAATAGCCAGCTCGCGCAGGTCCATTGAAATTGCGCCATCCATGGCTGCCACTGGCCTCTTGAGTGCCCGTTGACCCGCCGAAAAGCCGTGAGCGTGCAAGGAAGCTTTGAAAAAGAGGTCGTAGAGTTGCCATTGCAGAGGCTGTTATGCCGATTCCGGGCTCGACGGTACTCCATATCGATAGATCGGTTGTGCTGTAGAGGAAGTCGTCTTGGGTGAGCTGTGAGATGTATGGAATGCGCACGATTGTTGCTGTGGAGCCACTGGAATGAGATTGTTAGTACCTCAAAAGCTAAATGGGGCTTTGTCTAGGATTTTGCTAAGCTAGGGGCTCAAGCAACCGACACTTACATAGCTCCAAGTGCTAGAATCAAAGCAACCGAGACTTTGATCCGCGGGCTCATTACAAGGTTCCACACGAGGAATATTGGAAGGATGCCCAAAGTCCACTGTGACTGCATTTAGCCAGTGATATAAATCGAGAACATACTGCTAGTTCGGAGCAAACAGGCTTCTGTCTCCCATTCCCTGGTGGTTATGAAGTAAGGGGGTACTTGGTACTTACATCAGCTGCAACAGAAACAGCAGAATGAGCATAGCTCGAGTTGGCGATGACACTAGAACTTACGCATCCACCAGAATCACCCAAGTACTGTGCCATCCAGTTAGTAAATTATCGTCCATGAGAAGTTGGAAGAATATCTCGGAGAAGTTTAGGCGAGAAGAGACTTGCTAACCTGCGTCCAGAAGTAGACCACTGGATGACATTGGAACATTATCAAGAAGAAATAGAAGATGCTGAAAACGATTACAGCCACCATGACAGCCCAGATCACAATCTTCTCGCTTCTCCTGACACAAATTCTGTTGAGGAAAATACAAATGCTGGCTTTCACAACGGCGGTTGACGATACGTAGGTAAGTTCACACAACCACCACCACTTGTTCCGTGTTAATTAGTTGAAAAATTTATGGGGACCAACGTCTCACATACTTTGAGTGCTGTTGGGACGTCTGCGGGTGGGATATTGGCCAAGTGCCTTCCAGTTCCGTATTTAACCTGTGTTTGTATTTTTTAGTAAGGCTACCCACATTAAATGAAATCCCCATTGAATCATAGACTCGAAAAGGGAAGTTTAGAGCTTTTATTGCACGTCGCATTCCCTAGAGCATGCTCCGTGCAACTTGGGAAGGAGGAGAGTTGAAGTGATGCGGAAAAGGGAACAAGAATATTTCGAACTGACCCCAAGTAGGACGAATGTACAATAAAGGGAGAAGAGGATCTGTATGAATTCAAAGATCAGCGTATTGGACAGCAATGACAGGCTTCAAATGATGACTCTGCTTTATTTCCTTCCATGTTGTAGAGATGACATTTCTACAATGCTTTTGGTAGACACCTCAAACAAGTGAGGAAGTGGGGTGGGGCAATTGGGTTCTGAAAGAAGCACTCACCAACGCAAGAACAGCAAGCCAATCATCCGTGCCAAAATTCTTTATCATCACTGCTCTAACATAACATCTCAAGCTGACAAAAACCCATGTTAACGTCAGGAACAAGATGGCAACAGCCTCGACCTCCGGACCTCTGTTTACCTTCCCCATCGATCGAGATGTATGAGGCCGTATGCCAAAGACAAGATTTCAGGGGAAGAAAGTAGAGAAGGAAGAGACTTTAGAATATTATATAATATTATATCCTAAGATGACCTTTTTTCCCGTTCGAACGGAGGTTTTCAAGCCGGCGAATGTCCACTAGGCCTGTTGTGCAGTAGAAAGCTAAAATGTTGGTCACATCAAAAATCTTGGCTGGATTTGAAACCCTTCGTCCCGTTCTTCATGAGACAATAAGGGGAAGCACCGGCTATTATCAGCATGACAAAGCGCTCCCCCACAATGTCGTCCACTTGACCTAGTGGGTAACACAGAGCCAGAGTGTTCATAGCATCAAAAACCTTCCTGAATGTGGAAACTTCCTCCCGCTTCTCATGAAGCAATACTTCGTACTTCGTAAAGCATTGGCGCTATCATTAACATGACGTTTTCACTGCCCAGACTTGCCCTACTGAGGCTGGACAGAATATAGAGGAAGCTAATACCGGCACTTTAGAATCGATTCCCGAGTCTGACTCGCTACTCGTACAGCATCTTGGAAAATCATGAGGCTCAACATCTTTCACGTACATACAGAGACACAACCACATAAACCCCTAAAGTAAGAAGATGCATGAAAGCAGGCCGAAGCTATCAGCTCTTTGCTCCGAAGAAATGGATCAAATAGTTGGGGAACGTAGTTTAAAGGTGTCACCATACGCCACCACCCGCCCCCCGTCCCCTGTTCCCCGCCCCTCTCGGATATTAGATACAAGTAGATTTGGGCTGGAACTTTGCTAGAAATGGACTAAACGCTTAGTGTAAATTGGCGATCTCCCAAGGTTGGCAAGTAGTTCTGGGTCGGTGCTTTGTCCGGAGATAAAAATACGAGTAAGACATGCAGAGATTCACGGCAAGGAACGAGTCCGCGTCTGATAGTGACTTTGATGCAAATGCGGGGTTCATAGGGTGGTGTTCCTAGTAAGTTCTATTTCACCCCTAAAAACTTCCACCCTTTCCTGGATACTCGATATTTCAATGACAAAAAGGGGAGTTCCGTCATGGTACCATGGTACAGAAATTATTCATGGCAGTTCTTAGTTGAACCCAATTCCTCGGCCATAAGGTTTCAAATGTTTTACGCTTATCCGAACTGGAAGGCAGTTAACTAGTCAAGGGGCTGCTTCGCTTCTTATTCCCGCCAAGAGATTTTCTGTTCCTTGCAACTATTGAGGTTCTAGAATTGAATCCCGGGATCCTAACCCTCGGATAGAGAGCAGTGACTAACCATCCCAGCCTGATGATATTTGACCAAAGCACTTCTCCTGCCAGAACTTGAACTCTCACGACATACAGTACTCTGCATCGGCTCCTAGCCCTCCGCACATCACATGGAGACTTCTCCTAGTATCATAAAAAGTTCAACCATAAGGACGCTTCTCTTAACTGCTGCTGTGGCATGCTTAAAGCCACGGATTACCTAGTCTTCTGCTGAAAGATAATTTCAAAGTTTCACTCCTAGCTAGACAGACCCCTCTCCCCTCCAACTATCGGTAAGGAGGGTCTCACTTACCTGCAACGCCTTATAGCAAAGTCTCTAGAATTCGCAAAGTTCCTTGATACTACAGGTTTCTACTCCCGAATTTGCACTCGCTAGACAGCTAATGCGACACTCATATACCTTCATAGCCCCCTAGAGTTAGCGTAGGACAATCCTAGAGGATATTCTACTAACATCTAGACTTTATCCTTAGACAGTAGAGGTAGGTGACTACTTTGTAGCCCTCCTAGGGGTAAAACTAAGATGTGATCACTTTAGCCAAGGGACAGCCAAGGTATGTCTATTTTATATTAGGTTTTTCGGCGTCTAGGGGCTCTTGTTTCTATACTAATTACAAAATCTTCTGCTTTGCTTTTCCTTTTGTCTGCTCTAAGGAGCCCTACACTACGTCTGCTTAGGCGGACTTATTATATAAGATCAATGTATCACAAATCTTACGTCCCTAGGGACAAACTGTATAGGCACTTTCCTAATACAATCATCTAGTGGTCTATCCTGTATAGAGCGGAAGGTCACAGTCACAAGGCCCTCCTAGCTACGCACCCAAGTGTGAAATGCTTTCTGACGGTTGTACTTTATATATAATTCCTTAGCTTAGCACGTCTCTATACCCTTAGAGAGGTCCCCAGGACTTGCGGCTTCGCCTGATATCCGCTAGACGTAAATCAATATCATCATGATTATCATTATCATCACCAAAGCACTTTTGTAAGTAAGGTTTGTCCTTCAGGTACGAAGAGTATCTAGATTTTGATCGACGAGTACCTAGTAGTCAAGCAAGCCAAGCCGAGTCATTCTTACGTTTTGTGGTATACATGCTGCCTATGAACACATCTCCCCTCAACGTAAACTCACCACCATTTGGTGACGAAGCTTACAATGCCATCTTGAGCGTCCTTGGCTCTATTCGTATTTAACACCTGGACCAATACAGTACTACGGTAGCTAAGCACAATAAGTGCCTTTTTGTATGTCCATCACGAGGCAACTCAGGACATCCCCACCGCTGCGCGTTGCCGCTCAAGTTGCGAGTAGCTGAGGCTGAGAATTTCACCGAGTCTTGAAGCGGGAAGCTTGGCTCGTTGCCCCTGATTGAATGAACGAGTAAGTTCAGTCCTTGGTACCACTTCCTAGAAGTATTTGAAGTCTTAGAGTAGTTTCTCCTCATTTAGGTCCTTTTAGTAGCATTGACACGAAATGCTGCAGTGTTCAACCTTTGAGGAGATTTGACGGGTTTCGATCTTTTCCCGAAGTTACTCCATGACTTCACGATAAGCTGGAAGTTAAAGGTTCCCCCTCCCTGCATCGTGTCTTGTGTGAATTTTGGAGAGAACAAGTTTAGCTATAACAATTCTAGTAAAGCAAAATAGAGGGGCACATCACTAAACTGCACATCCATGGGATGCCAAATTTCTGCAGCTATAAGTCATCTAAGTTGTAAAGTTCCATGGAACGTTCGTTCCCTTCCTTCCTTGTAGGTTGGATAACCCAAACGGCAAGTGCGAGTGCACAAGGCAAGACAAACTGGCACCGCTGTGTTGGAGATGGACCATAGCTCAATTGAAAACGCATTTAGGATGCCATCTACAACGCACTTGCTGTCGCATAGATTATCTTGCTATACGAGTGTTTATCACTGGATGATATTTTAAGATTCAAACATATAAGTGGCACCAATTGGTTGAAAAAACTCAAGTACTTTGTTTTGATAATAGACTTCATACTTATGCCAGTCAGTTGTCAATTGTTGGCCCTCAACGTGTTCGAATATGCATTTAGATATTACCTTATATCTCCAATGAGCCACACTTGCTTGATTAAGTATGTTTTAGTGCAAATACCTGTCCAGAACCAAGTAACTAGGATTCTTAAGATTCCTGGCCCAACCACGTGATGCAAGTGCCTAAAAGGGGTAAATTAGGAGCAATATCTTGCAAGGTATGAAGTGGCTACTATCAAACCAAAGTTTAGACATAGTGATTCTTAGTCTCCTCCATCTCCTGATCCTACAAGCCAGATCTCTGTAAAGTCCTCGCCAAATAGTGTCACAATGGCTGGCTGGCTTAGCGAGCCAGGGGGCTGCATTTACGTCGAAGGATCCGAAAACCAGACGCTATATCATCTCACAAAGCCGCATTAAAAAACCCACCTTAATGCCTCTAGCTTGGTACCCGGAGAAGCCGTCTCGACAAGCTGCCGAAAGTGCAACAGCCAGTGCTGCATTTCTGCGAGGTGAGGTGTTCGAATCCTTCACTCAGAACCAACCTTCCAAGTACAGTTACTACACGTCTTCCTTCATCCTAAAGAGAGAGTAATTTTAGTACGAGTGCTTCTTCTTTGGTACTTTTCTATTCTAGATGCAGGAACAGAGACCCGAAGACTGCAGGATGTCGTTTGAATTCTCTTCGGATCGTTGCCGAGACGTCGCAGGGCATTGTCGTTGCTATGGGGTCATCCTTTGAGTATGCTTGAATGCATACATTATGCCTCAATAGTTAGTGGCAGGAGTAATAGCTGATGATAACGCCGCTGCAATTTGATGGTCAGAGTTGTGCGGATTTGGCAAGTGGTGATTCTAGAAGCCAGCGAGGCCACGTGGTTGAGGAAAGCAGATTCCTCCTGGGTTGGAGATTAGACGAGTCTCCATTGTAGGCTCGGAGCGCCCACAGTATGTGCATCCATTCCTGGATTCCAAACTCCCTTTCTTCTGCAGGAGACTGGTGTAGATAGTTAGAGTTCCCGTGGAAGAATTCGCCGCCTATCCCAGACGAATGTCTTTAATGAAGGATGAGTGACTGCAAGCTACAGATAACAAGTTTCATGGGATGAATCAATCATTGAAGCAAGTTACCCCCTCCCAACGATCGAATTCAAAAACCTAGTATGCATCTTCAATGAAATGCTTCCTAAGACCCAAAGATGGAACATCTCCTCTAACCCTTTGAAACAGGAATCGAGATATGTTCCATCACAAACGGCTCTTCACCCCAAGATCAAACTTCTGCGCCACAAGCTCCTCACTTAATTTCCACAATCTCTCAGCCTTCTCAGGGTCAGAAGCCCATTTCGAAGGTCTCTTGAGTTGACAATCGTCCAAATAAACCCCCCTCTCACCATCCAGGGCAGGATCCAAAGCAGCCACAAGATTAGTAGCAACGCCCTGATCCAAGTCCTTCCATCTCTCAACCCTCAACAAGCCCTGCAGTCCTTCTTCATCCAAGCCCCTCACAATACCCGTCCTAATAGCTACACCACATAATTTGATATCAGTATCCACCATTGCGGAAATAGAAAGAGCAACTCAAAACTCACTACCAGGCATAACAGCAAAACTCTTCACACCCCTCCCATTCAACCCCACCGCAAAAAGCACATTTGCCGTCTTACTCTGCCCATAAGCAACAGCCGGTTCATACCCCCCCATGCCCCTCAAAACGCCCTCCCCCATCCCCCGCCTCGGCCCCTCATCTGGCGCCAGCATATCCATCTTCTCCGGATTTTGCCCCAGATCACTAAACCGCACCGGACTAATCCTATGTGCCTCGCTACTCGTATTCACAACCCTAGCCCCGGCTGCCAGTAACGGCAGCAGTAAATTGGTAAAGAGAAAAGGACCGACGTGGTTGGTCGCGAACTGCATTTCTATCCCCTCGGCATTCAGCTGGCGGGAGAATACGTTGATGCCGGCATTGTTGAACAAGACGTCGATTTTCCTGCCGTGCAATGTTCTCGTGATGGTTGAAGCAGCAGCGCGCACGCTGGGGAATGAAGAGAAGTCTACGTGCACGCAAGAGACGTCTACGTGCGGGATGAGCGCTGCTACGGCTTGGAGCTTTGCGGGGGTGCGGGAGGCGAGGATGAGGTGGGAGGGGGAGTGTGCTGCGATGGCCGTGGCGAGCGATTCGCCTAGACTGTTTGGAGAAACACCCGTGATGAGAACTTGAACGTATATGTGTTAGCTGTGCGTGCATCTAGCTATAGTACACATGAAAACATATGTTGCGATCTTTCTTGGTCTACGGGGTATTGGCTCAAGAATAGGGGGTTGGGCTAGTATATCACCTGCCCTATCTGGCCCAAGAAGCACCAACATCCCCTCTCTCCATACAGACAAAGAAAACAACAGAGGGCTAAAAGGAAGAAGAAAAGGCTACTAAACTTACAAACCCCTCCCTCAATCCTCTTCGCAAACCGTCCCGCAACCTCGGTGCCAGTCGTCTCAGCCCCAAATTCCTTAACACTGGCCATCATCTCACGGAAGGAAGAAAGAACAAAAAAGGCCCCAATCGTAATTCAATCCAATTCTATATAGTGCTAGTTGGAATTGTGGATTGGAGGTACAGTAAGAAGAAAGAAAGGGTGCATAAGGCAAGGGGCCTTAGTTACCCCGCTTTCTCACGACACGCCTCACGACACGCTTGCAGTTTCTAAAACAAGCTCACGTGCGAGGCGAATAGTATATGACCAAGGCAATGGAAGAGGGGATTGGATATGAAGAAATGAATTGGATGACAGGAAAGATTTAGTTGCGAGGGCATTCCCTTGAAATCAAATGGAAGTTCTAGCCGGATGCGAAGAGGCCCAGGTTTGAAAAAGGAAACATTTGATTCACATGTTGTAGAACATTAGATAGAGTGGATGATTGTCTGGTATTTGAAGATCCGAAGAATATCTAACACACAGAAAAGCGAGTCCCAGCAGATATCCCTTCCCTTAAACCTGATTGTACCAATCTTGAAAGCCCGTTCTTGAGAACACAGTGAACAAGTCCTATCAATACTGCCAACTGATGGAAGAGAGAAAGTGCCAACACTACAAGTGGATGTCATGAAGACTTCCAACCCACTCTAAATCTCCGAGAAGCTGTTTGTCCTTGCGGACAACACATCGATCTCGGGCCCTATGGCTATCCTTGTTCCATGGGCATTCCCTAACCTTATCCTTAGAAATATTGGTCGCCTTGTTATCCCAAACCCCGGCTCCAAACCCAGTGAAGCCCAATCCAACATTTCGCCGTCCCTTCCACAAATCTGGGGACTTCTCCATTTCAGTACCAGTCACTGCTCGTCGGCGCTCTCCAAGCGCCGACCACTTATCGAAAGTAGATCGCTTGATTGGGGGTGAATAACGAGGACACTGCTCCAAAACGGTCGCCGTTGGTGGCGTATCATGGAAGAAGAAGCCATCCGCAATAAGATCATCATCTATGTCGGTGGCTGCCGCCTGTTGAGCCTCGGAATTCGCCTTCTCAATATTTACAAAAGAAGCACTCTTTGTCTCTAAAGGTCCTCGGCGTATCGTATTATCATCGGACTTGCTCTCATGACTCCAAGTCCTAGCATTCTGGGTTTGGCGTGCCTTCAATTGCTTCTCAGTCTCTTCTTCTTCCTCTTCAATATCTTCGTCCCAAAGGTCACTCCAGCTCTTAGACACCATATCAGCGTTTCTGCCGAAGATGGAGGCCATCGATGGCAGCGGCTTAGGCTTTGACATGGTGATTGGGAGAGAGCCAGAGATGGGAGTGAGGTTTGCCCGAGGAGGTCCCACTTTGTTTGCTCGCCTGAAGGCGAGAGAGTTCATCGACTCGCCAAGGGACGAGTTCAAAATTGATGGCGTCTGTTGGCCAATCGAAAACCAGTCCTTGCTTTCTTCTTCGGAACTTGGGAAGAGCTCTTCGGAAATATAGCTCTCATCGTCCGCAATAGCAGAAAGTTGGCGGTATTGCCGTTGAGGAGTGCTCTGCAATGCCTTGGCCCATGGAAAGGAACCCGTGTCGACTTGCGGACTTTGCTGAAGTGATGGTGTTCGAAGGGGCTCCCGCTTGGCGCTGGCAATAACCCGTCGTCTCTCTGCCGAGTCAAAGTCATCCAAGGACTCGTCGTCGATGGTGAAGCTAACAAGGCGCTCTAGAGCCTCACGAGCACCAACAAGGGAACGTTTACGTGGATCCAAGCTCATGCACTGGGCGATGACCTCGTATGTGTCCTGAGACATTTTTGGGAAGACATCAAAGAGGGATTGTTTGTCTCGACTGAAATCCAAGAACAAAGGATCAGACTCGGTGGGTGTGGTAAACGGGTTGCGAGAAAAGAGGATGTTCAAGAGGCAGATACCAATGGCCCAGATGTCGGCCTGACCCGGCGAATAGCCAGCACCGGCAGAATCATACTGTTCAGGCGACATATAACGATCACTGCCGACCGTAGTTTCGTAAGTCCATGCCTCAGATGTAGCGAGACCGAAGTCTCCAAGCTTCATTTCACCCGACTGGGTGAGAAAGATATTTTCTGGCTTGATGTCGCGATGATACATGCCTTTACTGTGGATGTAGGAGACAGAATCGACAAGCTGAAGCATGAATTCGCGGACACGTTCGGTCTCCCTTGGACTAGTCTTGCTGCGGATGGCTTCGTACAAATCGCCCCGGGAGCAAAACTCGAGAACAATGTAGACATGGGCTTCGGTCTCAAAGGAATGAATGAGGTTGACAATGTTGGGATGAGCTCCGAGACGAGCATGGCAGGCAAGCTCCTCAGATCTCTCATCAATGGCGAACGACATGTCTTGGTCACTAGCAGCGGACTTCTTTGTCAAGCACTTGATAGCAACGAATTCCCCATTGGTCAAATCCTTGGCCATGAAGACCATACCGAATGAGCCATGATTGAGTGGAGATACCGTCTCAAATCGTCCGTCGAGGACAACCCCGTCATAGAACCTGTCCTTGAGACATTCCATGATAGCGAGTGGATCTGATCGGGAGGTGGTGAGGTGGAGTATTGAGGTCAAAGCGTGAAGATTAGGTAGATGGGTGAAAAAGGCAAACGACGAGAAGCGTAGTTGTACAACCGAGATATTTTTGGGCCCTGAAGACTTGTGATTGATGAATACAGCGAGAAAATGCTTTTGTCTTTCTCTAGATAACGTTGTTGGCACAGGAGGCTCGAGGTGGTGAAGGTCGTGTGGTCGAGCCGAAGCAGGGTGACGAGGCAAATAAACAAACAAGCAACGCTATATAGATGTAGTCCACGCCGAAAAGCACGAATGGTAAGTGTTGAAAACTCCGGTATGTATCGTAGGGTGTCAGAGGCTCATTGATGGGTATTGAATTGTAGACAAAAGAAACTTGGTTGAGGTCGTTAATGTGACAGGGACGGAAGGTCTGGAAACGAAAGAAAGGTACGAAGTCGTTACGCTAACATGGAATCAAAGTATGAGAGGAACGAGTGGTCGAGGTGTTGATGAAGCCTCGGTGGCAGTACTGGGAACTACTGCTTGTTGTCGTGATCTGGGTCGATGGGGTAGCCGGATCGAACCAGGATCAAGGCAGCACAATCAACAGTTGTCGATTGTAATGCTGGTGTGGAGTGTGGGTCGTGAATTATCGTAAGAAGAGGGTCGACCAGAAGGAATCAATTAGATGATCAATGGAGCAGGGTGGATCTGTTTGGAGTGGTTTGGGTGACCCTGCGATGTGGTTCCGAGGCTGCCTGCAATCAATCGAATCGAGTTGATAACAGATCAAGGTTATGAAGAAGAGTCTATCTTGAGACAGTCCCGGACTGGCGTTTGGAAATCATGTGTTGTTTGAGATGGATTGGTGGAATAGGAAGTCGAAGAGCTGGCTCTTCGTCTTGCCTTATCCTCGGATGGAGACGCTTTCGAGTATTGTCGGTTTGAGAGGGCGAGGAGGCTGAAGAGATATGCGAGAGTGTGTTGATGCTTTCACAGAACGGTTGCGTGGCTGGTTGTGGAATGTGATGGTTGCCGTGAGCAACTGGTTGTCTTGTCCTGTCTTGTCTTGCTTGATGCTTTCGTTGTCCCGTATGACGCAGAGGCGAGGCGAGGGTGAGGTTGAAAGCAACGATATGGTCGTCGAATTGAGTTCAGAGGGATAGGGAGCGAAGGTAGAAGGAAGGTAATTAGGAAGGCGTAGAAGAAGAAGAGGAGGAGGGAGGAGAGCGAACACGAACAACTCGAGATGCGTCAATCTGGGACCATGCGTAGGTAGATGGGGTTTTGTGCTGGAGAGAGGTGTAGTAGTTTCGAAGGAGCAGAGTAGACAGCAAGTCAACAAGGAGGGTGCAGTAACCAAGAGCAGCGGTAAGGGCCAACTTCGGTTTAGCGTGACCTGCCGTGGCTCTAAAGAAAGGTGTGGTGGGCTGAGGATGGGAGCTGTGAGCCTTTCCCAACGCCGTTGCCGAAACACGATCGACAGTTGACCGCTGCCTCCAAAATACAAAGAACCCTTGCCGTTCTTCAAGCGGCATCCAATCTAATTCCGGTTAATGGAGAGCATCGGGCGGTAAGCCATTTGCGAGCGAGTGATTGTGAAACTATTGAGCCGGATCGGGTTATGTCCCACGCCGCTTTCTATACCTTCCATGGCTTTCTCTCTGGGTGACTCGATGTCTTTCTCATTGGCCCGTTGCCCAGCCTGCGCCTGCTTCGTGGCCGCCTCTCAGACCTCCCCTGAGAGACTGCAGTCTGCAGCACACTGCAGCTGTTAGCTCCTGAGAGTAACGGCGTTGGGTCAAGTGCAGTAGGTGGAGGGTCGAGCATCGAGCATCGAGCCAAATCAACTTTCCCTCCAGTACTGTAGCTGAAGCTATACTATTCGAGGCGCCTGGCCTGTCTGGAACTCTATCCGTAGAGGCCTTTTACGTTTGCGGGCCTGCAGTAGGCGGCCATGTATTAGTTACCCACCTAGGTAGGTATACAAAGTTGACAGGACAGGACAGCACAGAACAGGTCTCTTTGTTTCTACTGTAGTCTGCCGCAACGTCCGCAAGCAGATCAAGTTCAATTGACCACCTGGGCAGTTCTACTCGAGTCCGTACTCCGTTCCGGATTCTAATCTTGTACGAAGCAAGAGGCCACGGGACAGGGCCACGAATAATGAATGTCTAAGCTCCTCCACTAATGTTAGCAGTCACCCGCCACTCAGCCTTAGCAAATCCCAAATCCCAAACCCCCAATTATATGCTGGAACATTCTTGAGTTGAGATCCTTCGCCTTCGGTCAACGGAAAGAACACATTTTTTTGATATAGTACACATGGCCAATAATAATGTCTCAAAAGGGCTCGGTATCTTGGTTAGGTTTCATCGAGTGACCTCGAACACTATTATTACGAGTCCGGAATTGACATAAGGCCATTTGACATGTTGACTTTGTTCATATTCGCCATCCTAACTACATTTCCATCATTTCACTTATGGTTGATGATGAAACCCAATGGTCGTTCAAGCACAAAGAAAGTATCCCCATTCCTACAGGAGGATCAGGTCACTTATGCTCTCTTTCATCATGAACGTCTAACGGATACCTCCGAACCTTATCACCCACCCAAACTATAATATGGCATTCGCCATATTGAAACCGTTCAAGTGAGGGATATAGCTTGCGTAATGGACCCATTGTTCCCATTCCCATTCCTCAACTGCCATCCCTTTGCCGTGAAGATATCATCATGTGAAATGCGGTGCTTCGTGCTGCTATCGCATCGATGTCATCCAAAAGGTGGCCACTCCCCTCACTGTCGCCCGTTCTGTAGAGTAGGCTGCGGCCTTAATTTAGTAAGGCTACTAAGGCATCGAACCAGAAACGCCTCCAAACCTTCCAGGTGCTTCTCACCAGTCATAAGCAAGCGCCCACCACCCTCTTCATTTATTAGATGATTCGTCTCACAATCGACTGGCTGTTGCTGTTGCTTAGCATTGCATCCCACCGTTTCGACTCGCTTCACAGGCTCAATCTACATTCGACGCTTCTTGCACCCATCCTGCTTCAGCCTTCGTACAAGCACAGCATCTTTTGCCCGGCTTCGGCTTGCCTATACCTTACGATAAGCTCATGAGTTGCAACTCGCCCGCTGCAGATCATCCTAATCTTAGGATACTTTACAGGTGCACAGGCGTATCGACTCAATCTGCGAATAACGCCATCCTCACAAATGGTCTCACAGATCAACGTGAAACCCCTCAGCGATACGATACACATATCGACCTCCTGTACATCAACAGCTTCCCGACAACACCACTTTCACTACCTATCGCACCACCCAAGGCACGACGGGCGCGCCATCTCAGGGAACTCGGTGGAACCTCTTGCTGCACGAAAGCAGATGGCAGATGGTCAAGTAGGGCATTCACCTGACACCAGCGCATATCGTGCTTCTCAAACGCTCGGGAGTACTGGTACTGTGTACGGAGACAAGACAGCTTGCTTACACGGCCAGGTAAAGGCCCCATTTCCCAGGTAGGCTCGTAGAGTACGGATGAAGACGTCTGTTGCATGATCTACTCCACAAAGTCCGTGTCTCTCATAGAGTGCTGAGGTTGTTCTACTGCACCCCACCAATGTTTGGTTTCAAGCTGCATACGAATTACAAGAAGGTAGGTAGTAAAATACGGGTGCTGTACCTATCAGCCTGCATTCCACATACACCTACACAGCGGTGAGAATGAAAACTCTTCATGAAAACTACTGCAATAATTTCCATGTTATCGATGGCAGGTACTGTAAACAATAATGCCATCTGGTTATCTCGTGCAAAGTAGAAACCCATAAGGCACGGTCTGTACAGCTGCAGCTAATCGGACGGGGCCATACTTGCATTTCTCCACAAAAACCGCAGTACAGTTCCTGGAGCTGTCCCGTAAGTAGTGGAGATCCCGTGTGCTGTTTTTCCCTTTTGTGCATCAAAGTGGCTTTCTCCATGCAGACGGTATGGAGTTGGTATGGATCTAGAGCTTCCAATAATGGCTGGCAGAATATGCTTAGGTATTTCAAAAGTCCCAATGTGTATCGGTTCCTGTTCACCGCTATCCAAATCTTAAAAAATCTTGCCACGTAGTCGCTCCTTCCGTCAAAATACAAGTGCCGATTATTCATGCCACTGAAACATATCGAGAGAAATGATAATCCAACACACCTTGAGCATCCACATCCACATCCAAATCCACCACTTAAACTACCAGTAGCTGCAGCTTATTCATGCGCTCTACTGCACCTCGTCCCAGGGTCTAGATCGCGCTTTTCCGCATCTTGACGTTTGCGACTGGACAGTTGTGAACGGCGAAGTTGCAAAGAAAAAAAAAGATTTCCGCCTTCACCGCTATCTTGAACCGAGGAAGAACTTTTTTCTTTCTCTTATCGCGCAAGTACGAAGATGGATGTCGAGGTGGTCTTGCTTGATATTGGTACGTACCTAATACCTCCCTCCGTGTTCGTCCATCCATGCCACTCACTGGAGCTGGAGCATGTTATACTCGGACAGTCACGTGGATTACAGCTGACATCTGTAATATGCAGAGGGGACTGTTTGTCCAATCTCCTTTGTCAAAGATGTTTTGGTAAGCATGGTTTTCTCTATCTGTGTTGTTCCCTTCTCTCATCTATGGACCTCCGCAATCTCCCCCCTATCACAAGTTTTCCTCATAGAGCACTACCGTTGTAAACCATCTTTCCATTCCGACCGAAAGCTTTTCTAGTTCATTGCGACTGCCGTCGGGATCTGCGTCGTGTGCAGCGCAAGTGAGCCTGGCTAGGAAGAAGATCTGAAGTCTGTATGTCTGTGACGGGTCAAGTGAACACGCACAAGTGTTGCTCTGTTGGAGACCCATTTGTGATTTGCTACCCTACGTTACAAGTTTCTTCTGAATGCCTATCCTGGAACGTAAAGTGGCACAAGACCTCAACCCAGCCTTCCAGCGCTGCGGTTGGTTGCAGACTGCGAGGGGGGCAGTATTCTCCGCATCACTTTCGTTGGCCAATGCAAGAGTTTGTACCATTGAATGAGATATTGCGGGGAAAACTTAGCATTACCACATTTGAGCATAATCTCCCACGAAACCGTCATTGCCACCAAGATGGCATTACGTCCTAGCCTCACTTCAAAAGCTGCCCACAAAGTCCCTACATTTGCCACGATGCCCCGCGACAACCCCGCCTCACTTGATACTTGACCATAGAGCTAATCACTATCCTCAGTTCCCATATGCCCTTGAAGTCCTCCCCTCAACACTAGCCACCCAATGGAACTCTCCAGCCTTCGCCCCCTATCGGGACGCCTTCCCACCCTCCCACCGCAGCACCCCCGCCGCACTCCTCGCCCACGTCCGGGACCTCATGTCCCAGGACCTCAAGATCCCCTACCTTAAATCGCTCCAAGGCTATCTCTGGCTCACAGGTTACGAGAGCGGCGCGCTCCGCTGCCCACTCTTCCCAGACGTTCAACCCTCCATGTCAGCATGGTACAAAGCCGGCATCGCGATCGTGATCTACTCTTCAGGCTCGGTTCCGGCTCAGAAGCTACTGTTCCAGTACACAAACTCAGAACCAGAGCCAGATTTGAGGCCACTGATTAGTGGGTATTTCGATACGGTTAGTGCGGGGTTGAAGACGGAGAAGGCGAGTTATGAGAAGATTGCTGGGACGAGAGGGGAGCGGATTGGGAAGTGGCTATTTTTGAGTGATAATGTTAGAGAGGTTGATTCTGCGAGGGAGGCAGGTATGCAGGGTTTTGTTGTGGTGAGGGAGGGGAATGCTGATTTGAGCGAAGAGGAGAGAGAGGGGAATACGTTAGTGGGGAATTTCGAGGAAATCAAGCTCAAGGGGAGATTATAAGCCAAGGCTGAAATGATGAGAAGCCTTTCCAATGCGACTGTTTATAATCATTTTCGGGCAAGTGCCTGCTCGAAGTAAGCATGGATCACATCGCAACCTTGTGCTAGATAGAAACAGCGGCACTTTTTATGATCTACTTTCAGTGTCCCACATCTCCTAGCACATTATAAATGGGTGCCGATTTTTCAGTGCGATGCAATTACCATTTCGCTTGCAATGTGTACCCCCTATCTTACCCGACTGCCGCTATTCGAAATGCCAGAACCTTCAAAAGTCCTCCTCACAGATATCCACTCCAAATACCAGCCCTTGTATCATTTCCGATACCTTTTTCCACTCCCTCGAACAATCCTGTATTCATAGCCCGCCCTAGCAGACAAAGATATATATATATATATATATATATATACTCTTCATACTCTCGAGAAAACTCCGAGAACCATCGATTTTTTTGGACGCGTAGGGGGCGGGAGGGAAGTCAGTCATTCAATAGAACCTGTAAGACTGCACTTTTCTTTCTGTACTGAGCTTTCTTGTACTCTATATATATTGGTGGATAGTTGATCTACTTGCTCGTACTTCCATTCCTTGAACCCAGCACGAGCTAGCTACTATAGTAGCGTTTTCTGGATCGAGGGAATGAGGTAGGTAAAAGGTATGATTTTTATATTGAATTGGATGTTGAAGTCACTGTCTATGCTTTCCCAGACACGAATACTCGTAGGTCGTGAAGAGAACATACTGATGGATCCCAGGAGGCGTCCATTCATCAGGATGTTGAAGGTGCCAAACTCAGTCCAGCCTCCTCCTTGTCGGTCCCAAATATTTATCAGTGAATGCCGAGAGATGTCTCATCTCGATTGTATTATATGACTGGATCTTTAATTAGCACCAATGAAGTCCCTTTACATCAAACAAGCACGATCTCTCACATATGATTTCCTAATGCCGCTGAAACAGTCGCAGTGAGGCCTCCTTATCTAGTAAACCTCACTCTCCTACCAAAGACCAGCCTATTTATGCTTCTCGATTGTCATACTAGGTACTGTCTGGTTAATTGGAACCCTCGGTCATATATAAGCATAGTCTACAGATATCAGCACGAGCTTGAATCCCGTCCCATCGGTCAAGTCGTAAAACAGGTATCGGCATCTGATATACAAATATGCGAAAAGTACAAGTCTTCTTATATTCTATACAATACAATACAATACAATACAATACAAACGTCATATATGATATGTATACCTGAGACACCATTTCCTCGACTAAAAGAACTTGAAAGTAGCGTCGCGATTCGAAGTTCAGCTCACCCATAAAACATCTGCTCCAGTTTCGGCCATATGCTATGTGCAATCAGTCAGTACGTCAAGACATTAAAAGCCAAGGATAACAAATATGTAGTGTAGCACAAGATATCCAATCATGTTACACAATAGTAGCTGAAGCCCATCTCAGACGCCAAGAGCGCTTTCGCGTATTGTACAGTTGCTTTCCCTTTCAACGCTTTCTTCATATCGCTCCTGCTATAGCACCCCCTTCCTAATTTCACTTTGGCCTAAATGAAAACACCCTCCAAAGCCATGATCAATGTTCTACCATAAAAGCCCGTCAACTTGCCATACTCCCCATCTTTTACCAATCAGACTAGTGACATTGTTCCTGGTCCCTTTTCCATGGATGTGTTGCCTACAGCAACGTTGGGTCATCCTCGAGTTGTGGTTATGTTCGCTGGGAACCTACATTGCTTGCGGATTCCCCCATTTGGATGAACAAATAGAACTAATTACATTCATGCATGATAGATAGTATCTCGAATTTTCACCGGCGCTTCCCGACCGTCAATTCTATTTGACAATAACACTGCATTGACAACAGCAGCAGCAGGTAGGTTGTCAGTCTGAAGAAGCACATGTCAAGAAAACATCCTGGACTGTAAGGAATTGATGGTATGGCAAGGCGAATTGAGTGAGGGAGGGTGGAAGGAGAATTACTCAAAGTGGACAGAGTGAGAATGATGGAAGTTGCTAACTTGCTAAGGTGAATTCCCAGGCTTTTTTTCTAAATTTTGTGCATAGTAGGTTGCGGCAATGGCGAAGTCTCTATAGTAATGCTGCCAACTTTTCCAGTCATGTGTGGTGCATGTCATTCAACCAAAGAAAAATAAAAAGGCGTATGATGGAGTGAAGACAAAAGGCCTGTGGTGATTTCTGAGTTGTCCTTGTCCTCTCTCTTGCATGACAATGACATTGCCATCACAGCGGTCGTCGACTTCCATTTTAGAGCGTTGACTGCTCCTTGCAATCGTGGAAGCAAAATTATGGGGGGTGTAAGGTTTATAATTCTATTGAACATGACCAGCCAAATGTGTCTGCAGCTGCAAACGAGTCGCTATGCAGATAACAACATGCCACCCATCCCAATGCAGCGCTCTAAATACAACAAATGTTCCACCCATGATTAATCATTTTTTCATCTATCCCCACCCCCCCGAAATTCCTCTACGCAGCCCCAATCATGCTCTTCGGCAAGAACGCAAAGACTGTACCCACAGTCGCTAGAATCGAGCAAACCACAATCAGGAAGTAGTCCAGGATGCGTTCCCGCATGCTAACTTCCTTCCCAAAGATCTTTAGATAAAACAACAGTGGCAAAATAATGCAGATAGTAAAACACAATGTAGATCCCATGAACGCCATGATGCTATCAAATGCAGGAAATACAATCGCAATAATCACAAAAACAACAATGACCAGGATGCGGATTACGCTTTTGAGAATCTTGCGGATCAAGCTGGAGAGCTTGGTTTGAGGAGGAGCATGGGCTTCAGAATGCGGGTCAAGACCGGCTAGGAGTTCCAGGGTCGAGACGATCGGTCGGGCATTTAGCGGGACCTTTGTAAGGGGAATGATGGCGATGAAAATGCTGAGGCAGACGGCGAGGAATTTGGGATAGCCAGAAGTACCGATTATATTTGCTGTTATTTCGTCCATAACCCCGTCGCCAAACATGAGGATGCCGGCTACAGCTGTAGCACAATCGAGGATGTACTGCAAATATTCTTAGATATGGTTAATTGAAAAGGGCAGGATTACTTACGGTGAAGGTAAAGGTGACTTTGACAGCCCGCTTGAACTTGTAGGGATGACGCATGTCTCTATATATATTAGGGAAGACAGAATGCCCACCCCAAGGAGACATGAGAAGACCGAATGATAGAGGCAAGGTGAGCCAGTTTGAGGGGAAGAGGTAAGTCGTAGCTGGCTCACGCAGAGAGCCAGGAGTATGAGGCTTAGAAAAGCCGTCGATGAAAACGATGCTTACAACTACAAAGCCGTTAGTAGAGGTCAATTTCGACATGGTACTATAATGACTTACTGGAGAAACATGAGATTATTCCAACCACACTGCTAAAACTGAGCATACGCAAAGGTGCAAAGTTCAGGGGTATCATGAGAAGACCGCAGATTATTTTCCACCCAATTACACCAACACCAGGGATCAATAGATCCAACGTATCCGCAAAAAGAACAACCAGAGCTACGCATGCAGCAAGTAACTCCAGCGTAAAAAGCACACTGGTTATTATCCGAGCCTTTTGGCCATAGCTGATAAATGCTAGATCTGCAAATGTGATCAAACTAGCATCAACATCCAAACACTTCGCTAGCAACTTGGCTGTATATGCAGTAACCAATGCTGCAAATCCCAGGAACAGCATTCCGCAAACCCAACCGGAATATTTGATACCCATAGGAAGACTCAAAAGTCCAACTCCGATTAGGACATTTGTGGAGTTGAATATCGTCTGATAAAGAGTCGACTGCCCAGCGACTGTAAGAACAACCTTCCCATCCTGTTCCACTTCTTTGACCATTAAAGGCTCCGACGTCCCCTCCGCTCTAGCGACTTGTTGTTGTCTCCATAATTCCCCAGCTCTTAGCATAGAGTTCCCGCTCAGGGTAGACTGTAAAGTACCGTACGATGTTCCGTAGCTTCCTGAAAGTGCGATGGCTAGATGAGGGGGAATAGCAAAACTGGAATCCCTTCCTCTGACACTGCCCTGAACACTGGGCAAATCACTATTAAGTCGTCTCCCACCAGACTCTTTGTGTAGTAATGGCTGGGTGGGAGTGGGCACATCTTCGGCTTCGTAATCAACGGTGTCGTCGTCAATAGCATTTTCCGACCTTCCTGAAGCTTCGAGATGGGCTCTGAGCAACGATGTCCGAGGTATGCGTCCATTTTCTGCATCTGTCCTCCCATATGCGATCGTCTCGTCCGTGTCGTCGGTGTTCGCGGGTGAGTCTGGTTCGGAGGAGATAATAAACGCAGGCCGGTTCGGTGCAACCTCGTGGAACCCTGCAGCTCTTGTCCAACTTCTCGCAAAGTTTTCCATACTGTTTACACCTCCAACTTGGGCTATGGAATTCAGACGGAGAGCGATTGAAGATCTGGGAAACTGTCAGCAGATGAAAGGGGGTGACTCCAGAAACTCAAACTTACCTCCGTCTTCGCAATTCTTGTTGGTTGCCTTCATCGTTCTCTGGCACGCCTAGATTCGCAGAAGGGGTACGTTCTCCTTGCTCGCTGAAATGTATGCTTCGTCCACCATCCGAGCTGACGGAACTTCTATGGGGAGAAGTTCCATACTCATATTCTTCCCAATTGGTGGGATTCCGTGTTGTTCCAGGAGCCATGGTTGCGAACTGGCGTGTCAATACATGCAAATGGGAAGTTGTTGACGTGAAGACTGGCAAGTAAAGGTATATGGGTAACGACGGAATGGACGAGTTTACGTCTACCTTATTCAATCAAGAGAAGACCTTCCTACCTTCAGAGTTTTCATCAGCTTAGCCAGGGGATTAATATCGATGGACTGATTGACTGATGGCCTGGAGTAGGCTAGACCACCTCTCCAGGATTTTCTTTTCCTTATCTCTTATCTGAATGATGTTATTAATCAATCAATCAATCAAAGATTACGCCACAATCTGAAGCAACTGCATGAAAATTATGTAGAAATGAAGAGATAATTGTAATATACGTTGTACAGAGTATTTGGAGGACATGAATGGAATGTATTGGAGTAGGTAACTTGTTACTGAGAAACTACCTAGGTACTTGTAGACAACCCCCGCGAGCCCCCGTCTTGAACCAGAATCTCAAGCTGCGTGGTGGGGCATCCGCTGCAAGAAAAGCCGAGGCTGCGAAATTCGAAATTTTTATATCAACTGATCCATCCATCTCATGCAGATGGGCAAAACTGGGCATACAGCTGATCACTCACATTGCAACCTCAAGACTAGAATATATTTTCTTCGTGCATCCAATCACAGAAAATCGTCCTGCGAAAATTAAAACCCTTTGTTGCCTCCCCTCTGTGCATTACTTCCTAAAGTACCCTCTCAGCACTTGATCAGGCCATATGCAAACCACCCCTTCCAAAAATACCCACGACAATATACTCTTGGCTTCCATATGCGGTGAAATCATCTTGCAAAGTCACCTGAGGACGATAGCGAAATTGTTCCTCGTCTTCCCCGACCTCAACTCCTCTTTCTTGAACCCAAGACTTCGTTTGGTGGTCGGTGCCTGTAGCCTCCAAAGGTAATACACTAACTTATTTGAGAGTTTCTTCTTGACCAACAAGAATCCTAAAGCCTCCATAATAGCCTCCATTTTCTTCTCGTCCATGTACCTCGAGTTGGTAACGCAAGGAGCTGGTAGAACTAGGAAAACACTCGGCAAGTACTCTGCGAGACCTTCAGGATACTTCTTGGGCTTCAGAAACTTGAGAATTCGTAATAACATTTCTCCCTTCCCCACGGGATCTGGGACATAGTTGAGGACCAGAGAGAGACTAATAATATCAAACTGTTCCTTCTCGTCAAGCGGAAGAGGCCGTTCCATAAAATCCTGCTCCGTGATCCCTTCGGCTTGGCTGTTTAAATCGATTCTCTCAATTTCAAACAGATGGCTTTTAGAACAAGCATTTGTGACACTTAAAGCTCCAATTTCCAACATCCGAGTAGGTTGGCCATTCGTAATTTGCTCCTTCAATGCTGGAAGCAATGGAGCTAGCCAGTCCATGAGAATCCTTGAACTATCTCCTCCCCGGTCGTTGCTCTGACCAATGAGACTGGCTCGTTGATAGTTCTCAAGACCTCCCTGTGCTTCAATTCTCTTCTTGAGAACTTCAGCCGTGACATTATCGCCATCCGCAAGAGCTTTCGTTCTCTGCTTCTCAAGGGTGTGATGCGTTCGAATGAGAGTTCTGGTTGCTTTACTGGAGATCGAACGTTTTGTCTTGACCGTGGGAGGGCGACCAGCAGAAAGGGATTTCAGTTTGGTCTTCTTATTTTTAGTTGCCATATCCGTCTAGGAAAATACATGTTGTCGTGGTATCGTTGTAAGTTGAAACAAATCGGCTAGCAGAAAAAGCGAAAGAAGAGCTCTCCACGTGACCATAGCTTAGCTATCGCGCTAGACTTTCCGCACTTTGAAAAGTTTTGAATATTCGACCAAGACAAATCCACGGCACCACCACCTTCACGACAACCCACGACAAAATCAATCGACATGCCTCCAAAGGATCAAAAGAAAGGTACAATCCCCTTTCTAACCAATATGCTCTGCTGCGATTGAAGCGCCATGGTTTCGAAGGATCTGATCAAGTTTGAATTTTTGCGAAAATGAAATCTTTCCGAACCCTCGACCAGATGGGGTCAATTTTTGCGCACCAGCAGCAGCAGATATTGCGAGTTCATCAAGAGCGATTGCTGATGCGTAAGTGTTAATAGGTGCCGCCACCAAGGGCAAGGCCGGCAAGCAAGCCAACGCTGCTGCGAAGTCTGCGTTGAAGGGCGTAAGTTTTCAATCCTCTCACTCCCCTACAATCCACATAGCTAACATCTTCCCCAGTCGCACTCGCAGAAGGTCCGCAAGGTCCGCACCTCGACGACCTTCCACCAACCTAAGACCCTCCAACTCTCCCGCAACCCCAAGTACCTCCGCAAGTCCGTCCCCGCGCAACCTCGCCTCGATGAGCACAAGGTCATCATCCACCCTCTCAACACCGAGAGCGCGATGAAGAAGATTGAGGAGAACAACACCTTGGTCTTCATTGTTGATATCAAGGCCAACAAGAGACAAATCAAGGAGGCGTTGAAGAAGCTGTACGATATTGACACCGTCAAGATCAACACCCTCATCCGGTACGCTTTACAAGGACTATGCTGCAAGGGAACAAGTGCTAACAAAATACAGACCTGATGGATCCAAGAAGGCCTTTGCCCGTCTGACCCCAGACGTCGACGCTCTCGATATCGCTGCCACCAAGCTCGCCATCGTCTAAGTGTCTGATTTGGGACAAGATTATGATGGGATGTACGGGGGATTATGATCTGGTTATGGATTTGCCAGCGGGATTCGTGGTTCACTTGCATTCAAGGCGTAAATGAGATATACCAATCAAAAATGCACAAAAAGTGCTGCCCATCCTGATTTTCTTCCTAATCTAATCGTCTCTTGATGGTGATTCACTCCTTTATCAAAAATGAACAAGCTAGTCGTACAGACCGTAGAGTAGAATACCCTCCATCATCCCAAATCCATCCATATTCATACAAGGCCTCCCTTCCATCAGGCATAGTATACACCTCCTTCCCTCCACCTCGCCCCAACCCCTTCTCCTCACATCCATCCCCTCCCTACAGTATACCATCCTAAGCACCCCCCCTCATCTGCTCCAAATGCTTAATAACCGTAAAATTTGCATCCAAAAACCGATCCACGCAATTCTGCGTACAGCTTTCCTCGCCCTTGTCCAACTTCCCACTGCGAATAGCACCCGTCACGCATTTCTTAAAACACGTCTCTGTTAAACTATGCACAGCTACAATCAATCCGATCATCAGTCAGCAAATGATTTGCTTTTTGAAAGCCCGTTCCCCCCCTCGAACAATTGCTTCTAGAAATAAGAAGGATTGGGGTGCGTGTAAGAATGATGGGATGGGGCAGAGGTCAAGGGAAGATGGGAGAGGAGACACACTTTGCTGGATCCGAGCTTTTTGCGATTCGTTGACGACGAATTGCTGTAGTTCTTGCTTGTCTTTGTCGCTGAGCTTGGATAGGTCGACGTTTTGCTCTAGAGACGAGGTAGGGGAGTCCATGTTTGTTTTGTGATGGGTGTGTCTGAAGGTGTTTGGGGAATGGTGGCGTTGGGAGTCGTGAGTTGTGGTTGTAGTTTTGTTTGTGCTTGTGCTTGGGGAGAGAGCTTGGCTTGGTGAGCTTGAGAAATTTCATGCATGATGCCGATATTGTGACACGTGATGATTGTTGGTAGCAATACCTGCCTGATTTCACTTCATGTTCTTGCATTTGCTTTTCTTCTCAATTGTTTTGATTATTACTACTGGAGTCTGGAGCTGTAGATATTAATGCGAGTCACTATGAAGTGAAGCAAATATGGGGATTGATATTCTTTCATTCACTACGGACTTTCTATGTCTAAAATCTATGGAATTAATGAGACAGCGAAAATCTAAATCAGGACATTCCTATCATAGCCCGCAAATTCTCTAGACATCCACGAAGATCCCCAGCAAGTTTCTCTAGACGCCAAGCTGCAGTGCAATGCAAAATCCAAAATGTAAATTAGACTTTCGACATATAATTTCCATATTATAACATCTCTCGATATAGTCATACCAAATCTTTCCATCTAGATATATCTCATACGTCTTGCAAGAAGCAAAGAGACGGCCGAGAAAAGAGCCAAGAAGCCGAGGATTCCGAAGAACGGGCCAAGACTGTCCGAGTTCTTCCATGGAACAGCAACGTTCATGCCGAACAAACCGCAGACTAGGTTGAGAGGAACAAGAACAGATGCGATCAGAGTGATCTGACTGAGAACTTTATTGGCTCTGTTTCCTTGGGTGAGGTTGTCGATTGAAAGCTGGGCGAGGTAATTGCTATGGGATCGAGAAAGCATCTTTTCAAAGTGTCCCAAACTCGTCATCATTGTAACGACGTGATCCTGGATATCGCCTAGATAGAGTCCAATGTCCATGCGAGGAGTGACCTTGTAATTCGCATTGCAGCGCTTGGTGAAGCCCCTGAGAACATCTGCTTTGCCACCGAGAAGCTTCATAAGACCCATGACGTTCTTGCGAACCATTCCAATCTTTCTTAGGAATGTATACATATCGTTGTCTCGGGAGACGAATACTGCATCTTCAATTGAGTCTGTCTCGTGATCAAGCATGTGAATAATGGGTGCGAAAGAATCAACAATATCATCACTATTCAATTATTAGTATCCGTAAAAATGTTCATGGGGAAGTAACTTACATCAACGCATAGCAAATCCAGTCACTACTCAGAGCAACATAATCCTTCAGTGCCGTGATCCTCTTCCGAACACGAGCAGCATGAGTATTTTGAGAGAAGCTGAAGCTCAAGGTACCCTCACGAAACACAACCACGTAGATATTGTGAGGCTCATATTCTTGTCCATCGTCGACTTCTACCACATTGAAAGATCGGAAACACGCGAAGTAGTAGGAGGAGAAAAGCTCAATCTTCTCACGAGCCTCCTGGGTGCCAATATCCTCAATAGTAAGCGGGTGGACACCGAATGCCTTGCAGATCGCTCGGATTTCTTCTTCTGTAGGGTTGTTCATGTTCAACCACCAGACACCCTCACCTTCCTCTCCTCTTTCTCCCTGAGGGAGCGAGAACAGAGTGCGGAGATCTTCCCCTGGTAGGATAAGATCGCCGAATTCGGCTGCATGAATGGTGGACTCTTGCTGGGAAGAGAAGAACTCAAAGCGATTGACATCGAGACCTTGCTGTTGCTTGATTGACTCAGCAAGGCTTGAGTTTTCGGCATGTTTCTCATCCATGGACGGAGTCTCGAGTGAGGGGACCTCAACCATATCGCCATTGGCCATTATTACAGTTTGATGACCACCAACTTTTGAGGAAGCTCGAAGATCATGGAAAATACGGGCTTGAGGCTGACCTTTGGGTGGCGTTCTTTCACGGTTCTCTTCCTCGGCAATGAACTCCTCCAGTTCCTCGAAATCAATCTGGAGACTATCCTTATTCCCAGTTGTATGCAGAGGAAAACAGACATCTTCTTCGGCTTCAGACTTGACGGACTCTGCGAAACTCTGAGCGTCATTGTCATTTGTATAGCGTCTGCTTCGAAGGCTCCGATGGCTTCGCATGCTACCGCCAGAAGCAGAATGGGTTCGATGGAGCACATGCTCTGCACTAACAAGAGTCTCTGCGCGAGGTCTTGGCGCATGGGATTCACATGTTGAAGGCTCACGCTCGCGGCGCCGGGCATCAGCAAAGGCTTTGACTGAGTTCGGTGGCGACTCTGATCTAGGATCAATAGTGGTTACGGTTCCTCGGCGGCTCCTGTCATGAGCACCTGCTCGGCCGTGGAGAGGAGAAACACCTCCAGCTTCCTCGTCGACGAGAGCCTCTTCGAAGTCTCGAGCCGTGACCTGAAGGAGGCTATGATTGACCATGGACAAGTCAGGGCTCTGGGGATTAACACTATGCATGGTCTCAGCAGTACCACGGCGAGATCTCGGCTTTTGTTTAGAGTGAGACTGGTGTCGGTGATCGTCGAGTTCTGGAACAGGCGTACTGTAGCCAGTGTTGAAGGTATCTTCGTGGTCGGACATTGTGCTAGTTATGTCTGCAATGGTTTTTTGTGGCCTAAAACTGTTAGACTTGGAAAATATGAAAGGTAACACAGCGAATAGCTAACCAAGTATTAACGTGTAAATCAGAGCGCCCTTCAGTTTTCGAAAGTGGGTCGCACCGAGCGCCCACTGCGTGTCGGCGTCAATTTGATAGAAGGTTTTGCACAGGTTGTCCCTGTACAGCTCTTCTGAGAGTAGCTGATCCACCCAGCTCCTACCCCAAGGGTCGTATTGTTGTATTTATATTTGAGTTTTTGTTCGACTTGCCAAGGCCAATTATGGAGGTTTCTTGTCACCTCCGCAGTAGGCCCAGCTCCGTGGGCCGAGAAGCGGACGGATAAGAGAGAACTGGTGAAATACGAGTCCCGCCAATTTGGTGGTTGTTATGTTAAGGGCCGCCGAGGCGATGAGGTCGAGGAATCGGTCGTCTGGGTGTTTTTCGTAGGAAAAGGGTTTTCGTGACAGCAGTCTATCGAGGAGTCTCTATCGTGAGGGGTATGTATGGTGGTGTTTTGGTGGATTGCGAGGTTTGTAAAGGTGGAAAGCGACGACAAGTTGGCACAGAGTTTTCTTTTCTTTTGGGTGGAGGTGGGTTACGGATGACGTTAGTCAACGAGATCAGAGTCTGGTCCCTAAACACGCAAACGCGGTGAGCGGGCAATTACTGTGTTTTCTCGAGAGCGATCAAGGTTGCTTTGAGTCTGGTGAGGGAATGAATTTGTGTTGTTGAGAATTGGGATTGAGGTTGAAACCGTAGCGGTTGGTTAGGAAGAAGGAAGGGAGGGGAGGCGAGAAATAGAAATTCAAGCCCAGCCCAGCCCAGTGCCAGCCAGCCGGCCAAGCTTTTGACAGGCCGAGCCGTGCCCAAGCAGGTAGGTAGGTGGGCCACTCACAAACAAGTATTTCAAAACACGCCAGGGGGGGTGACAGACAGCGACAGCCTTGCTCTCTTTCATTATCTAACTACCTAAGTACAGTACAATCTCCTGATTCTGATGCCCAACAAGAGGAATACGAGCTTCTTTTCCCCGTCCGAGGACATGCTTTCTCCGTAGAATCGCTCGAGGTGGCGATAACACTTTTTACCCGTTTGATATCTTAAAGGGTGAGGTAAAGAGAACCCCTACCTGGATATCAGTCCACCAATAGAGGGCAGTACGGAGGTACAAAGGCGTATTAAGCCGAGCTACAACAGCGTCAAGTATATCATGCGGCATATATTATTCACGATTCATACCGAGTTAGATACGATGTGCATTAGATAAGAATAGTGGTTGGGAAACGATGCATCACCGACAGTTCATTTTTTGAAGCTTTGGAGCCTTATAACTTGTCCGCGAATGGCAATCATAGCCTCATCACGTGTAGGAACGAAAGGCCACCTCGCGACGACCAAGTGAGTTCCTCTCAGACCGTCCATATCCACATCTCTCCAACACCGCATTCGAATCATGGCAGACCAATTGTTGGACCAAGTACGAGAGGCTGCAGAGGGTCAAATTGTTAGTTGCAAACTTTGTGCCTATTCAACCAAAAGGCTAACTTTAAGAAGGACTTCAAGGGGCAGGAGTTAGCGGAACTATTGGCCACAATTCTGCTTGCAGCAGTAGGAGTACGACCGCACATCGTCCATGTTGAACCCAGAGACTGACAACTATATAGGTCATCTCTTTCGTTGTCGGATTCATTAACCAGGACATCAAACTCGCGCTTTACCTTGGCTTGGGTGGAACTGCTCTCACGCTGGCCCTTATTGTACCACCATGGCCGTTCTTGAACAGACACCCCGTTAGGTGGTTACCTGTTGGAGGGGTTGAGAAAAAGTCGCAAGGAATCATGATGGATGGCCAGGTGATAGCATGATGGTCAAAATTGCAGCATAATTACAGGCGTTACGGACTTGCGTGGAGAAGAGTTACAGAGAGAAATGTATCTTTCATTCAGAAAACGCGTCGGAAGGGGCTTTGCCTTCAATATCTATGTCCAGGTGAACGCCGTCACGTAGGAGTATCTTCCATGCGCCCTGTGCTCCAGCTAACGACTAAACGCACTTATGGGATGTAATGTCGTTGCTCAAGGGCCACCTCCATTTCTCAGTTCATATTCATGCTCATATCTCATCAATGCCGTAGAATCCTTGTTTGTAGGGGTTTAGCGACCATACTTCTGAAACTCCCAGTCTCTGTTGTCGAGAGGGCAGACTTGACGTGTCTTTAACCAACGTGAGATGCAGTGGAAATGGAAGGCGTGCTATGCAAAAGTCAGTTTGAGCTGAAGCGGGTTCTCCAAATACTCACGTTGCAGATACCCCATGCGACAGTACATTCCTCACTAGTTGCAGAAGCTTGGTTGGCTTGACATTCGATGCCTGAATGACGTTAGTGAACCTGCTGCCGTGGAATGGCCCATTGTCCATACAAAGATCCATGATGTGGTTTCGGCAGATAGCACAGTTATCAACGACAATATCCCAGGCCCATAAAGCCACTGCGTTCCACTAACAAAAGTCAATAACTTCGTACGCAGCAAAGCTCCAGGCTACTTGTCGCATACCTTCTTCACCTCAAAGCGCTTCTTGCCATCAACGCCGCCCTCGGATGCGCCAGCTTTAGATTTGCCAACAGTTTTCCTTACTGCTGCAGACGATCCAGAAGGAGCATCTGTCATGTCCACGTCCGCCATGGTGATATGTTGTTGAGAGAGTAGAGAGAAGGTGGATGGAGGCGTAGATGGAGGGGTAGCTCCAGGCACCAGAAGAGATCTGGGTTCGGATGGGTTCCTGTTCTTGTGAAGGGACTTCAAGTTGGTCGGTTCTGGGTGGTATAAGAAGACGAGAGTCGAGGCGGTGTTGGTTGTTTGGAAAGAAGGCTTAAGACCTGACGTCCTCGCTCTACAACACAATAATGAATTGTTTGTTGCCTTTGAGCTAGCTTCGGGCGAAGCACCTGAGGTATGATTATATACGGTGGACGATACAGTGCGTTATTGCAAAGCCCCAGTGGGCCGGTCACCATATTCACCGCCGCTCAGCCCACCAGAGCCCCACTGAAATGATGCTTTCCCCTTTTGTTGTTTGGACTGAACGACTAAGTTCAGCCCTCTTCTTTATACCCCATCCGTCCCATTCATCTTCATCTCCATCTCCACCTCCACCTCCATTTTCGTCTCTGTTGTATTCCAATCAACACCCAAACCCCTCCTTCTTCCACCCGACACAGAACAATGAACAGAACACTCTCATCTATCGATCTCGCATACACCAACAATAGAAAGAACTGCTTTTGCGACGCGCCTCGCCTCGCCTCGAGTGACACACCTCCGCCTTGCCACTAGATTTCACCGTGGGCATCACCAATCCTCCACCCCACCTCGACCGTACATACCTACCTACCTTATCTTGTCGCTTGAGCGCTATTCACCTTTGCTTTACTTGTTGTTATCTTGTGCTCCTACTACGGCTGCTTATTTATAAGCCAAGGACGCTATGTCTTCAGAAGACATCACCCAGAAGAGACATCGCCATACTCGAAGCGCTGCCGCCGTCTCCTCCGGCAATACCCCACCACAGAATCCTCACAATCCTCACCATTTGAATCTCCAAGCGCATGCGCAGAATACACACATCGACATGAGCTACCCCGCACAGCCCTCCACTCCACCCCGGACCCCTCGGAGGGACAACCGCAATGGTTCCCACAATACCAACTCGAACACTCATGAAAGCGGCTCGAAACAAAAGACTAGAGGCAAGAACCGCCCGAGAAATGTGACGAGCTCGCCTGCCGTCAAAGGAAATGACAGGAGTACTCCACCCCTAACGAGAGCGCAATCCGCGGGCATGCCATCATCCGCAAAGCCAATAAGCACACCATCTACTGCTGCGTATGCTGGTGCAACCTTTCATGCATCGCCAGCCCCATCTGCGCTCCCTATTCCGAGTTTCTATTCGAAATCTGTTCCCGACTCTCCTGGATTGAAAGGACTCAGATCCGTACAAGAGGCTCCTTCGACGAAGCAAAGCCCATCACCTCCTATACCAGAAGCCAGTTCAGTAAAACAATACCAGCGAGAAGAGTCACCTCTGGATTTCTTCTTCAAGGCAGACAGGGAAGAGAAGGCTAGAGCTCGAAGTGTTAGCTCAAACAACACAACAGGCGCCGCTGCCGGACCTTTCCAGCCTCCAGGAGCCTCTCGAAATGCACAGACTCCACCAGCTCCCAACAGTCAAAACCGGACTCGTCAAGGACATACTTCCAAATCCTCAGGTAGTGGCATGTTTGCTATGGAATTGGATGGCCCTACCAGCCCAGGAACACCATTCGGCCCTGCATTTTCTACACCTTATGCTGAGAGGATCAATGCTGCCAGATCCGGCACCACCCCCACTCGTGAGGTTCCACAGCAACATGTAGATCGCTCTGAAGCTCTCAAAGCATATCTTTTCTCTGGTCACACTCTGTCGCCACCTACCACAAATGGAAGTGGCGTGAATGGATCTTTCTCTCCCTCATCTCAATTTACCTCGAATAGCGCGAAGACGAGTCCTGTATCATCATCACGCCCTCAACAAAATGGGCATGTTTTCAACCACAATGCAAACGGCACAAGCAATCGCCCCAGACCATTGGGACGCTCATCTGGTCTTCGCCAAGAGGTGACACCTACAAAGACACCCACCCGAACTCCCGATCGCAACTTCTTCTATGATAATTCACCTACTACATCTAGAATGAATGGACATCTTTCTCCCTCGAACCAAAACGATCTTACAGCAAGATTCATGTCGCAAAATGCTTCTCCTTCTCCTACATCCCCATATGGCGTTTCATCTGGTAATAGAGGCGCAGACCTCCAAGGCATTGAAGATAGTCTTCGCAAGATATTGAAGTTAGACTCGGCTAGGCACTCGGGCGCTACAGACTCTAGCGTCACGGTCACAACAGCTATGCCAAATTATGCTGGTGGCAGGGTTCCACCCATGGCTGGCATGAATCACGGCGTTATGAGATCTTGAAATACGACGATTTTAACGTCATGAGCTTTGTGACAACGACGGCGTTACGGTCTTGGCTGTTTGTTTGGCAGCGACGACTTGGGGATCTACGACGTTTTGATTTTCTTCTTTGGCTCACGAATTTCTTGTCTATGGTATATTTGGGTTGGGCTAGGCTTAGCTTGGAGAAGCATGGCATTATGGGAAGTTTGATACCCACTACTATATTTTTTTGGTGCTTGATGGCTACGGCGGTTTCTTTTGTATCGTCTTTGGCACCTCACAGCACATTCTGCAACCATTTCTTTTGTTCTAGTAAGCGGAGAAGCAAGCTATAGGCTTATATTCGCGTTTCTGTGGGCTGCATGCCAATCGCAGGAGCTATAGAAAAGTGGAAGCAAACATGGTGTAGTTCTGATCAGCCTTACGAGACATATAACCTGGTTGGATTAATACATACAATTACCCCATAGTCTGCTCTACGTAAAGCTCTACGTAAAGCTTGGTTCTCTGCTTCCAAAGCAGCCACAAGACTTGGCTCTTGGGGCCTGTTTGGTTCACTTTTTTTGGTAAAAATAGTTGGTTTTCATGGTCCCAGATACTTTTTGCCAAACACGACTTGGGTCAAAAATGGTCATGCATTACGTGAATAAATTCGCAGAAATCCAAGCTAAATACCACACTGATTTATTAAGTGAAAACCCGCCAAAATACCCACATTTCTTGGGGGTTTTAAGCAATACGTTTTTGACCCCAAAAAGAACCAAATAGGCCCTTACTCCCCGTGCTGTTCTCAGCTGACTTGTTACCGCGCATACTAAAGCCCGTGATCCGTCTTTTAGTCCACACACATCAAAATTTGAGCTCTGTTCCTTCGAAAATCGAACTGCGTGCTGGTTTTAGAGTCTTAGGAAGGGTCTTACTTCATAATTAAGATACATAACGGCTCTTCTTAAGTTTTCATCTATGAATCTTCTTTCCCCCCTCGTGACTCACTTGCGGCTAGCTGCCTTGAATAGTTTTCGCGGAAGCATGTCGAAGTCCGCAACTACTATTCGCTGATATGATTTACTTGCTCTTAAAGTAGTACGGTCTTTTTGATCTAGAGACTGCCTTTACTGTTAGCCGAATACCAATGCTACTAATTCAACCAGGAGTGATGACCGCCACTCCCTCCCGCTCCTCGGGGGGTACCTTAGTCCTTCTAGAACGCGGTTCCCAATGTTCTTTGAGTATTCTAACGGCTATGAACCGACCTGGAGTCTCTGAATACTCTGCCACCGTGATACAGGTTATTAACATATCCATAAAATCCAGAAGTGTTACTTTCCCACGGAGCCGATTCGTGCTTTGGAAGCCTGTCTTATATTATTATATTGCATCAGATAAATTTATAAACGTTCCAAGCATTATATAAGGCATGCCAACGCTTCCAAATGAGAGGTGCCAATAGATCTGATTAGCTCTTTATTTTAGTATAGATCTTCTAAATTCAAAGAATAAATCAATTTTAAAGTGACCCTACAACACTCAAATTTAAGTTATCTGAGTGGTGCGGACTATATATCTATGTGTATAATTCGGGTAAGGCTGTCAGACTTAAGAAAAAGGTGAGGTAATATAAGAGCTCGTACTCAGGCAATGCTCCGATATTCTCCGCAGGACCGCTTCGCGCTTTGGAAGGCCGTCCCACCATACCGCGTCAGATATATTCGTAAATGTTTCAAGCATTGGATGAGACATGCCCAATGCTTCCAAATGGGAGCGGCCGAGGGCGAGCTAGAATGCCATTTAAAAGGACTTTCAATCCTTTGACGGGCTAGCTCCTGGGGAGCTCTCATTTCGCCATCTCTAGATATGCGTTGTAGATTTTCTTCAGGGTTCCCTTTCCGGACTTGGGAAGGACTCGTTCAATATCCCATGACTCGTAACATAATCGCTGCAGTTCCCGGGTGCCTAAAACGGGTACTAAATTCAAATCTTGATCTGATATCTGAAGCAATACACTGATTTTGTCCTCTTTCGTGTAGGATAACCCCCCTCTAGCTAGGCTAGAAATATTCTATTCGATGAGGAAGTAGTATAGATATGAAAGAGAGAATAAGACCTTCTGAAAGGAGTGACAGGGTTTGTATCATAGGATATCAACCAACATATACCAACATGCTAAACTCACTGATCAACCCAAGACCAGATCTAGAGACTAGTAACCCCAACACGACGGAAGCTAATCATGACAAAAATCAGTAAATGATTTGTAAAAAAGAGACATGAGAAAGTTCTTATACAACTCTTAACCCCCAGCAGCCGCTCATTCGTACATTCCAAGCTCTCTCGTCTCTCTTCTGTCAGAATGACCTCTCCCCCCTATTCCCTCGCTTCTGACCCCCGCTGCTTGGCGGTCTAACCCTCTGAAAGCCACCCGAACGCCCCCCTGTAGCACTAGCCGCGCTCTCGCCAAAAAAACATCTCGCGTAACGATTGTCGACATCTGACGACAACCGTATTGCACTTGCAACGAGTCTTCGAACGTCCAATTTCACCATGCAAATATGAGCAGAGCATTAGTACCTGGCAGGCATATCTCATGGTCTCGCGCCGCACAGTCTCACAGGGCACAGTCTCGATGCCTCCCGCAACAGCGAAGAGGCTTTGCTGACGTCGCTGAAGGCCTCCGGTACGCCTCCTCTCCTCGAAATGCCTACTTCTTCCTCAGACTCTGATTCTTCACGTTAGGCCATACGATGTCGTCGTTATTGGTGGGGGCCATGCTGGTTCCGAGGCATGCGCTGGCGCTGCGCGGTCGGGCGCGAGGACGGCACTCATCACTCCGAAGCTTGATAACATAGGGGTATGCTCTTGCAACCCGAGTTTCGGTGGCATAGGGAAGGGAACTATGCTGAGGGAGGTTGATGCGCTTGATGGTGTTGCGGGGAGAATCATCGACAAGGCTGGTGTTCAATTTAAGGTTTTGAATAAGAAGAAAGGTCCTGCCGTCTGGGTGAGTGCCACCCCTATTTATACATTGCACCAACTAGTCTCTGCCAAAACCACAATGACGCTAATACCTAATAGGGTCCCCGGGCACAAATTGATAGGTCTCTTTACAAGCAGTTTATGAGGGAGGAATTAGAGAGCTATCCCAATTTGTCAATTGTGCCGGGTAGTGTGGCGGATATCATTGTTACACCAGATAATGATAGCCCTGCTAATAAGGGGAAGATCACTGGCGTACGTCTGGAATCGGGCGAGATAATACCAACTAACCAAGTTGTGATAACTACTGGAACATTTCTCGGTGGTGAAATTCATATTGGCCTTGAGTGTTATCCCGCCGGACGTATGGGGGAGGCTGCTACCTTTGGTTTAAGTAAATCCTTGAAAGATGCTGGCTTTCAACTTGGTAGATTGAAGACCGGTACCCCCCCTCGTCTAGCCAAAAATAGCATTGACTTCACATCACTTGAGGCTCAACACGGTGATGATCCGCCTACACCTTTCAGCTATCTCAATGATACAGTGGCCGTCAAAGATCAACTACTTTGCTATGCTACCTACACCAATGCGGCTTCGCATGACGTGGTCCGCGCCAACCTCGATAAATCCATCCACATCCGAGAAACTGTCAAAGGACCCAGATACTGCCCGTCGCTAGAATCCAAAATCATCAGGTTCTCCGATAAGGAAAGGCATATCATCTGGCTTGAGCCCGAAGGCTTCGACAGCAATGTCATCTACCCCAATGGAATCTCCATGACTATCCCAGCCGATGCACAGGAGCAGTTATTAAGGACAGTCAAAGGTCTTGAAAATGTCACTATGCTGCAGGCTGGTTATGGGGTAGAGTACGACTATGTCGACCCTCGGAGTCTAAAAGCAAGCTTGGAGACAAAGGCAATTCGCGGGTTGTTCTTAGCAGGCCAGATAAATGGCACTACTGGGTATGAGGAAGCCGCGGCCCAGGGCATCATTGCTGGAATCAATGCAGGATTGGCATCACGCTCGCAGCCTCCAATGGTGCTGTCTCGCAGCGATGGATACATTGGAATTATGATAGATGATTTGATCACCAAAGGTGTATCGGAGCCATATCGCATGTTCACGTCACGGAGCGAGTACAGAATGAGTGCCAGAGCAGACAATGCCGATCTGCGGCTGACTGCGAAGGGGAGAGAGGCTGGTGTCGTTGGAGATAGACGGTGGTCCAACTTCCAAGACCAAGTCTCCCAAATGGACGGCCTCAAAGCTGTCCTACAAGCAAAATATATATCTCCGCCTAATTGGATCAAGCATGGGTTCAAAGTCGGTAGCGATGCAACACGGCGAACAGCCTTTGAAGTTCTGCGGATCGCTGGCGCCACTGTTCCAGATATGGAAAGAGTTATTCCAGAAGTCTCGCAGTACTCGCCCAATATTCAAAATCGAGTTGGGATCGAGGCAGTGTACGCACCGTACATTGCTCAGCAGACAGCATCTATGAGATCATTTCAGAAAGATGAGAATCTGAAATTACCAGTAGACTTGGAGTATGACCAAGTGCATGGGCTTTCGATGCATGAGAAGTCAGTTCTCCAAGCTACCAGACCGGAATCTGTTGGGCAGGCGCGGCGCATCGAAGGCATGACACCTTCTGGACTTGTCAAACTGTTGGCGTATAGTCAGATGAGAAATCGAGGGTTAAAATTAGCGGTGTCGAGTAGAGAAGGGGCCCTACTCGAGCATGGTGGCTACCCCTGATATTCGTGTTAAGTTAGTCCCCTTGGCGCCTCGCACATTTGTACAATACATAATTCAAGTCACGGGAGACCTTGTCCCACCCAATATCGTCTACATTACATTTTTGAGCACCCCAAAAATTGCACACAAGTGAAGAATTCACATCAAGACATAGTCAGTGGCACAAAAAACAGCTATAGCTGTGACAACAAGACGAAAACAGTTACGATCAAGATTCGACGACCGCGCGGTCCAAAAATATATGTCCCACTCACTCTTTGACGAAGATCGTAGGTCAACTTTCATCATCCATACCCAGTAATTGGCTGACACAGTGATAAGTTCCTCTCGCGCGCACACTACAATTCTTCAACGATCAAAGTCCTTCCCCCTCGACGAAATCATTTTCCAGACCCGATATAATGTCAAACACGGTCTTGACTAACTTGGGCTACACCCACATGTACTGCGCACGTAAGGAAACCTTGTGCTGTACCGAGTGATGCCCGCTAACATCAAAATAGAAGACATATCGCTACTCCGTGATATGATTACCTCCACCGATGCAGAGATCACACATAACGCCAGAAAGCTTCTGGATAACTTCCATGTTTGTACGCCGTTTGATATGTCTGTTCGCGATGGATTATGTGGTAAGTAATTTTTGAACCCTCCACGGCAAAGTTGACGGCTAATGAGCTGCTTTGCTTTTAGTCAATGCAGTTAAGATGATCATCGATGGGGGGGACCTACCGCCTTATATCAAAGCATGGTCACTACTCGGACATATAAATGGCCCTACATTTGACGCACAGCGCTCTGCCCTGAAATTTATGTCAATACAACAACTGTCTAGTATCTATCACCCCAGCACACCAGGCAGTGGCCCAATCCAACAGCTTCCAATTGCAGCAGCATATCCCAACCACTCGAATTCTATCTCGAACACTCTCCACACCAATGTCTCATGCAACACAAAAACCCTGGGACCTTTTTCAAGAAACAACACAAAACATCAGGATAACGGATTATCTGCTGGAGAGATACCCCCGATCTGCGGTTCAGCCCCTTCCCAAGGCAAGACTGATTTGAAAGGTCGAAAAGGGGAACCTGCGATTGGTGGGACTGGAATGGAACGAGGGAATGGGAATAACAAATCCTTATACGGCGTTCTACCCCCAGCTATCAATGGGGTCGACAAAAAGCTAGAGGAAACTCCTCTGATGGCATGTTCCCACAAGATGCCAATAAGTCCTTCCTGCAGTAAAGGATCAAACACTCCCCCCAGCCAGCCATTAAGCACGTCCAGGAGAAAGAGACAAAAGATCTCACCCCCTGTAAGTGTGAATCTCCAAAATGAAGCATTGTTTACACTGACACTTGCGTTCAGGGGCGTCCATCGCGTTACGCCGTATTGAATGGAAAGCACAATGATGATGTTCGCAGCAGAGGTTTCAAACCCACTACTCAACAAATAAATGCCAGCGACGAAGTGCTGAATGGTTCAAGGTGTACCGTTTCTCCCGAACAGAAGCCTGCGGCGCGTTTGATGCAATCCCCGCCATACTATTCTCAACAGCAGCAGACAATGGCAAGCATGGTACCCCTCCAGCCCTCCAATTATAATTACCTTAATCCTGGAGGGTTCCCTGTGGATGCTGCTCAGGCTCAGCATTTTCCGAATTATTCGATGTCTAGACATGGCATGCCAATGATGAATGGCCATCAAATGTATCCCCCCACGCCGGCTGCGACGCCTCCTCCCAATTATGGTCAACAATACCAGGGACTGGCCCTAGCTACTCATGGTCACCCGATTCCGAATCACTCGATGGCTGGATATGCCCCTCAAACGTGGAACAATCAAGTTCAACAAACGTTTGCCGCTCCAATGCCTCCTCCCAATCATGGCCAACAATACCAGAATCTGGCTCCGGCTACTCATGGTTACCCGGTTCCGAATTACTCGATGCGTTCACATGTCCTACAAATGTCGAACGGTCAATTCCTACAACAGTATGACATGAGCACTGCGATGCCTCCTCAAGCTCAGACTTCTCATCAACCAGGTCCGACACATGGCACCTCAGATGCCTCTTATCCCAGATTTTATGGACTTTGAACATTGACCCTTGATTTGCCGGATAGCAACCCCTACGCTCCAGATGACCAAATCCACTAGCAGAACTTGTACCAAATATACCAGGCTATGCAACTCCGACCTGGTAATGTGAAACGAGCGGAGCAATGTTATGATACGTTAATGGATGGATTGGATTAATAGGTCAGTTTCCTCTACTTATGGCTGTCTACAGCTATGGTTGTAATGGATCTGATGTCTTGTTCTGTCAGGGCTTCAGTATGGCAAGATATGCCCAGAGAATATGCAGTACTTTGGATTTGTGGTTGCGGAGGAAAGATCTCATTGTTAGACAGGGAAAAGGCATCCCAATGTCAAAGGCTTGTTGTGTAATTACAATTTGTTTTTAGTATACAATGCATGCAAATCACTTCTTCTCCTTCGGTGACTCGCCCTTCTTTCCGTCGTCTTGGCTAAGGATCTTCACTGCGTCTTTGGTGTAGATATAGCTAGCACCGCTCCAGATCGTCGTTGTTGCTACCAGATACCTTGAGACGAGTATTAGCAAAGTCTCACAAGTAACTTTCGTCCTTGCCTCCAAATCTCTAGGAGACCTATTTTCGATTCGGCTTTGCTTGCACCCTCCCAACCCCCCCCCAAAAAGAAAGCAAAACACTTACTGCATACCCGTCATAAACCCCGCAATATCAACCGTAACAAGCGGCATGGCCGTCGTAGCGCCAATCAGCGCCAACTGTAGCGCGGTATTATATTTACTAATGGTAGTCGGATGCACCTCTGCCGACGGTAGGCTGAAATCCCAATACCGCGCAAAGGTCTTTGGGGGAGGGAGCGAGATCCAGCGGTAGTAGATGGCGGAGATGCCGAGGAGGATGTCTCGGCCGAGGATTATTACTGCGAGCCAGACTGTTTTTTGTGGAAGGGATTGTTAGGGCTTATGAGAGGGATAGGGGGGAGGTGGTGTAGAGATAGGGGGTGGAGGGAGCAGGAGGAGGAGGAGGAAATACCAGGCAAAGCCCCCTTGACAGCTAAACACAAAGTCAAGATGGTCATAAGCGTCTTGTCGGCCATGGGATCAATCACCGTCCCGACTACAGTCTGTAGATTCCATCGTCGCGCAATGTAACCGTCTACTAGATCCGTGATCCCTGCGTAGGCGAACAGCCCGACGGCCCAGGCGTGGTAGTCGTGTAGGACGAGGTAGCCGATCATGGGGGCGGCGATGAGGCGGGAGAAGGTTAGGATGTTGGGGACTGTGTAAATATTTTCGTGGGGCGTTAGCTTTTTGAGGGCATTGAGGATCGGTTTCCTGAGTGCTGGTGCTGGAGATGGTGGTGGTGGTGAAGGCTTTTTGCTGCAGGTGATGTTAGTTTGAATCTGAAGGTTTCAGGAGAATCACGTGACTTTATGCTGAATCTTGTCTTGAGAACAGGCAAAAAGAGATGTGTTTCTGAACACGGGTCCATTCATACCTTTGTAGGTCTTCTGGTTCCTTCGAAGTCGAAAATAGCATGTCACGTCGTGTTGAAATACTCTTCGCCGCCCTTCTGAAACCCTGGTTAGATGCATTTCGGCCATCAGCTGGCTGGGATTCCTACAAGTATGGGAAGGGATTCCTAGGCTTCGAACTAGACATCGACATGGTCCACAATGCGTTACTGCCTTGACATCTCGGTTCCAGCATAGGTGATCGCGGCCTAGACCTAAAGGCTGGCCTCCCAATTATCGACACGGTGAAATGACCACCGCCGCTGCCTCTGCCACTGCCCCATCTCGAACAAGTCCCAAGTCTCAACACCATTGCATTCTCCACCGCCAAGAACAAAGGGGCAACGGCGGATATCGGTACAGATCTCAAGGACGGACTACGTAGGTAGGTATGTAGTGGTGGTATTGGAGGCTCATCGCCTTCCAAAAACAGCCAGTCGTTTGAATATAGGCGAACAGACGCGCGCCAGACGCTTGTACGCTTGGGCTCCTCCCTTATCCAAGCTTCACCCCTTACCTTATTAACTCAGTGTCAAACATCCGGATCCCCCGGCACGGCACGAGAATATATACTTTACGGAGCTATGTTTTCTATACTTCATACAGCCAAGTATAAAGTCAAAACCATATCGTTTCATTCCGTACCTTGCCCCGCTGGGATAAACAACGCGGCCAACCTTAAATCCTCGTCTTTATATCATGCTTTGTTGTGATCATCGGCGGAATGGAACTTAAAGACTGAATCTTATTTTGATGTCGCGCCTAAGAATAGGAACGCCATCATACCTTTTAGAGAAACGGCTCTCTAGGTAGTATCTTGGAGGTAGTTGTAGTTTAGAGCCTCCTAATGTACTTTGAGTTTCACCATGTTACAGCGTATTTCAGCTTGGATGGAACACTTAGCATGCCATCTTCTCGTTTTGAAGTAGAAGTCATGGTAAAGTAAATTTCATCTGTTTTCTAATGTGTTTTTGTGCCGTAGCCTACAGAATGCCATGGCTTATACCACTGAATGGCACCATCAGCCCTCATATCCTCTGAACCATACAATGTCGTTACATCCGTGCATTGTTCACGGTAAACCGAATTGCTTAGGCAGTAACAAAACCCTTGCTCTCCAGATAAAATCAATACCCATGTACGCATAATGAAGGCATGCCAATAGGCCCAGGAATCCTGCAAACTCCTTGAATCCCATCCCGGGAAATCTCAGCCATTCCATACGCCCAACGAAAGTTCCGCCCAGCTCCCATATCACATATGACCAAATATATGCAAGTGTAAGAAACTCCTCAATAAAAGCTACTTTTTCGACCCCCAAAAATACGAAAGGTTGTCATGCCTAAGAAGCTCATGTACTAGCCCATTGCTGAGAAGCCATGTAGTGGCCATGTCCAGCGCTCGAGTTTCCCATTGGCCCAATGTTCTCCTTCAAGCCTGCACTATCGATGTCCGAGAAGACATGTGCAGGTCGGTCATATGCTGCAGGTTGTGGGGCGATCGGTAAGGACTTTGGGAGGGCATAAATGTTTGTTGTGTTGGCGGCGTTTTCTCTGTTTCCGTAATACCCCTGAGATGCATACCCAGAATCATTGCTAAGCTTCGAATCTGTCGACGTGGATGAGATGACGGAGACACCTGAATCCACCGAGCGTTGGTCGAAATTCGATGGCCGACGTGGGAAGTTTGTGGAGATAGCAGGTATTTGACTACGAATTGCATCGGAACTAGTACCAAGCACAGTGTTATACCGCTGTTGTCTATAGCCGCCAAAGTCCAGGTTCTCATTCTTCGGCGCCAAATATATGCCTGGAGAGGGAGTAAACTGGTTGTCATAAGCGCCATTCGAGGTGCTTGTTGGAATAGGTTCGTAAGATGCAGGATTGGCACTCATTGTATAATTACTATACACATTTGATGCTGGATACGAAATAGGTGGTGTTGGCAGCGACATTGGCCGATGCAAGACACTCTGATTTGTCATTTCGTATCCATTGCGGGCATAAGGGTAAACGCTATAGACAGCTCGATCCTCCATTCGGTCCATAGTGTCTACTTCGTCAATTGCCGTGCGGAAATTCTGCTTGGTGACGAGGTCCGGGCGTGGTATGATATGCTGGAATGTGGGATCTTTTGAGGGAGTCTGTAATCTGTTGTTCATAATGTCGGCAACTGAGTAGTACGAGACCAGATGGTGAGAAACGCCTCCAACTGTCACGCTTACAGTCTTCTTTACCAGGCCTTCGTCTTTGAAGCCGTAGGAATCAACTAATGAACCTATTAACGATCGCTCGGTTTCCTTGGTCAGCGAGTTGGGCGTAGGTGTATCAAGATATGATACAGCAGAAGATACTGGAGCGTAGCCACTTCCTATGTTGTGGCTAATTCCTGACGCAGCAAACGGTACTTGGGCTTTGCTGATCCCAGGGGATTTCTTGCCACGCTTCATCGCTCTTTTCTTCTCGCCTGGGGGAAAGGGTCGCTCGAGCTCGCGATAAACAAGGAAGTTTCCCAAGATCCGACTCGGACTCCAAGGCACACCGTCAGTCCACCGCTTGATACCAGAAGAGTGTTCCTCGTAGATGAAAACATTTCCGCTCTGGATCAAACCTGCTCGTTCACGGTCGTGTGGGCGGCGAGCAACATGGTTCATGGCACCACTGAGACATGCCTCAAATAGGAGCAGTGCGTCTTGAGTAGAGGCAATATGGCCATAGAAAGTGGGAGAGAGTGGTGAGGCGGATACCATCGTGCCAGCTGTGTGGGTTTTAAAACGGTATTTATGTGCGTGTTGTTTTTGTGCGGATTGCGGTATAGCATCTATGAGATGGCAGCGTAGTATTGCCCTCGATTGGAAAAGCGGGCGTGCAGTCGATTGGGTTTGAAGTGGGGAGCAAAGATATGTTGTCAAAGCTTGGTGAATGTGGACAGGCGCAATGGGTGACGATCTTTTGAGTCAAGGCTAAAGGTGCAGGGAGAGGTTCGAATCGTGGTTGTCAAAGAGGTCGGTATTGCAAAAGACCATGGAGGTGGGTTGGAGAGGGATTGTTTATGCCTTCGCTCCTTTCGGCGTCTGTTGTAGGTCAAAGGAGGGATGAGTAGGCCGAGTGTTGGTTGTTTAGACGGTACCGAGGAAAGGGGAGCATATGTACTATACGGAGTAGATGGACTTCTTGGTCGTGTCGTCCGTTCCGGAAAGCGCAAGGGTATCGTGGTACATGGGTTTTGAGCGCGACTTCCGTGTCGTTGTTGGGTTACCGTTTAGCTCTCGTGTCGTGAGAAGGGAACCCAGGCGCAAGGATGCTGTCGTGCATACAGCCACCAAATACAGTCGCAACTAGAAGTACGGAGGTAAGTCCTCAGCCAAAGCTGTTGAACCTTTTCTCTCTCACGCCAAAGAGACCCTTGGGAAAAGCCAAGTAAAATTTACAAGGCCAGTGCGGCTAGAAGTGGCAAGTGCAGTAGCTTCGTAGACTCGTTAACTTGTGGAAGAGCGAGCGACGAGGGGCAGCGACGGTTGTGCAGGTGGGAGGTACATTTAGGGTTCCTGAAGGGTGGAAGTCTAATTATACCTAAGAAAAGGGGTCTTAAGGGATTGGCAGTACCTAGTAGTACTGTACTAAGATCAAGGCAGCCAGTTTCATTTCTGATCGAGCAAAAGCTACTTTATTTTACTCTACTACTATGGCTGGCTATACTTGCGCGCGGGAGGTCTAGCCTCTAGGTACCAAGTACATAGGGGGCTTTTCCTGCTTGGATGCAACGCATGCCACTGCCACTTCCAGCAGGCCAACAGGCCAGCGAGCCTTACAGCGTGATAAAAGAGAGGGGGCGCGTCCGCCATCCCAGCGGCCTCAACTCAATTCCCTCTTGGCCGTCGGTCGTGGCAAGGATGAAAGCGTTCGCGGAGGGTGCCGTTGTTAGTGTCTTACAGCTAGTGATGGCCATTCCCGATATAGTCAGTAGTACTGAGTAGTCCGAGTAGTCGCTGCACTAGAGACCAGGTGAGGGGATATTGCCAGTGATCAGCATGCGAATTTACAAGGAATGTTGCGCAGGGTCTAGCCATCATTATGAGCCCAATAATCGACATGCTGCGACATGCCCAAGCATTCATTTAGGAGCGACGGTCAGCGATTGAGTTCCGGGACTTCCATAATTTTCATTCCAAAGTGGACATGAAAGGAAGGAATCAAGCTGCAGGGAAGTGCTTCTACTCTACAGCTCTCTTCAGGTCTCAGGAACGCTACGTGATGGACTCCTCTGACTCCCGTTCCGGAAGCCGAACAACGGGAAGTATGGGTAAAGATAGCAAGTGAGGATGTTCGTTCGCAGTAAGGGTGCTTCCGTTTCTTATTTGAAAGGAAGAAGTTAATGCGCAGAGAGTTTAAGAGAACGCGGATTACCGAGAAGAGTGTTGTTCCGAGAGACCACATCTTCCCAATGTCATTCCCACCATCACAGTGTGGTCTTCGCTACAAGGGCAGTACAGTCGAGACTTGAAGATCTACGTTGAGGTCTTCACGATGCTGAGATTGTTCGACTATCACACTATCTAGTGTGTGGTGTGAGTAGCTCGCATGTCACTCATACCTCCTGTAGGTGGCGAACTCTATACCTTCGTACGTCGTACCTGGGAACACTGAGATTAGACCACTCACTGTCTTTATTGGCTACACTGACAAGATGAGGGATATTGGGTTTCTCTGCCCCTGCTACTACTTGAAACTAGATGGGTTCAACCCGTCGAAGGCTCAAGTAGAGTTTCGCCTCGTAGCCTGCAGATCATCATTCGTCGTAGAGCGAAACCGTTATATCGACTATCCCAATGATGAAGTCTGGAACTCCCCTCTACAAGTGATAGGCCAATTTTGTATCCTTATCCAGAGTGGTTCAGTAACACGATATTAGCTTTCCCATCATACTTGTACGATGAACTTGCACATCATAGGCGGTACAACACTGGTAGTCGTCAACAGATGCTCGGAATGTTAGGCTTACGAAAGAATATCTGCTTGCGGAGGCCGGTATGACATGTTGTGGTTCAAACGTTTGCGCGGCACGGTTTATCCCCAGAACTCGAAACCTCGGTGTTTGCTAAGGCTGGAGCGTGGCACTAATTACCTTGTAGGAAGATTAGGTCTCCAGATGCTATCTTGACCTATCTAGTGAACTGCGAGGGGAGTGTGGAGCCAATCATATCTGTCCAGAGATATGGTTCATGCAAACCCTAATATACTTTCTTTGGTAGACCACGAGCTAGAGGCATCTCTACCTGCGGATTCCGACCTCCACTTCTACCCCAAAGATAGACCGTTTGAGCTTTGACCGAAGAGGGTGGAGCCGAGATATGAAGTCAATTGCAGTTTCTAGGCCCTACAATTATACTTCGAAGTACATTGTCCTCAAACCCCCATATTGTCAGTGCTTCCAAAATCTCTGATTGGCAATAACATATCCCGGGGTAGATTCATGATCGAATAGGCCGCATGATACATACAGACGTAAGCATTCAATGAAGTCTCCATATATAATTCACATAATGAAATAGAATTATAAGAGCCTAAGAGGACGCCGTGACTTAGTATACCATAGTATGTCGTGCTGGGCTATGATATCGCTCCAAGCTTGACGTCGCAGGGCTGTGCGGCGTAGGATTATGGTTCTGCGCCAGCGTGATCTGTATTCCCGCAAGACGCTCAATCCAAGGGGTAAAGAAGGTTTATTCAACGAACGTACCAGGTAGGCTCCGGAGACAAAACCTTAAATGCTTTGCATATACCAACTAGATCCCACGTTGGACTTGAACACGATTTTCCGCACCTTCATTGTACCTTTTCCTCTTCGTCGTCGTCTCTGGGTTGATGTTACAAATATCCCTAGTGACATTTGGACCTTGTCCCCCCCCCCTTCCCTTGTAAAAGAAGCAGGGCTAGACTCTGGCGCTACGGCCAACTCGACGTGGTTCAACGGTTCAACGGTTCAACAGACAGAGAGCTCCCATGTCTGTGTAATAATAAATCGCGGAGAAGAGTATCCTCCGTCTTCCCGCCAATCGCGGGATTTCCTGTTATAAACCGGATCTCACTCTATCATATCTCCCATGGCGAGATGTACTGTACAGTATCCAGGACTGCAGGATGCATGTGAATGCCGTTCACTTGACCGTTTGCATACAAGTTAAATTAGAGGACGTACTATACGTCATCGCAATTTGGCAGATGCCCTCAAGAAAAGAGACGTGATCTGGGCAATCCCCAGTTTGCTTCAAAGATCGAATTCTTCTTCATTTCCCCTTGATGAGAGTGTCAACCGTTGAGTCTTGCGGATCGGCTCAACCACTAAAGCAAAGCCGCCGTCAAAACACCGAAGTACCGCGCCTACGTAGTAGAGGGAGGGGAAGTCCGACTCCCCCGCGGTCTGTAGCGTGGGTGCTAGCTAGCTATAGCATGCGCCCATGGGCTAGTTGTTCTTAGCTAAGTACGGAGTAGCTTTCTGACGTGGGCGGAGGCTGCCGCGAGTTCTGGGAGCGATTGACTAGTTACTCCTCCTACTCCTGTCCTGTCAATGAAATGAAGTATGCCTATGCTCATAGCTTATTAGTTTGGTGCCGTCTTTGACCTTGACCAAGAGCGTGTACAGTACGCACGCGAGAAGACGGTAAAGACGGTAGGGGCAAGGGCAGTTGTGTAGCTGTGAAGTGGTCGCACTGCCGGCAGGGCCAAGCCAAGTGATAAAGCATTCCAAGTCGCAAGCAAGCATATGGTCCAACCGTCCAACCTCTCGCAGAATCCAAATTTTAGAGTCCTTGTCTCCAACGGACTTTGCACGTGTCCGGTGACACGGTACCGGTACTACAATAGCAAAACAAGCCGGGCGTGGGGCAATAGAGCAGAGCATTGCCGGTGGGATAGGTTCATGGGGGCGATTTCAAGGGAGGTGGGGGAAGTGGTTTCGCGGAGGTTAGGGTAGGTAGGCTAGGTAGGGTAGGTAGGGTAGGTAGGGTTGGTAGGGTAGGTAGGGTAGGTAGGGTAGGTAGGGTAGGTAGGGTAGGTAGGGTAGGTTAGGTACCTATAGGTAAGCTAAGTAGGGTAAGTTGGGAGTTAGGTACCTATAGGTTAGCTAGGTAGGTAGGGTAAGTGAGGGTTAGGTACCTATAGCCTACCTTCGTATGTAAGCTACTGTAGTCTGTAGCAAGTCAAAATTGCAGAATTAAGCATACGTCACATACGACAGGGGGCTTTGCATTGTTCATGCACTGGCCCGGGTCTACCTGCAGGGCTCACAGGGCAGGGGGCAAGGGTTGAGATTGCCAAGAGATCTATTTGGGAGTGAGTTACCCTGGCCCTGTGAGGCTGTGCATCAAATCGTCTTTCAGCGATATACCGTACGGTGTAATCCTGTAATTTACTAAAGTAATACTACAGTATAGTGCAAGCCCCTTCAATTATACGAACGTACTTCTATGCCCTATAAAGACCCTTGCGCCGATCATTCCGTCCTTATACCCGCCTTCTCCGTAACGCAGAATGAACAAAACAAAGCCTGGACCCCGCAATTCATTGGCCTTATTCTTGAGTATACGGTAGTAGGTACAGTACAGAGTATACTATAAGACCCATCTAGAATCTTTCATACTTCGTCACAGGCCAAACTGTTACGCCAAGAAATCTATAGCAGGGGGTTTAAGAAGGGTAGTAAGCGCACCAAACCAAGGCCCCCTTTCCCCTGGTCTTCTTGGCGTAACAGTTTGGCCTGTGACAAAGTACTTCGTATTTGTATCTTCGTACTTCGTACAGTACAGTTATCTGTCGAGACAGGGAAGTTTTTTTTTTTGGCGACTAAATTATACTAAAGAGCCGGTTTCATAAATTATCCCGAGACGGATCAGCACTAAGACTTCCGATTTGTGAATCGGGAAAGCCCCCAAGCCCACCTTTCAAAAGCCCTCAAAACCCGCAAAAGCCCCAAAAGCCACGGGGAGCAACTAAAACAGCGTCTCGGTACCACTTGCTCATATAAACGGCATACAAACTACAAAGTACTTCGTCCCAGGCGTGTGCTAGGGGTCCTTTTCTATGGCAGGACGAAACTCACCCAATCGCAAGCAATTCTGGTTTGGTCCCCCGATGCAAAATCGTCCTCTGGCGATACTCAAAAGTACCTTCTATCGGTAGGGATGGGAAATATCCTAAGATATTTTTATCTTGCATATTTTTAGGCATAAACTACGCATAAAAGTATGCATAATATATATAAACCATAACTAATTTAGCTGCATTTTCTAGCTTAACATAAAATTAAAAACATTCTTAATGATATTTACTAAAATAGCACTATATTAATATATATTTAGAAAGTCGGCCCTATATACAGCGCTCTTAGTAAGCAATATGGTAAAATATCTTTTATATCAACAAAAGGTAAGTATAAGATAGATATCAATCTTCACCTCTACAAAATACCTTTTTCCCATGGATCATGGGAAACGTTCCCGTGTAATAAATTAGAAGTCATCAATTGCCCCGCCCAGTAGAATGAGTTGGCTCATTATCTAAGCTTCACTATCATCTCCCCCAGACGGCCTCTCTATCATGGTGGATCAAGCGATGTACACTTCAACGCCGGAGTCATGCCGGTATTCCACACGAAAAATGCCTACGTATTGAAGACGCATGCATTTTCAAGCCGTTTCCCAAACTTGTAAGGTCTCTTTGTAAATTACTGTTGTTCCGTGTAAAACCAGGGCTTTCTCCCAGAATATTCCTCCCCGGGCACAATCATCGGCACTGGTATCTTGTCCTTGAACACCTCCATGCCAGGCGGGCCCTGGCCCCGGGCCTGATCCTGGGTCTCAGCACCCGCTACAGGGAAGATCACACCGCACTCCCAATTGCGAAGGTTAAGCTTTGCTTCCTTCGTGGTTCTATCCTTGACGAGACGTCCCCTTCTGCGTGTCAAGAATGCCCCTTGAATAATGACAAGATACAAGACTCACCATGCACTTTCAGACAGATTGGCACTCCCAACGTATGCCCAAGCCACGTGGCCACGTATAGCCTCGTGAGGCCGTACGAATATCATTTTGTTATGCATCAATAGTCCATCTCTTTGACTTTTGCTGTCACGCAAAAGTGATCGGGGGAAGCTATTGCTATTGTACCAGCTAGACAGTGAGGTTATTAACATTTCATATACCAGAAACCCGTGGTAGGCATAACAGCTGAGAGAGCCAGGCTTACTTTGACTGAAAACAAATGGTCCCTCCCGCCTAGAGAATTACCGTTAGCTGACTTCTCGTGCAGGGGGCCGTTTGAGTTCAAACTTAGATCAACCTACGTCCTTACCGCCCCGGCTCTTCCCAACAGTGTCTGACGTGGGAAAATAGATTCGGAAAAGTGATGCCAAGTCCTTAGAGAGTTGAAGCTCGGCAGTCGATTCGCCTTTTCCTTTCCCCTTTACCTGCTTGCTTATGCGCCGTTCATATTCGGACATTCCATTATCACCTATAGAGCAAACGCATCATTAGATTCCATGGTACCCATTGCACGATCTCATATCCCAACGAAACATCGCGTGGATTGCATGGGCATATAACTTGAAATGGAAGCAGGGTTGGCACGATTAAGAAGACAGTGATATTCTTACCCTGTAGAGCCAAGTAGAGGCATTTGATTAAATCGATGTTAAGATTACCAATAGACGCGGCCTTTCTCACCGTCAGCAAACAATGTACGTCCAGTTTTAGGAACGAGAATGCATACCGCAAAGTCAACACTTAGGGCTTTTTCGGTATCGAGGCCGAGCTGTTGCACTGCAGTACCTAGCCCACAGTATCCCGTTCGTCTTATGCCCGATCCAGTATGCGATCCTCCACTGCCAGGATCAAGTCAGATAATGAATTACCGATTCACGAGGAATGGCACGTTACATACATTGAATGAACGAAGCCCAAGTGTGCTGTGCGTGAGAAGTCAAATTTCCTCATGCTATCAATTATCTTCTGATCGAGACCCAATGCCGTGAGGAAATAAATCAACTCTGTAGCGAAATGGGTAAGTTTACCAAGCTCCGTCAGCTCGCCATCTGGGTTTCTGGGAAGGTCGATCAAGAAGCAGACCTTGACATCATGTTCAGCTTCTGGTACCTAATGTTTTGTTGGAAGTGGACTCACATTTTCCATAACGCCAGTCTCACCCCAATCATAAGGCACGAGATTAGCACTGGGTACAACGATACGTAGATGGGAAGGGTGGGCCAAGAGCTGGAGTTTCGAATGCATGCAGTTGATGTTGCCCTCCATACTGGGAAAGCAGAACCGTTGATTCTTCGCAGCTTCGGAGCGCAGTTTTTCTTTCTATAGCGAGTCAGTAACGTAACACTTCTTAATGTGATTATGTGAGACTGAAGGCCTAAAGCTTTGCGAAGACCAAGAATCAAAATTCTCACTCACTTCAGCCTCGTCCTTTTCTTGAAGTACCCAGATGATTTTAGTTTTGCTATCGAGTTTAGCTTCAACCCAAGCAGGATCTATCTGGAATGAGCTCAGCACAGCGAGTTCGAGATCCTTCTTCTGAAAAACTTCTTCGATTTTGATGTCATCTCCTTGGCGAGGACATCCATAAACCCATGTTTTCTTGATCGCACCGTCGGGGTATTGAATTCCTGGGGTACTGGCCTTTTTTGGGTCATTGGAAGACAGAACTTTTGGCAACTTGTTCTTTTCTTGAGTAGGGGGTATAATAGGCGTTGTCGCGTGACCGGATAAGGCAGCTTTGCCCGGCTTGTTTCTTCCAAGTGATAGCCCTGTTGATGGCTCATGTGAAAGCTTGGGCACGACTTGTCTTCCTTCTCGATTATGAGGAGCGGGTGGTGAAGTCGGCGCTTCCCTTTTCCTTGAACCGAGTTTCGTGTTGGAACCTTGTGACTCCACTTGCTTGCTCTGCGCTCTTGCTCTCCGTTCCTCTTCCATTTGTTTACGATTCAACGACCCAAGATATCCATTCGACGGTAAAGGAGCTTGTCGCATTGGTATATTTTGGTCGATTTCAAGAGGGGTGGCACGGTTAGAAGCAGTTTCAATCTTGGTGTTGCTCCCTGTATCGATAGCTGAAAGCCCATCATTCTTGCTGTCCATTCTCTGATCACGCTGGGATGCTCTAGATGTAACAGGTGCGTCCAGGTCATCATCATCATCTTCGCTAACGAGATCAACGATTTTCGATATTCGAGACTCCGGTGAAGGCTCTTGTAATGACAGAGCAATGGCTTTCTTGGTATCTTCGTCGTAATCGCTGTCGGAGCCTGACATTGTAGATGGCAATCTTGAGGGACGAGCTATGAATAGTTTGACAAACTCTGGTAGTCTCGTTGTGTCCGACAAGTTAGGAGTACTTTTCGGACTTAATAAGAAGCCCCGAGCACGGAGAATATTCGCCCAGTGAGCTCGACGACGAGGGAGCTTGCTAGCCCTGACTGGAAACAGAATCCTGCAAGATCCAGACAAGTGATGCAGCATCTATCAACTAGACCTAAAGGTTCATCAGCAATGTTCTGTAGAGTAGCAGAGAGTTGAGGCAATACTCACTTCCTTGTTCTTGTTTCGTCGTGGAAAGATGCAGACGTGTGTCGTTTAACGTTTATCGCGATCGTCTGTGGATGAAACACGAAGTCCCGTGACCAATGAACATTTCCGAGCACCTAGTATAAGCTATGAGAATATTAGCAAAGCGTAGAATTTTTGCCAATTAATTCCTGACTATATCAGCGGCGTACTTATCGGAGCTTTTGATGTTTTTAAGATACTTCTTTCCGTATAGTAAAGTTTATGCGTAGCGCTCGCTGAATTCCGGGGAAGTGAGACCGTGCACCATCACCAGTGATGACGTTTACAATCCGTTACATTTCTGATGAATAACTACAATTCTCCCCTTCTGCGAAATCCTTTTCCTTCTCTCTCTTTCTCTCTCTTTCTATTTGTAAATGTATTGCTTTTATCAATTCTTCGCTGCAACGACCAGGACAGCTAAATAATATCAGAAGTAAGCAGACTTATACACTTTGTCAACAACAATGGCAGAAGCAAAGAAGAAAAACATCGTAATTATAGGAGCTGGGGCTGCAGGCATGGTAAGAAAATAGTTTTACTTTCATCTTCAATTTATATTCTGCTCGAGACGTAGATTTAGTTGGGAGTAGTGAACTCTGAAAGGTCTTTTACACGTTCTGTTCACCTATTGATCATACTTTTCGAAGAGATTCTGTCACTTTTGTCAATTGTTCATTTTCTGTTCGTCCAAAGCAAAAGTGATTTGATAAATCGTTCCTGTATTCCAAGGTGCTACTTTTTATAACATGACTCAAAACCATATTCTAATTCGTCTCCACACCTATAGTCATGTGCAGCAACTCTTGCTCAGCATCCGGAAAGGTTCAAAGTCACCGTCTTGGAGAGAGCGGACGTAACTGGGGGGCAAGCGACGTCCATATCCATCGACAAGGGTAAATTTGGAACAGATTGGATGAATGATGGGGTTCAAGGAGGCTCACCTGTAAGTCCATTTGTCTGATGCCACATGTTCATCTCTAATCGGTAGCTAGATCTTCAAACACACCTTCAATTTCTTCAAGAGGTACGGCCATGAGCCACAAGAAGTCAAACTCCAGGTAGCATTTGGAAAGGGACCAGACGGGTTCTGGACAAACTGTTTTCCAAGTCCTCTGGTAGACAAGTTTTCCTCTGATATCAGAAAGTTCGGCAAGGTTCTCAAGATCATCAAGTGGACGATGCCAATCATGGGGGTCATTCCTATTCGCATCATGCTTCGAATGTTTTTCTTCAACAAAGATTTTGGTGACAAAATGGTCTTCCCGTTGATTGCACTATTCTTGGGAACAGGCAATCAGACAGCCAACGTCTCATGCGCCATCCTAGAACGGCTCTTCGATGACCCCAACATGAAGCTTTGGGACTACGATCCAGAAACTCTTCTCCCGAACTTGCCCACTATGGTCACCTTCCCCAAGCTCCATGACTTCTACGAAGATTGGCGAAAAGACTTAGTCTCCAAAGGAGTAGACATTCGCCTCGAGACAGAAGTCAGGCAGATCCTTCAACGAAACAAGAAAGGAATAGTCCTCGAAACATCGCCTTGCAACTCCGAAAGAAACACACCCCCTAAAACCAAAACAGAAACCTACGATGAGCTCGTCCTCTGCATCCTCGCAGATGATGCCCTTAAACTCCTCGGTAAGACCGCAAGCATGAAAGAGCGCTTCGTACTCGGCGGAGCAAAATTCTACGACGACATAACAATTACCCACTCCGACAGCGCATACTTCAAAAAGCACTACGAGACGGAATTTCAAGAATCTCTTTGCGCAAAACCCAAGTCAAAGGCCCAAGAAGACCAAATAGCCTTTTCCAAAGGCCTGCAACCGGGTCCAGACAACACGCCAGGACCATATAAACCTATGTATTATACAAAGAGCTATGCTCAGGATCCGAGGAAGATTGAGATGTCATTTGATTGCACGAATTACCAGCACCAGTTCCGCGCTTCAAATGCGCAGGAGAAGGAGCATGTGTACCAAAGTATATTTCTTGATAACAGGCAGGAGGAGTTGTGGACTTGGAAGGAGATTCGGGAGGAGAAGATTATCGAGAAGAAGTGGTGGCATCAGTTGGGGCATCGGTGGCAGCATTATTTAAGGGTTGTACCTGGGATGATGTTTCTCAACGGGAAGAATAATACGTTCTTCGCGGGATCTTGGACACTTGTTGTAAGTTTATCAAGTTTTGGCATTTTGGATGGCACTGACGGAAAACAGAACATGCATGAACTTGCTTGTGTGAGTGGTATTGCCGCTGCGTACCGGCTGGGTGCTGAGTATGTGAAGTTTGATGATTTTGCGGAGGATTTCTTTAGCAAATACTTGCTCGTTTCGCATGGAGTGAGGTATGGTGCTGAGGGGACGAAAAGGCAGAAGCAGAAGTAAAAATAGAAGAATAATTAGGATAGGTAGGTAGTAATTGGCATGGGGCTAGGTTGACTTACTGGGAAATAAACACATCTTCTCCATCGTCCCACAGTAGGTTTCCATGTGATTCTAAGGTCAATATGGCTACACAAGCGCCTTAAAATGGAATTGAGGTTTTCAGAACAGCAAACCATTATTTCACTGGTATCTGTGAAAAGATCTATACCCAAGTGTCCTGACAGTAACACTTGAGCCGTGTTGCTAGAAGACCTCGAGGCTTCAAATACGATATTCAACAGTTATCCGCGGGGATTTACGCCGAAGAAGAAGACTGAACGTGAATAAACCACTGGCATAACCCCAGACCCGCCACAGAGAACCAGCCACGAAATGAAATGGAATCATCGACAACGGGTCGATGAATTGATACTTACAGTAGATGGTCCATTCGCCTGCTTAACCATGCATTAGTATTCACGGCACCACTGAAACATAACCCGCAACCCTCATCCCACCATGCAAGAAATCACAACAACATACCTCATCCTAGGTCTCCTCGCAATAACGATAACCAGCATAACAGCATGCATCGCTGTTAACATGATTAAGTTGAGAAGAAGGAGCAAGCGGCTGATTACTGCAATAAAAAGGTAGCCATATTCATAGATCGGCACTTGGTTCAGAGCGACAGTTCGCTGCCATGTGCAACATAACAGCAAGATTTACCATATGAACATATCACGATTTTCGAGAGACGTAGATGTAGACGTAGTGTAGGCGCGTTTGCCACGCGAACTTGAGTTGGAATGACCAAACGCCTCGGTGGCATCGGGCGTAAACAAAAGGCTGTCCTAAAGTTCAAGGCAAATTGTACATAGATTGCAGGACTTCAAGTACTTAAGCTTGTCCTTTTCTTCGTGGGCATCTCGATAAAGGAGACTTCGAATCGAAAATCGCATTATCAGCACCACGACACGGCGAAATACCAGACATCTCCAACGACCGTGTAACAATACAAGGTGACAACCATCATATGCTTTGCAATTATCTTCGGATTAGCCTGGTTCGTATTCGTATATCTCTAGATATTGACAAGGAAGAAGCGAGCAAGGAAGGAGTTTTCTCATAAGCGAAATGATCTTCAGCGAGCCCAAGCAGATAGCGTGATACAAGGACAGAGGCAGGAGACCGAAGATCTGCGATGGAACATTGAACAACTGGACGGGGGAAATCAGCAATTGAAGGCGAAGGTTGAACTGTTTGACCAGAGAGCTCAATACTTAGAGGAGCAATTATGAGTCAAGATGAAAGAGTTAAAGGATACGAAGGAGGGGAAAGGAAGGAGGGGAAAGGAAGGGAAAGGAAGACGATGAAGAACAGAAGGGGGATAATAAGCCGAAGGCAAAATTTGTGCAGCCTAGTGAAGCTGCCGGCAAACGAGGAGGCAAGTCTGGAGGCTAAGTAGAGATCATGGTATGCGGTTAGCAATGGTCAACGAGCAACTCAGATAGCTTCATACTCTGCCCTCGCCCCCAATTACTGTGCACAAAGGCTGTCAACTTGGTCTTACAGCTCAGGCGATGTTGATGACTGTGTTCGCTTGTCGATGACATCAGTCTTGGAAGGCATGATTTAGGCATAGGTTGTTTATTGTTTTTTAATTAGGGGAGATACAATATAGGGAGCCACTCCTTAATCCAAGCAGCCGTAGAACCAGCTTACGCCCAGGGCTCTCCTTCCCACCTAAACCAGGCACCCGTTTGGTGCTTCTAGACACATAGCTCTACCAAAGCAGCTTTAACAGCTTCCCAAGCAGGAACCACTCTTAAGCAGCATGATTCAGAGACAATTGTTGGTGTTATTGAGAATAGCGTTGCATCATAGAAGGTCGGAATGTTCCACTGGTGCAAAATCTCACTATTTAAACAGCCCTTCTTGCTCCTTGCAAGGGTTTCAAGCAGTAATCCCCAAAGATCCAAGCTCCATCATCAAAACTTTACCTTACAGATACCTTTTCACCAAAAGAACAACGATGCAAGAGACTGTCCTTGTTGGCATTATCTCGATCTGCGTTGCCCTGTCCATAACGGCTTTAGGAGCTTGCTTTTGCCTCTGCTCTCGTAGATACAACGGGTAAGGTGATCTACGGAGCCATCTTGAGTAGTGAAAGACACTCTCGGGCAGCCAAGGTCATCGAACCGTCTAACTTATCCTTAAGTGATTTACAAGCGCCATCCATCACCATCCCGGGACTTCTTCACTCTCATTGCCAGAGGACTACCACTCTCACAAGACTCAATACCTTCAAATTTCTCTCTCCAGAGACAGCGCTATCCATCGAACAGTACCAATGGAACTGTATATTATCAGACAGCCTTCCTCCGACAAACCATTTCGGCTAGTACTTTCGGAAAGTATGGGGCGCATGCCCTCAAACATATGGAATTGCACATCGTTGCGTATCGACTCTGAATCTCTCTTTCAACAATGACCGTTCAGCCGGTTGATCAGTGCAGATTCCATAGTCTCAGCAGCGAGGTAGCTTTCGACTTGATCTCATCACCGAACCAGCTCACACAGCATTCCCATCTTCCTGCACCTCGAGCATGAACCCTGGACTCCAATACTCCCACTCGTCACTTTGCTTATCAACCCAAAGCATACTTTCTGACATAAGATCATCAATAGCCGTCTTAGCTCTTGCACGCGGCCATCTTAGATTCAACATGAGCATGGAGACGGTTACATACCCCAGTAACTGGGCAGTCTCGAGTACGGCGCTCTGGTCGGTGTTTAGTTCCTTTGGAATGGAGCGAATGTACACTTTATGGCCAACCGTGAGGGTGGAATAAGAAGACCCCAGCGGTTTCAGAGTGTTCACTGCACGGAGGATGTCGTCTCTGCGAGACATTAGTATCAATACAAAAGCCTGACACTAGACTTCTTACTCGGTGATTTCAGAGGATCCTTCCATCCTCGTGACCGTGATCCTATCTCTAACTTCCTTGACTCCAATCAGTCCTCCATTCTCCTCTCTCGTAGCATCACAGACTTCCACGACTCTTACAGCCAGCTCAAAATAGAAGTCGTTGACACTTCCTCCAAGCAATTGAGCCCAGAAACTCCCACCTCCATCTTTGCCTCCGGCCCCGCTGCTACTTGCTAGAGGGTCTACGCCGATAGCTGCACACATGCGTGCAAACTCTGCTCGGAAGCTTGGGTTGGATCGAATATCCTTTGCATGCGTTTGGGCGAACTGCTGTAGGAGCGAACGAAAGACTGATAGTTGAGTTGCTACGGAGGTAGAGTGGGAGCTTCTGAGGTTGTTTCCATGAGATGCATATTGGGCAGATTTTATTCGAGACCTATCGAAGGCCGCAAGACCAACTCCTTTTCGAGACATAAATGCAACTATTTCAAATGTTGATAACCCGACGTGCTTCAAACAAGCAAGATGCGGAAGAGGTTCGAGCGTACACATCACGTGTGAAAGCTTGGACTCGCTAGTCTGATCTTGGAATAGTTGTGGCAGCTCGAAATAAGCGATCACACACACATTGATTTTTTAGGACCGCGACAGACTTCAAGAAAATACTCCAACAAACCACCCAAGATGGCCTCTCCACAAAGCGTCCAATGTTTTGGCAAAAAGAAGACTGGTGAGTCCTCCCCGATTCTCTGCGATCAAAAATGAAGTTCTGACGATCTCTCCAACAGCTACGGCGGTCGCCCACTGCAAGGTACGAACGAATCAACGATTGAACTCGAACTCGATCGAACAGAACATGATATACTGACAAGCTGGATAAAGGCCGGAAAGGGACTCGTCAAGGTCAACGGAAAGCCTCTTAACCTCGTCCAACCCGAGATCTTGCGATTCAAGGTCTACGAACCCCTCCTGGTCCTTGGCCTCGACAAGTTCGCCAACGTCGACATCCGCGTCCGAGTTACCGGCGGTGGACACACCTCGCAGGTCTACGCCATCCGTCAAGCCATCTCCAAGTCAATCGTTGCCTACTACCAGAAGTTCGTTGATGAGCATTCCAAGAACGAGCTCAAGCACCTCCTCGTCACCTACGACCGTACACTGCTTGTTGCCGATAACAGACGTTGTGAGCCGAAGAAGTTTGGAGGTATGTTGTACAATTGCTGGAATGGAAATTTCTGGGGCTGTGATGCTGATATTTTTTTTAGGTCCCGGTGCCAGAGCCAGATACCAAAAGTCGTACCGTTAAAGTTGGGTGTTGGTTTGGGGGAGTGGTTTCTGGTGCATTTGCAATGGATGGGATTTGCTATTGGCTGGTTGTAGGGATTTAAGCAGACAAATGCAAAGTTCTTCCAGCACAAGCACATGGCGTTGAGATTTCTAGATGGATAAGCTCCAGCCAATCCAGGTATCGAATGTGAGAGAAATGAAGGAAGTGCCCAAAAATTCCTAGACCTATTTGGAGGAGTATGGCGATACGTGAGTGTGCCATTTATCCCTGCATGACAGACTTTGGCTTCTTCAAGTATTCTTTTGGCCCCTCTTAAGATACAAGCGCTATCTTCGAGAATCCATGCGCCCAGTTTTCGAGCAACGATTGATGCACTTTCTGTAAGATACCAGTTGCTTCATCATCTTTCAAATCACTTTTGAACCACAGAAATACGTCATATTGTCCTTTCTACAATGAGCCCAAGCCCGATCTATACTTGAACCATTATGCCTAAACTACTTTATATCTAAAGATTCCTCAATTTTTCTTAAAAGAACCTTGATAGCTCCTATGAGAAACTTAACTCACTTAAGAGAGGGGTACTGAATTGATTGAGGATGTAGGGCTACAACGTTAAACGAGTAGACTCAACCGCAGCATTAACAAACTTAACTCTTGATTCCCAGAGGTCTTCCACTAGAATCTTCACCTCGCATCTGTATCCCAGCTAATGCAATACAGAAACAAAAACTCTCTTGTGTGAAGACCCCATCTCTTTGACTGTCCCCGTAATCGCACACCAAACCAAACGCCATACCCACTCTCCTTACTTTCTAGTATTCTCCAGAATCGTCTTCATCATCTCATTCCCCACCTTCGTCGCATCCGCAAACCTAGGTTCGAAAAACTTCTGCGTACTAACAAATCGATCCTTCCAACTCTCAAAATCTCCAAAAGTAACACAATCACTCCAGCCCCTCGCCGCAAATGTAAACTCCAGATCATCGCTCCGGAACGTATCATCCTCAATCGCAATCCGAATCACATCCTCCAGTAACGCGGGCTTCCTAAACAGATACTCGGTAACGCCGATCCAGAGGCGGAAGAGCGGCGTGGAGCATATCATGTGGTCGTAGGGCACAATGCCGAGCTGAGACCAGCAGTCGACCATTGCGAGCAGGGAGAGATGGTTGTTCGGGAGGGGAGTTTCGGGTTTCTTGCCGAGAGAGAACCGGTCTAGTACTTCGTCTTGGAGGAGCAGTTCGCCGTCCCATGAGCGGGACCCGAATACAGCAGCGCCAGCGTTCCTAATGCGCTGCGCGAACTCCTCTTTATGACCCCCTAGCATCAGTTTGTACAGCTCCGTCACGCTCTGGGCGTACTGTCGGATCTGCTCTTTGGCGTAGGGGTTCAGGATGGCGAGGCCGGCATAGACGTGCCATTTCTGCGAGTAGATGCGTAGTGTTAGGTTGATCTTGACGTTTTCGATGCCGCCGACGTAGCGGGCGATTTCCCAGGGGAACTGGGCGTTTGCGTGCCAGGCTTTGCCCATGGAGAGGAATGCGGCATGGGTCACGGCTTGGGTGTCTGCTGTGATGCGGTCGTGTTGGGCGGCAGAGAGGTGGACATGTTTGGAGTTTAGGCAGGAGAGGACGTGCTCTACTTTGTTGAAGCTTTCTTGGGAGGCCCGGTGCTTGATGATTACCTGGAGGAAGGGATAAGTAAGTGAGTATGGGCTGCTTGGAAGGATAGAGGGCTCACGAGGGGTTGACCTCGGGGATCAACGTGTGGGCCATGGAGGGAGTGACAGCAGACAATGTCTACATCTTCTGGGAGATACTTCTCGAAAGCTTCAATCTCTGGAGCTTTACAAGAAGTCTGGCCACCGACAATAGCATTCTGCTTGGTAGCTAACCCAACATCAGTCACGTAGTAAACAGCATGGAGACAGCATCACGGCATACATGGACCATACTCTGCAACGACTTTGCCAATCGATGCTGCTTCGACGTTGTATATGATATAATCGCTTGCTCGGGACACAAGATGTCCATTGGGAAAGATCTTAATTTGCTTCTATGGACGTCTCAGCACTCAGGTGCGGGATTGTGCTATGTACAGAGGTGTTTTACTCTATCTGCAAACTCTTCACACAGACCCTCGTATTTCTCTTCTCTATCGCAGGCGTTCACGCTAGACTCGTGCTATCAGCTGCTGTAAGTACTATGTTGTGGATAAACCTGAGAATATTTCCGTTAGCTTGTGTTGCCCAATTTTGTTGAGGAAAGCTTTGGGAGGTGGGTATTGATTTCAGACAAAGTAAAATAAGGTAGCTGAGATTTTTCATCAATGAAAGCCAACCGCGAAACCGTATACCAGAAAGGTAGTCAGGCCAGCTGAAGGCGATACTCGAGCCAAATGCACTCAAGTCATCATTCAAAAGAGAGAAAAGTAAAGTAGAAGGTGGGGTGCGCTTACCATTGAATATTCTGACTCAACGACAGCAGGATTTCGAACAGGAGTTATTTACCTCCATCCAGCAGCGCTGAGCCTCTTGGCATACATCTTCCCCATGTCGCCCATGCCAATGATCCCAATGACAAAACCCTCCATGCTTGTAGCTAGATCTTGAGAAGCCATGGTGGCTTTCGTGGATTAATGGTTCAGGTTACGGACAGAAAACAGCAGACTCTTCCTCAGCAAGCTGCTTATGAAGTACAAGGAACTTCATAAAGGATACAGCACCAGAAGGCGGAGTGTGGGAAATTTTCTGTTCCTGGGCAGTTTGTTAAGGAGGAAGCTTGAACTTTTTTTTTCAACTTTAAAGAAGGAAGTTCTCTGCCCACGCTAAAGCAGCCCCACCGGGCACATCATGTGACTGTGTCTGCGCTAGCTCCCGCACACACAACTTTTCGGATTATCGCGAATATTTGACATTTAGAGACAACCTCAACTCCAAGGAACCTTTTCGTATTTGATTCCCAGCAACTAACTCGACAACATGCCTCCAAAGAAGACCACCCGCCCCGCCCAGGAGAACATCTCCCTCGGCCCTCAAGTCAGAGATGGTCAGTAAACAATTCTCTTGCGCCCCCAAAGAATCCAACCCTCCATAGACCTCAATTTTCAAGAACAAACACTAACTTGCAACCAGGTGAACTTGTCTTCGGAGTCGCAAGAATCTTTGCTTCGTTCAACGATACCTTCGTCCACGTCACCGATCTCTCGTATGTACATCCTTAAGAATCACAAATTGGAGGAGGAATCCCTACAAAAATGAATATACATATATACAAAGTGGAATGGTTCATAGGCTGACTTTCTGGGTGATTCCAGTGGCCGCGAAACCATCACTCGTGTCACCGGCGGCATGAAGGTCAAGGCAGACCGTGACGAGTCCTCCCCCTACGCTGCCATGTTGGCTGCGCAAGACGTCGCGATCCGCTGCAAGGAATTGGGCATCAACGCTCTGCACATCAAGATCCGTGCCACTGGAGGTAAATGCCGCTCTCCCCACCCCTCCTTTTGTCCAAAAGCATGACCAATGCTAATTAATATTCCAGGTAACGGAACCAAGACCCCAGGCCCAGGAGCACAATCAGCTCTCCGCGCCCTCGCCCGTTCCGGAATGAAGATTGGCAGAATCGAGGATGTGACCCCAACCCCATCCGACTCCACCCGCCGCAAGGGAGGTCGCCGTGGTCGTCGTCTTTAGATTGGTGCTGGACTGGATGGAATGGCTTCGTTGCTTGGGTTTTCACTGTGGGGTCAAATACGACGCGGAGGACGGCATTAATCGCCTGGTCTCCAACTTTACTCACATGATGTCTTGCTTTTAAGGCAGTCAGAACGAAAATCAAAGGACTTGGCAAGCAAATGCAAATCATAAGTTTTTGTGACGTGATAATCAGTTTTCAATCCATAAGGTAATTTCTATACCATACAAAAACTCCTTGCGAGTTGCTGGAATTCTGCCCATGTCCAAGGATGAGCCTCTCTTTAGTGAGGCAACCGCACCATATTATACCCATTCTCCTTGGGGTTTTGGTTTCTCCTTGAGACTGCAACATTCTATGACCGCCTACTTCATGCCCCCAAAACGCCTGTGAATATGTGTCAAGCCTCCTACGCCAAAACCATGCGCACAGCCAGCCAACGCCAATCCTCCATTTGGATACTGTCTGAAGCTTCCTCGCTTACAAATGCAACAAAACCAGTGAAACAGCGCCGAAGTCGAAAAGGACAGATGTCGATAATTGTGTCGTATTTTGAGAACGGTGTATTGTATGTACGTGGCGGGAGTAGGTTCTATGGACAAACTACCGCTCGCGAGCCGCTCGAGACTGTTTGCGAGCACGCTTGATCATATTGTTGATCATACCTAGGGCGACGCGCGGAGTATTAGACTAGACAACCCAGGATCAAAAACGGATGAGCCCTCTTTCGCGTCCGTTTTCGTCCAGGTCGACTACAGCCGGTGCCCACTCACCACGCTCATCCTCTTCTTGAAAATCTTCAACCTCTGCATCGACAAACTCGCCGTCCTCAAGCCTAGGTGAACGTGTCAGCGTTTTCTGTTCGAGAACATCTAGGAAACACATGAAGTGCATTTTCCATTTCAGAAGTACGACTTGAGGCGTCGTAGGACAGGAGTGTGATGAAAGAACCAGATATACTTACTGAATCTGTCCGCTCCGAACATAGTTGCCTCTGAGATCCCAGTCCCACTTCCAAAGCCACTCTTCGAATTCCTCAAATGCTTTCGCAAGCGCGCTCTGCTTACTATTTAGGTCTTTTCCTTGGGCGAGAAGCTGCTCATTGAGGCGTGACTTGAAGACAATGAGGGCCACTCTAAGGTCGTGGGCGAGGTTGCTGTCATGGTCAAGGATGCTGCCATCTAAATACTCGTGGTCGTATCGGAATTGGTTGTGCACAGCCTGTATGAACTTCGTAAAGAAGACGGGCATCTCCAGAGACAAGTAGTAAGCGTGAAAGACGATCTTGACAACATGTGCCCACTGCTCCATGCAAGCTATGTTTCCTAGCAACATGCCAGTCAAGTAGCAAAATTGAACCTCTCCAATGATCTCATCCGAGTCCTGGTAGGTACATTTATCATTAATGATATCTTCAACGTAAGAAGTCGAGTCCAAGGCCTGCTGCGTACGCTGACGGCCTCTGGATTCGTCCGAGAACGTTTTGGTATCCTTCGGAAAGACAAAGTTCAGGATCTCGTCCTTGTAATTATCAATAGTGATATCGGCATCACGACTGGATTTGGAACTGTGGCCTTCGTGGTTATAATCGTGCAGAGAAGAAACTTGCCAATGATTCCATTTTTGGCCAGTAACCTTGCTAAGCAGCGCTCCCTTGATGCAAGATGTCATCTGAAGCCAGATGTTGGGGTCTTTTGTGGTAGTAGTAGGTGTAGTAGAAACAATCGAGTTGCCTTGGGTCAGAGGTGCGCTGGCGGTGGCATTATAGGGCTGCATCTTGTGAAGAAGCTCGGGTAGCTCTGATTTCTGGATTCTCACTTCGGCATTGGAGACTTCTTCCTGAAGAACCTCGTTCTGGGAATCCCATCTTCTGACATGCATTTCTCCGCATTCGTCTGAGGCTCGCTTACTTGAAATGAACCAGAAGCCATTGCGCAGCGAAGTGAGACTAGATCCTCCCCAAACCAGATGTACTCCTGGTGGAATATCTTTGATGCCTTCAAACTGATCACGAGCTCTGACGGTGAGGAGCTGAGTATCATAACCCAGAATGGAGCCTGCCGGGATACCTCTGCAAATGAAAACATCACCTGATTTGAGGCACTCGTGCTGTGGAGATGTTGGGCAAGTCGGCGACGACGGTGAATGGACGCGAAGGGTGCCTAATGGGAAACTGCCAACAGCTTGAACGCTATTGACCGACTTAGCCGAGGATGATTTAGATAAACTACACTTGGTTGTGGCTTCGATCAAACTAGAGTTGGGTTCTGCACGGCCGCGGCTTTCGTGAAGAGGTTCAAGACGGCTGGAGAGGGCTGAGGCGCGACTAGAGGAATCAACACTTCCATTTGATTTGGCCGATTTGAACGATAATGTCCTGGCCAGAGCCTCTGCTTGGTCTTTGGCGGTAGACGGACTTCGCTGGATATTTATTGAGTTGGTGATAAAAGTGGAATTTGCGTATGATGAAGGAGGAAGAGAAGGCGCAACGAGGGGAGTCGCGTTGAAACCAGCATCGGAGAGCAAAGGAGACTCATCGCCATTGTTTGGGAGATGTCTTGGAGGAGTCGTCTCTAAGGAGGATGGTTTGCCGTTGTTTTCCATCGCGAGCAATAATTAATATGTTGAGATTATTGCACTGGTGAAGAAGAATTTGGATGAGGAATGATTTTCCTTGTTGGTGCTTGCTTGCTGGTTGGTGTTCCACTGGCGTACTAGAATATCTGAAGACATGGGTTACGCTATTTAAGGCCGCTTTGTTGTTACTGATTCACTTTTGGGTGTTTGATTCTCCGGATAAAAGACGGGACTTTGTGATTAGGTGTATGGCTTAGTAGAAGAAATGTTAATGTCAGTTCTTGCTCAGATATTCAAGAAGGCGTGAAAAGGAAAAAGAAAAAGATTTGCGTCTTTTGCAGACTTCGTCATAGGCTGTGATTTACACATGACATATATGTCTGTCTTCCAATAATGCACTGCATCTGATACACAATGGATGGAATGTAAGTCTTTTAACTGAATTAAAACGAGACGTCCTTTATTAAAGAAAAGAGTACATGGTTTAAAATATGAATTATAACCAACATTGTGAGGCGCTTAGTCATCATTTTTATGTGCATAGCAACTTGCGTGCCATCCGAGAGCAATATTTGATATTCGCTACTGATTAAGCATGATGAGTTGGGTACCTATGTAGGGGACAAAGATTAGGAGTAGGCTGTGAATATCGAAATCCTTTCGATGGAAGGTTTGAAGTTTTGGGAAGGCTGACTGTCAGCCTCGCAGGAATTCAGAGCCCGCTACTTGACATTACCCCGCGATTGGCTGCTGATCCTAAGGAGTCCCAAGTTCCGTCCACTTCACGCGAACAACATCCTTCCTACTCGGTGGGGGAAACTATACACAGTATCATTCCCGGTATCGTCATTCAATATATAAATACAATACCTTGGGCGTATATTATTGAATTTGTTGCAATGGACCGGTCAGGAAATGCGCAGAATACTGCAGCAGGAATTTCCGGGGCTACAAATGGGCAGCCTGTACCCAAAACGGAAGAGGATGTTTGGGACGAGGAGCGACTTGAAAAGGCTATGGCTAGGTTGAAGGAGATGCATATCCAGGTTTGTTTCTCCTCTAAACACATGTTATGCTATGCCATCCAAATACTAACGACAATCATGCTACCAGCTGAGAAATCTACGAACCACCCTTCCCAGACTCCTCGAACCGCTAACCAAGAAGCAACCATCGCGTATGCCTTCCCCTCCACTTGGACTCTGTGGGCTCACATCTGACTGGTTCTTATAGCTGAAACTCTGTTCTCCGAGTTTGCTAAATCCTCCACCACGGCGAACCAAGAAGTCCAGCAATTCCAACGGCTGATGAAGGAAGAGGGAACAAGCGTTGTTCTAGAGCAAGCCCGGAAGAGTCGTGCAGAGAATCCGAATGATATAAAGCCATGGAGAGCAAGGGAACACCCGGATTGGCTTACCAGAGATACATGAAGGGAGGGGGGTCATACAGGGCAATGGAATTTACGGGGTATCGGCGCAAAGGATCACAATACTATGATTTAGTATACACAAGGCGTTATCTCGGGGCTTTATTGGTGCTGGTATCACTTAATTATCCTCATACTTTGACTGGCGTTTTGGATGGAAATTTATTGCAAGATCGGAGTCATAAAAGAGGTATTGCTGGATTTGGGTTAGATACCCGGCAGGCCTTGGTGGTGCTATTTTAAAATCATGATATAGATGGAACCGAGTCAGAGGTGGTTGATTGTTAGAGTTATACGCAGACTCGTCCAAATTACTATATTCATACAATTTGAGTCAGCGGTTGATGGGTTATGACGGATTGTGTACAGAAGAGGCGGCTCAACCCAGGATAACCACCAGCTCCAGCCTAGACTATGCGCACATTTCTTTACTTGCTCATCGAGGATAGCAAGAGGAAATTAATCAAATCATCTCAAAGTCAAACTTTCAGAACTTTGTGTTCTTTTACCCTGGTGTAAGTAGCGCGTGGAGAGACTCGTCCTAAACAATTTTTGATGTTCCCAGCCGTGTAGCACATTTTGAGGCGCCCACAATGAGTAACCGTTTTGCATTCACCGCGATAATAACTTATTAATTTATAGCCGTGCGAAATATCATCAATAATAATAACAACAATAATAATAATAACGTAAAATACAAATTTAATATTTTGAATTTGGTGGATTTGATTGTTGATTCCCCCCTCCCCTCAATTCCCGTAGTAGGGGGGAAAACTCGCCTCGCTAAAACAAGCCCCGCCTTCAACATCAAAAATAGTGGCTTTACAAAAATTCAGGCAAACCCACCATCGCGTCTCAAAAGCCTCCAACCCTTCGCAGCATCCCAAACCAGCCACCACGATGTCTCGATTCTTCAAGGGCGACAGTTCAAGCGAGAGCAGCTCTTCCGACGAGGAAGAACTTTACTCCGAGGAGGAGGAAGAGGAAGCAAAGGAAGACTCCAGCGACGAGGATGACGATGAAGCGGAAGACGACGATGATTCTTCCAGCGACGATGAGGACGGGAAAAAGACCGGCGCAAATGCCTTCTTGAAAGGCGCAGGCTCAGATAGCGATGAGAGCAGCGACGAGGAAGGCACAAAAGTTGTCAAGAGTGCGAAAGACAAGCGGATTGAGGAGCTGGAGGGCACCGTGAAGGCGATCGAAAATGGGCAAAAGATCAATGACTGGGGATCTATCTCTGCCGGTATGCGATCATGGTGAAATACTCTCTGGGTCAGCGGCTAACATGGTTATCAGAATTCGATAAACTCAATCGACAAGTAGTGAAGCTCGTTCAGGCGGGCAACACACCAAAACCTTATATCAGAGCTATTGCTGAGTTGGAGGACTTCATGAATGAGGCTATTGCTAAGCAAAAGGTCTCAGCGAAGAAGATGAACGCCACAAATGCCCGAGGTCTGAACGCCGTCAAGCAGCGCATCAAGAAGAACAACAAGGACTACCAGAAGGATATCGATGCATACAGGGCGGACAAAGATGCATTCATGGAGTCGGACGAAGAGGAAGAGCCCGCTCCAAAACCTTCCAGAACACCCAAACCTATCGCTGGTGTACCCGCCTTCGAGATTGATGATGATGAGGGTTTCTCGACTGTTGGGAAGGGTGGCCGTACAATGCAATTTACACCCGAGAGCATTCTCAAGCATCTGAGGACGATTATGGAGTCTCGAGGAAAGAAGAACACAGACCGAACCGAGCAGATCAAGATTATGGAGAAGCTCTATGAAGTTGCCACAACCCCTTACCAGCGTATTCGAGTTCTCTTGACTATCATTTCTACAAGATTCGACTTAACCACCGGTGTTCAGACCTTCATGTCTCAAGATCAATGGAAGGCTGCCGAGCAAGAATTCGGTAACCTTCTCAAGGTCCTCGAGTCAAATCCGGAATTGGTTGTTGTCGAAAATGCAGAAGAGTGGGAGGATGATGAGAAGGCCCCTGTTGTCGCAGCTGGCGAGAAGCTCAAGATTCCCGGCAGCATTGTTTCATATGTTGAGAGACTGGATGATGAGCTTACCCGATCCCTTCAGCACATTGACCCTCACACTGCTGAGTACATCGATCGTCTTTCGGATGAAGGAGCTCTGTATAACAATATCGTTCGTGCACTGTTATACACCGAAAGCCTTCGAAAGGATGAGAGTCTGCAAGTCACGCAAGACAGCCTCAACCGTGTTGTTATGAGAAGATTGGAACACGTTTACTTCAAGGTTGGTAACTCTGTCCAGATGCAGGCTACAGTATACTAACATGAATATCCAGCCATCTGCAGTCGTCAAGATCCTCGAGGAGAACTGCTGGAAATCCATTCCCTCGGAACTTGAATCTGCCATTACTCCTCGAACCAAACTTTCCGATGCAACTGCTCTCGTTAATGTTTTGTGTAACTACCTTTTCGTCAACAGCGAAGGCATTATCCGTGCTCGAGCTATGCTTTGCCAGATTTACTTCCTCGCTCTTCACGACAACTACTACAAGGCACGCGATATGATGCTGATGTCTCATTTGCAAGAGACCATCAACGCCTTCGATGTCCACAGCCAAATCCTATTCAACCGCACTCTCGTCCAAGTTGGTCTCTGTGCTTTCCGAGCTGGACTTGTCTACGAAGCCCAGACTACTCTGCAAGAAATTTGTGGTAGTGGTCGCCAAAAGGAGTTGCTTGCTCAAGGTGTTATGATCCAACGATACAACCAGGTCTCACCAGAGCAAGAGCGCCTCGAAAGACAACGCCAACTTCCTTTCCACATGCACATCAACTTGGAGCTCCTGGAGTGTGTTTACCTAACCTGCAGTATGCTTCTCGAGATTCCTCTTCTGGCCCAGACGGGCTCGTCGCCCGATGTCAAGAAGCGTGTTATCAGCAAGACCTACAGACGTATGTTAGAGTATCATGAGCGTCAAATCTTCACTGGTCCACCCGAGAACACTAGAGATCACGTCATGCAAGCCTCGAAGGCCTTGGCGGCTGGCGAGTGGAAGAAGGCTACCACCTTTATCCATGAAATCAAGATCTGGGAACTCATGGCAAAGCCTGAGGCCATCAAGACCATGCTCTCGGAGCAAATCCAAGAGGAAGGCCTCCGGACATACCTCTTCACCTACGCTCCATACTACGACACCCTCGCCGTCGGCACTCTTTCGTCAATGTTCGAGCTGACCGACCGCAAAGTAGCCGCTATCGTAAGTAAGATGATCAGTCACGAGGAGCTCGCCGCTGCTCTCGATCAAGTCAACTCATCCATCATCTTCCGCAAGGGCGTCGAGCTTAGTAGGCTCCAGAGCTTGGCTCTTACGCTCAGCGACAAAGCAAGCGGTCTCATCGAGAGCAACGAACGTACGCTCGAGACAAGAACACAAGGCATGGCAAACGCATTCGAGCGACAAGGTGGCCGTGGAGGACGTGGGGGTAGAGGTGGTGGACGAGGTCGTGGTGGTGGAGGACGTGGCGGCGGACCCAGTGCTCCTAGACAGGCTGGTGGAACTCAGTTCACGGGTGGTGCGTTGGGTGCAGCGGTCCGGGCTTAGAGTGGAGTGGTTATTGCATTGGGATGGTTGTTTTGGGCTGTGATCGCTCTTTACATAGGCGTTTATAGAGCTTGCGAAAAGCTTTCCTTGTTATACTATGAATTGAGATGATAATAGTTTCTCTTGACCCCCGGTGATATAGCCTTCGTGTATGTGCTTGCAAGTGCTAGGGGCATCACGATGGTATTATCAATGCAGATCTTTGGTCCAGGACAAATCTCGAACTTCGACTTGTGCGTATAATTAAGAATACTGTACCCCTTCCTGCAAATACTCGAATTATAAGTGAAATCCTAGCTTGAAAAGTCGAGACTGCTACAAGGACAAATGCTTCATTTCCCTGCTAGGAGATATAAGATTTAGTTGTAATAGATTTGATTTCTCTGTCTATAAATTCAAATAATAACTTGCAACTGATATTTATTATATAGTAGTAAAAATATACACTCGCTTAAAAACACCTCACTCTATCTCCCGATTACCACTATGACTATGCCTAATAAATATGCAAAAAAATATGCAGAAAAATGCAAAAAGAGACAGGTGGCAGATAATGTGCCCTCGGACGGAATCGAACTTCATATTATTAGCTTCATATTTTAAGACCAGGAGAAGTCAGATAAACTCACCCGGCAACCTCGTCATAAGCGAGTGATCATCTTGATGTGATACATTTACTAGTGACGCGCTCTACCATTGAGCTACGAGGGCTAATTGAGATGATTTGTTGAGAGTAATCCGTGTATTTTGGTATATGTATGGTGGGAGGTCAGATGCCCCACTTAGGGTTTATACTCGGCGTTTTGTACTGTATGCAAGTTGGACTGGACTACTTCTGGTTCCTTACTACCTTACAGACGGGACGGTGCATAGGATAGGGGTTTGAAAGTAGGATTGAAGATTCACATAGGGAAGTTTGTGATTGTATGGTCCAAATGAGGATTTCTTTGTTCGTAGGTCTTCTATAAGGAAATACTCGTATATACCCCGCGTTGACCCTCATTTAAGAAGTGTCATTTACTAAGTATACTCGAGTAATAACAGATGTTATTCCGTTCGGCGTAGAAGTAATTCAATCCTTTTTCAGGGTTTAAAGATACGCTTTAAATTGTGCAAACTATATTTGCTTAATCAAGTAGCTGCGAATAGTACTTAGATCTAGCAGATTCCTTTATAATTCTCGCTGTAAACTCTGAGCATCGAAAAAGTTGGGCTCGAATTACTTTCACATCCCGACGTGAGCAATGGTGTTCCTAATTTCGCTCATTTATAGAAGAGCTGATACTATTGTGTCTCTACGTTATACTTTCACTGTCATAGTCACTTGTGAATAAGAGGAATTGTGGTCAAGGTCGTGATGCATGATACTCATCTAAAGGCTCCTATATACAATATAATACTCCGTTCACCATTTGAAGCCATGCATTCATCCAACGCCTAAATGCCAAATATTTCGTGTGTATTTCTACATGCGAATCTCAATTTATAGCTTGGGTGAAAGTTGAGATCTCGCAACAGTGAGTTGAATGAGTCCGTTGGGGCCAGATTGAGGGGCGTAAACTTCAGCGTCCTTTCCAGTGTTCTTGGTCCCCTTATGCCAGCTCAGATCTTAAGAAAAGTCAGTAAATTGTTCATAGGTTTAGGCAGTGAAGACTTACCAATCTCAAAGTAGTGCTTATTGGGCAGAGAGTAGTCCACAGTTTCTACCTCTGGAACAACTTCTAAAATAGATTCGCACATCTTGTACATTGTGTTCTGAACCGAAGGGCTGTCCTCCTCAGCAAAGGTCTTCATAGTGATCGATCTCGCGTCTTCCCATGCCTTGTCGAACTTAGGCACAGCTTGCTCAACCGCGCTCATTCCAGAGAAAGTATTCCATGACCAGCCGCAGTCAACATCGGTGCTTAAGATTCTGTCCCAGACCTCTGGCAATGTTGTATATTCATCTCTGACGAAGCCGTGGAATTGGGAGCCAGTGCTCTTCAAGACCAGCAGGCCAACGATACCGCTTCGGATGTCAATTCCCTTACCCTTTTGGATAACAGCTTCGACATTTCGAGTTTCATTACCGTCACGGTAGAAGGAATGTGGGTGGGGCTTGCCATCAATCGTCATTCGTGTCCATCTGTGTGTTACGACCTTGATGTTTGCTGTAGTGATGTGGGGGTATTTTTCGATGAAGTGTGTGCCGAGATAGCTTGCGAAGAGTTCAGGAGGGGTGACTGGGTGCTCTTTTGCCTTGATGTAGATGGTGTTCTTCATTGAATCGGTCGCTACGACTACGCTGTTGTCTGCCTTTGTGTACCTGAAGGTACGGTTAGAGGAGGGTCTTCAACTCTGGGATGGATGGGCAAGCATACGATGCATCAATGGCTCCTTCAAGGAGTACTGTGACAGTCATTTCAGTGACGGTTTGCACACCCGTTGCTGGATCTTTCTCAACTTTGTAGACTCGGACATTGTCCTTGCCATAACGTGCTGCAGCTACTGAAGCCATTGCTACTTTGGAAGAGAGGTTGAAAGGTTGGTATGAAGTGAAATGTTTGAATTGAATGGGACTTGACTCTCTTTATGTAGGTAGTAAGGTCAGATTAGAAGCTTTGGCAGCTGATTATTGAAGGATGGATGGATGGATGAGTTATGCCAGTCCAGTCCAGTATGAAGGAAGGGTGGAAGGTTGGAGCTTTATATACGGAGAACTCCAGATAAGAAGGGAGGCCGGCGATTCGCGGGGCAGCAACACAAAAAGGACGGCCGAGAATAAATCGACTGGACCAGTTAGCTTCAGCGGAGGCCGGCCCTGGAAGAAGAGCAAAAGACTCCGCAAACGTTGGGTGGGAGGAGTTGCAATATGAAGCTTCGGGATCCCCCGATACTGTACTGTACTATACAGTATGCTGCCTTGCTGCCTCGCTGCCCAGGTGTGCGGCACTTGAATAGCCTCGCGCTACTGTAACACGCGCATAATGGGAAAGCCCCGCGGCGGCCTTTTGCCTATGTATCAGAGATCATGAGGACTGATATTATTTCGTGCAGATTTTTCGTAGAAAAAAACCCCCTTGGCTGGTAGGAATTCGGATGCATCTTCTCAAGTTCTCCTACTGTACTGCTTCGAGAGTCATCATCTTGGGGAAAGCTCCAACCATTACTTTTACAGTACTGCTGCACTACCGGACGAATCGGCATCGCCCGTAGATCGTAAGATGTTTCTATGAATCTTACGTTTCTTTGCCATACTATACTAGGTATAGGAAAGTTGCGGATTGAGCCTCGAGATTGCTGACTGGACTGGACTACTATGACTTATCCTGACCCCAACTACAGATGAAGAGAATAATATCCATATTATGTATACTGCCTAACATTCTAGTACTGAAGGTACATGTAAAGTTCGGGGATGATGCTGGTCTGCGCTACATATGCCTCTTCTTGGCTCTACTTATGCCGTCGAACCCATGCTCTTGGAAGACGTGATAGGATAGGATGTGAACCCTCCATAATCCATGCAATCAGGAAACAGAGCTTTCGAGGGTGGTGTAGCTCCTAGGACATCTGCGGGGATAAATTCAGCCTTGCAGTCCTAATCTGGATCGTCATCTAGCAGCGGAACTATAGAGTTATAATGGCTTATTTTTTAACTTGGCCTTTATCGAAGATACAGGTATTGTTAAAGGGTAATGCAAGACTGTAGTTTATAGAAGGAAAGAAACATGTCTGCAAGAGAAAAGTGGAGGGGAAAACGTTTCAGATGAATTTAAGGATTTGCCCTTCCTGGTCCGAGTGCCCTTGACAGATGTGGCCTGGGCACGTCTTGAAGCACAGTTGATAATGTACCATAACCGTCACAAACAACGATTCATAATCTCCAAGAGCTCTCAAGTTAATAGAAGACACTTGCTCGCATACACATCTAGGACCATTGGCAATTTCCTGCTCGCGAAGCTACTCGTCAAACCGCTTTGATAGCTGTACATCTCGACCCGCACTACGAATAAGTGCACGTAGCTTACAAGACCGCTCTCATATGCGCCTGAGAAGCTCATAAACCTGCTGGATGACCTCGAAGTCGATCCGGTAACTACGATACACATGCCACCACCCCGCCAACTACGTTGACTCGTCGAGCATGCTGAGCTCGTCCGCGACGCCGACTCAGAAGTCATTACACAACCAGCAACCCACTTCATACGGGACGAACAATGGGAGAACCAGTTTCGATCGAGATGCGCTACAGCCTGTAGCCTCGGGCATGGGCCCTCGCTCGAATTCTGCTATGTCCTTCGCACCCCGCGGCTCGTCACTCAATCCTTCCCCAGCACCAGGGAGCTTCAGCTCAAATCTGCGGAGCCAGCTTGCCCCTTCGCGGACAGGCTCGAGTCAAGATGTGAACGTGAACGTTTCTGTAGTGAATTTGGAGAGATTAGATGAGGATGATGGAGCGGTTCCGGGTCAGGTCCTCGCAGCCTTGCGGGAATCGCTGAACCGAGAGATGAAGATCAAAGAGGGCAGCGAAAACATGCTGGAGGCCTTGAACACGAAGAAAGCGAAACAAACGAAAGAGCAGCGGTTGAGAGTGGAAGCGGAATTGAATTCGTCGAATCAGAAGATCAGGGCACTGAAGAATGAAATATCAGAGTTGCAAAGGCCAAAACAACCCTTAACCCCGACACGAAGTCGCATGGATACGCTGTTCCAGAGCAATGGTTTACGGTCTCCCCCAAGTGCTGCTAGAAGTGCTGGCTCAGATTACGACGAACCACAGGAATCCCCAACATACGCTCTGGCAGAGATATTACAGGCACTTGAAATCGAGGGGCTTACACCAGATTACTACGTTGGACATGCAAACAACCTGGTGGAACTTTTCAAGAGATACCCAACGTTAAAATATGACCTGGTCTGGTCAGTTTTCGGTTTGCGGATGCAAGTTATGCTTCTGAGTGAAAGCAGAGAAGTTGTTGCTGCCGGCTATCGAATGACTCGATATGCAATATCAGATATCAGTTCGTTACAGAAAATCCGAACACTCAATACGGATTATTTAGTGGTGCTGTAAGTTGTAAAACATATTTTTCCGTTTGTTTTAAGCTAAAAGACTACAGTTCCCTCATTAAGAAATCTAATGCAGACGTCGAGCGTGAGCAGGCGCTTAAATTTGTACGTGCATTCGTGGACGTCAAAGATGGCATCCAAGAGGTGTCCAGAGCTGTTGTAAGAACAATAGCATCAGTTGCTGAGCATGCCGAGGATCGCCTGAGATCCATTTGTATCGAAACCTTGGGTGAGATGATGATCCGAGATCCAGGTTTGCTCGTTATTTCAGGAGGCATTAGACCGCTAGCCGATGCACTTGGTGAAGGGACCTACGAAGCTTCTGAAAGTCTTACAGCAGCTTTCTTATTCCTGATGGATGCACCTCAACGCAGAAAGTATCTTCGCGCAGGCTATGAGCTCGAGGTACTTTTCACGCCTTTTACAGACTCGTTATTTGCCCAAGAGAAGATTTTGAAGCAAAATTCGAGGTCAATATCATATGCCTTGAAATCATGGCCTGGACTCATGGCTTTATCCATGTACAACTTCAGAGCCATAAGGTCTTTAATATCTTGCCTCATGCTACCAAATCATATTATCCGCGAGACAGTCATCGATCTGCTTTATGGAATCCTTAGGATAAAATCCCCATTCTGGGCGACTTCATTTTTGGCTGGACGGCGTCTGACTACCTACGGGCGTGTTGCTACTCTAAAATCAGCGACGTCAAACCTGGTCAACCAGTGGAGGAAGAGACCGGAGACAAGAATTTTGTGGATCATTATACCGCTCTTTTGCTGGCAGTCTTGATTACTTCGGACATGCTGCCTGGGCTTTTGCAGGTCACACGAGACGCCGATAATTCGATGTTGAAACGAAAGACCACCTTGCTTATTGGAGAAGTATTAAAGCTTGCTTCTCGATTACTACCTTCAAACTGGAGTAGTGATTTGCAGCTTTTGCCGGATTTATTCGCTGCCGCATCACATTTCGGAGATGAGGAACGCTTTGATGCAACTGGGACGGTATATCAGATAAGCAGTGTGAGCAGGACATTGTACCGAACAGCTCCTAATGTTACAGGCGCTCTTGTTGGCGTTGCCAATAACAGCCACGACAATCTAACAAGCCTGGAGGACCAACCTAAGATCAATCCTAACGTTTCTATTGATGAAAACACTTTTCGTCAATTGTTGGTCGAAACGCAAGTGCTCTCAAGTACGAATCCCATCAAATGGAAATGGGATATTGTCTTGAAGATCATAGAGGGACCGCTGTTGAATGGGAAGCGACTTGACGAGGCTATCAAAGCCTCGAAATTCATCAAGCGCATTATGAGTTTCTATAGGCCGTTCAAATACAAGTTCGCTGAGATTCGGTATACTCGTATTAATCAGAAGTACATAAAAGTCGGTTGTGCGCTCATACACACCCTTCTTCAGACGACGGAAGGTGTCAAATATCTTGCCGATAATAAGTTGCTTAGGCAAATTGCCGAATGCCTAGCACAATGTGATCCAGTAAGTCTTCGCCTTAGTTCCGAATTGACAACTGAAGCCCAGTGCTAATGTTATCCAGACAAGTGGTTTGACAGCCCAGTCTCCTATGTTCTCGAAGGAACGACTCTCAGAAACACTCTGTAGTGGATACTTTGCGATGCTGGGAACGATGAGTGGAGACCCAAAAGGGTTGCAGATGCTTGATCGATGGCGCATGATCAATATGATGTATCATATTATAGGTCAAAAGCAACGCCCTGATCTGATCAAGCTACTCTTGTCAAATTTTGATTACAGCTTGCAAGGACATCCTAGAGTGCTCCTTTCAAAGGCTCTCACGGCGGGGTCCAAAGAAATTCGCATCCATGCAACAAACGTTTTGAGGAAATATTCGAAAAGTTCACGGCCTACCCAAAGTGTTGGTGACTCGAAATGGGCTATTCAACTCCTCGTCACCCAGCTCTACGACCCCGAAGTAGAAGTTTGTGCTACTGCTATCAAGATTCTCGAGGAAGCTTGCAATCGCAAGAATTATTTGGAGTACGTTGTGCAATGTCGGCCGGCTCTTGATCATCTAGGAGAGATTGGCGCGCCTCTGCTTCTTCGTTTTCTTTCTACTTCCATTGGGTATCACTATCTTGATGGCTTGGATTATATTAGTAACGAAATGGATGATTGGTTTCTTGGCCGAAACGATAGCTACGTTGGAGTTATTGAGGCAAGCTTGGCACGTGCCTTCGTGGAGATGCCAGAGGAGACGTCGAATCGTATGAGCATCGATGAAGATACTTTTGAGCTGGATGCTGATAACGACGGTCATGTGCCTCCGCACTTTTACAGGGAGCTGACTAGGACCAAAGAAGGATGCAAGCTGTTGCGAGACAAGGGTCACTTCGAGGAGTTCGCATCAACGATCCGCGATTATGGAATGCTTTCGGATGATCCAGAGATAATACTCAAAGTCAAAGGGTGCTTATGGGCTGTGGGCAACGTTGGGTCTATGGAGCTCGGTGCGCCGTTCCTGGAGGAATCGGACGTTGTTGAAAACATCGTCAGGATCGCGGAATCACACGAGGTAATGAGCTTACGAGGGACTGCCTTCTTCGTCTTGGGTCTCATCTCCCGCAGTGTCCATGGACTCGAGATCATGTCCGAATTTGGATGGGATAGCAACACCACAACAATGGGCGCTTCTCTTGGACTTTGCATCCCCCAGAATCTCAACAAGTTCTTCTCGTACCAAACCTGGAGTCATGAGAAAGCCTCGGAAATCACCGCGTCAAGAGAACAACGTGCCGCCATTATGGCAGCAAAAACCGATGACGACTTCGTCAGCAACCGAATCTTGGAACTCGTTATCGATCTCGGTAACACTGTGCTACAAAAACGGGCGATGACTGAACTCATGCACATCAAATCGAAGAAGCTTCCCAACTTCAACCATCCAGCTCTCTTCAGGAAAGTCATGACCTTACTAGAGTCATCTCACTTCCGCATCAACGTCCGCCGCTTCGTCATCGAGCTCTTCGAACGCAGCGTTCTCCGACGCATCGTATTTGAAGAAGAAAGCGACGACGAAGACATGGACAGTGACGATGACAGTAGCAGCGAGGGCCGGACGGAGCGGCAGAGGAGTATTAGCGAGCTATGAGATGAGATGAAACCGTGATCGTTGGGATACGACAATGCATTTGTACGATTATGAGGCTGGCGTATTTACTTGGCATTGGATGGTGGGGAAGGGGGGAGGGTGGCATATACCTGATCTTGTTTGGCGTTTTTCTCTCGCCGTTTGCCTCTTATCTTGTATAAATATAGGCGCAATGCTGGGTTACTCTGGCGTATGGTTAAGATGACTGGATGAATGAAGTGAAGGCACGATTGTAAAGCTGCAGTATGTGCCATGTGTCAATCAAAAGTATCTATAGCTGCTAGACCTAAGTTAGAGGTGTATGGTTTATTTGGAACTGGTCTGGGAGGTTGTAATCTTTAATGTTTTGTCGACTCGAGCTTCTAGCTGAGTACCGTATAAGTTGGGATATAAGAATGGGCTGCTAACTAAGTGTGGGCATATAAACCTTCTACTTAGTACCCTAAAACTATAGCTTGCAAACCCTTATAACTCCCCATCGCTAATATTTAACCCCCAACAATAATAAGCCCATAGGCTTATATTACTACCGTTAAGATAATCATAATTGTAGTCATGGGCGTATAACCCGGATATGGCGCGGTACATCAGATCAGATGGGCTTAGCGGGGCTTACATAATATCAACCCTTTTTGTACCACCTTTCACCTTTCCAGGAGCTTCGCAACCTTCTCACGTTACTTATCTTTACCCGACTCCCTCCTCGTTTCAATTCAGCCTGTAGTACTATAAAGCCGCAGACCAATCATCATGAGCTCCTCAAGTGTGCGGCTCAAGTCCTTGTATTTCCGTGCGTTGCCACTCCATCTTGCGAGGCAAAATCTGCCTCGTTCAGCCAAAGAAACAGGGTGTGCTGCGCAATTCATCCATTGGGTACACGTGTTTTAAAAGGCTCTGGGATCTGTACTTTTTTGAAGAATTAGTGATTGGGCCGCTATGCCTATCACATAGTTGATGCTTCCTTGTATAGGGGTAATGTTCCTGGTCGAGATATAAGTATACCCTACCCTTCATATACGTAGGTCAAAGGTAATTCCTTGCGCTTCTAGCTTCCCTGTCACTTCATCATGCCGAGCAAATCTGAAAAGCCATCTCGACGATCAGAAGGTGCTTCGGATCGGACGCCATCGGCGTGGAGATATCCATCGGCGTGGTCTCAATGGGAATGGCATAATGACCACGGTTGCTGGAGTCGTTATCGTGTTGGTCGGAGTGGGCAGTACAATTTCGAATATCGCCATGGCACTGCTCCAACTCCAGTAGCCGCCCAAACTATTCCATCAACTCCACGGTACAATCCCAGTACATATCCCGATGTCCAGCAAGGAAACCCCTCATTACTCTCGCCCAGTGTTGATTCCCATGGTCCATATGGTGCGAGTGCTGGGCAAGCGCGAGCTGATGACCAGCAAGCCCCATTAGTCGGTGCCGGCTTTGGGACACCAGAACAAAGCTCAAACAGCCTGCCTGGAGTCGCGCTCCAAGCAAGTGTATCGTATCCCGCCAACGACTCTGACTACACGACCTATTCTTCGCCCACAGCTCAACCATACCAAGCATTTAGTCACACCAGCGCTCATCAAGGCGCAAGCTCTAGCGTCTATGGTAGGCGACAATCTTGGGATCAAGACAGTACCTCGAATGTTACAGCTGGTGCTAGTTATGCACAATCAGCATATGGGGTACAGCCGTCTCCAGCAATGACGTCTTCTATTTCAGGGCAACCTCACGGAGGACAGGTTACAAGCAGCTATGGGTCTTATTCAAGCTCAGTAGTGCAAAATGATTACTCTGCCCAGGACTCAACCTATCTACAAAGACCTGACCGTGCAACTGAAAATGATAGAGGGGATAGTGTGGGGCAGATGTCACAGAGGTTTAGCCAGGCGAGAATTAGAGAAGATGGAGAGGATGAAGAGGATGAAGATGATGAAGATGATGAAGATGCGGATAGGAATAAAAAACCGCGCAAAAAGAAGCAACCTCCTGCTCCTGACCCAAAGCCCGGCGTCAACGTAATTCTCAACCATGCTTCTAGACTACAGCCAGCTAACAATTTCAGTGTAAACAGGACTGTAAGTTTGGTCCACAGGGGCCCAAGGGAGGTCCAGCCCCAAGGCCTCCGCCCTCCGGATCTTCAAATCGCTCGTCCTCAAATTCAAAACCTTCGCGCAGCTCGCACCGCTCTTCACATTCCTCAAAGCACACTTCTTCCGGAGAGAGGTCGAGAAACGTCTTCGATCAAAATCCTTCCGAAGCGCTCGAAGAGATAACGAAATATACTTTCGACGGTGTTGATCATATTAAGGAAGATTTCATTGTCTGGAAAAAGGAGTATGAGACTTGGAAAGACGTTACATGTGCGTGTGGTTTTGGGTATTACACGGTGATGGGTGAGTGGATTTCTGGTGAAGCTGTTAGGGGTGGGAAGGCGCCGCCAAAACCAGCACATACACTACATCAGCTACCACAGATTGAGGTTTAAATCATACAAAAGCTTTAGGAAGCTGTATGCTTAGTTTTAGAGCAGACCAATCTTTCCAGTCATGTCGGCGTACGCGGAGATGAAAATCCGGGGTGGGATACCCTTGATCGCAGCATCGTCAGGTAGCTTTGCATGAGGTTGCACTGCGCAGAGTAATATATGAACAGCTATGGAAATTATTCATTCTCCCTGGTCTGAGGTTTTCGTAAAGGCCTAAAAGCCGGCTTCTGGGGTCATTGGCTCAAGAAGTTCGCCTCACTGTTTATGGTGTGCCGCCCAGCAAAGGAGGGGGTGGTGCATGGATGGGAACATGACTTGCTTCATTGGAAAGATTGTTCATGCCGTTCGCCTTGTATTTCTCGGTGAGACAAATCGCATGATTACGTGGCGCAAGGCACATGATTGGGGCACCTCGCCAAATCTAGGTAATGATCTGGCGAGGCTCAATAATCTGCATGAGGTCCAAACCCTAGCCAAGCTCGATCGATGTACATCAGGCTCATGTTTTAGCAGGCAGCTGCAGATGTGTCTGCTCAGAGCCGCACTCATTTGAGAAGCAGCCCGTCAATTCTATCTACACTGAGCCGTTCACATTACAAGAAGTGCCACAGTAACCGCAATGCAGTTTCAAGAAGCAATCAGTACCACCGGGGATTCTGAAGACGGAATCGCGCTGACTCGGTTAGGAGAACAAACAGAAACACTAGATCTGGCATCTAAGTGTATTGATTGCTGTTGGCGAAAAGGTGTCGAGGTTTGTTATCCTGGTGATCTGAAAATGCAATTTTGATAGTTCTAGATTCACAATAACGGCCTAGGACCTGCTCACAAGCAGATAGTCAAACTTGATCAAGATGATAGTTTAAGTTCATGCAGCCTCAAACAGCTACTAGATGAAGCTATCGAAGCAAAAGAGAAATGCAGTGCGAATCGGAGTAGCTTTCAAAGAAAATTGGAGGACTGTATCGGATCTATACAGCAATATTCACCGGTTGTAGATGTCTTGATCCAACAACGACCTCAAATTACTAGCCTGGTATGGGGGGTCCTTCGGTTTTTAATTGGGGTAAGCCTTCTATTCGATTCAACGGCCTGTCGGGTTCTAGCCCAATACTTGGAAGTTCAATGTCTGATACTTGAACAAAGATTGCAGCCCAGAAGACTGGAATCGATGCGAAGATTGAAGACGGTATTGTTGAAATTATGTTAAGTATAGGATCATGGTACGAGAACATTTACAATGACCCCGAGGGGTCTGGAACCCTGGACGCTAGCTGTCATCTATTCGCTGCTGTTTCACCTTTCTGGTGCTCTCGAAAAGACATTGCTGCAACTCAGATACAGGTTTGTAACTTTTAAAGCAACAAGATCCTCGAACTGTGCTTACCATTTTCCCAGTTAAATTCTTGCACGTTGGATTTACCCCACTAAGGAGCGAGTTCGAGAGAACACTGTCATTGATTTCCAAATACTCAAGCTTACAACACAACGCAGCTGCATGTTCCCATATCAAAAGTATGTCCGTTCAAATACGAAGATTCCCACTAATCTACGTCCCAGAAAGCAATAAATTCTACAACAGTGAGTTCGCTCTGAGCTGCATCATACAGGGGCGGTGTAATTTAACGATATTTAGCACTGCTTAACTGTCTCGAGAAGCAGAGAATTGAGGATGCGGAACGAAGTTTGTCTAGAACAAGTCAGCATTCCAAAATTGGCCCCGGTCTGCCATGGATCTAGTGAACTAACTCATTGACAGAGACCACAGACTTTCAGGAGCGTGTTGATAGCATCCTCCCAGATTTGAAGAGGGTACAACTTGATACCTATGAATTGGGCCTTGCAGACAAACGTCGCCGTAGAGGTATCACCGTTTGATTTCCGATTTAGAAACACATATTAATCAGAGTGAGTATTAGTTGAGCGCACCATAAAGTTCCTTGACCCATTAGAGCGCCCACCAGTCTTCATACAGCCACACACACCAAATACATGCGAATGGTTCTTTGAACACCCTCTGACGAAAGATTGGATAGATTCGCAATGCCGAAGACCGCTTTGGATAACTGGTATACCTGGTAACAGCAAAACCCAACTCATCTCTAGAGCTTCAACTAACAGATCCGTTGAAGGTTGCGGGAAGTCTGTCTTGGCACGTTTTGTCAGAGATCATACTAGTAGCAACACCTTGTCACGAACCGTCTTTGCCCATTCTGTATCTGCCTCCAGAGATAATGAACGTGCAGATGCCAAATCCCTGGTTGCGTCGATTTTGATCCAATTACTCAAAAGCGACGTTACAGAAAGGCCTGAGCATCAATATATACTTGACGATATGACGAATCTCTGCTTTCCAAAGCAGCATATCGATGAGATTCCGTTCGAAAAACTCCACTTCATCTTTGCTCGCATCCTAGGAAGGATTAGACATTACACCCTAATCATTGATGGACTGGACGAATGTGTCGACTTGGGCAACGTCAAAACTCTCGCGGACGACCTCATCCAGCAAAGCTCTTTGGACAATTCACAGATCATCATTTTTTCCAGAAAGCACGACAATCTGAGACAGTTTATGTCCAACTCGTCCGTTCTCGAAATAAGCACCGAAATTACCATGCCTGATATCAAACTGTTTATTGCAGCCAAGATAGCAGAGATCCCGTCGTTGAAGCGAATTGAGATGGAAATATACACCAAAATTGACGAAAGATGCCAGGGAATGTTTCTATGGGCGGTTCAAATGATTGAGTATCTCACTTTTCCGTCTCCGAGGTCTCAATGGCAACAAAGAAAGCGACTTGAAGAGGTCCCACGAGGGCTCTTCGAAATCTTTGAGCAACTAGTAGCGATCCAGGGTGAGAAACTGACAAAGTCAGACTTGAAGCTGAGGAGAACGATTTTTCAGCTCATTGTGGCCGCTAAAAGACCCCTCAAAATCGAAGAGATTGATGCTGCTTTGCAATTTCGGGGGAGACAGCGAGTCGAAGAAATTCATCGCCTTTTCAATGCCAGGCAGACGGTGGTGGATCTCTGTTCGCCGTTTGTATGTATCGCCAAAGACAGCGTAGCTTTGGCCCACGGTTCCTACCAAAACTTCTTGCTGGAGCCAGAGAGAAACAATATTCCCGAAGTCCTATCGGTTCACCAAACAAAAGAGAGTTCAAACGCGTCCCTAGCTTACAAATGTCTTAGTTTACTCTGCGAAGACCCAAATAAATCTCCACGGCGTATATCACACTGGCTGTATAAAGGTTTCACCCTAGAGACCAGCTGCGATGCTTCCCAGAACAAAGATCGTGTAGAAGCCCTTCGGGAGATTGTATTTTATGAGTATGCAGCCAGGTACTGGGACTTCCATCTCACTTCGGTGAGCAATCCTTCTAAGGAGCTGCTACAACTTTTCAACGACTTTCTTCACGGTTTCGAATTTGTAATGTGGTCAGAATACTTGATAGATTTCTCTGGGACAATCGGGCGCGTCTCTAGGGTGTACGGAGGTCTCGAGTCTTGGTTGAAAGGATTGCCGTGTAGCTCTCGAGACCTCGTTTCGTTGGATGCCTTCTTTTCCGGTCCGTATGCCAAACTCAGTGACTTCTACGAGAAGGATGGTAAAGATAAGCTACTGAAGTATCTTTGCTTGTATCGCTTGGGTGACTTCTATCAATCGCAAGGGGATATTGAGCCCCAATACAAGGTCCGAAAAGAAGTAGCTGATGGTCTTGAGGGCATCCTTGGCGAAGAGAATCCCCTCACCCTAAGAGCTAAGGTCACGTTAGCATTCATATATACCAACAAAGGTGAACTGATCAAAGCTCTCAATATTTGTCTTGAGGTCAGTATAATACAAAAGGATGTTATAGGCATGGACAGACAAGAATACTGGGAGACTCGCCAAGAAATCGGGTTGATTCAATTTCTCATGACTGACTTTGAAAGCGCTGCTATAACTCAAGCTGCGGTCATCGTTGGCCTTGAAGACATAGAAGGAGCCCAGTTACTCCTTTTTGAAAGTTATATCTTTGATGGATATGTGAAAGAGGCCCAAGGCCTTCTGTCAGCGGCAATGGACGCATATAGACATGTTCGGAACAGCAAGACCTTGGCACCAAATGATGGACATGCCCTGTATGCTCGTGTGTGCATGGCATCTATCTATCGTAAAGAGGAGAAATACAAGCAGGCAGCGGAGGACCTCGAATTCGTGTTTGCAGAACGCTCGGCGAAATACAAGGACAAGAACAAGATCGACAATTCCTTGGTGATAGACACTGCAATCCATCTGATTGTTCTATACCGCGAGATGCGCAACCTCGACCAGGCAAATGCTCAAATCGAGCTCATTTCAGGCTCCAAGATATTGAGAAATGATTTTGAGAGATACTGTCAAGTTGAGCATCTAAGAGCACTTGTCTCTTTTGACGAGGGGGATTTTGAAGCAACGCGTGAGATATTACAGTCGTTACTGGATCTACAGGAAGGCAAAGGTCGGGAAGCTAATAACCGATCTCTCTTATGGGTGCGTCTAACACTTGCGACGGTCATAAGAGAACTCGGAAGGGATGAAGAGGTGGAAACACTGTTTCTTGATATTGTTACTGCATTGCACGATGGTAACACCAGTCCACAATACGAGAATATCCGACCTTTTCGGGAGCTTACGGTTGCTGAGGAGGCGTTACGATTGGTGCGAAGCAGAAAGCAGGAGGATGCGGATGTCTTGCTAAGGAAGGAAAAATTGCGATGGACGAGGAAAGCTGACTTTTGGCTTTTTGAAGGTGGCCCGTCAGCAGATACTGCGTGGATGAAAGGTCCATGAATCGACGGTCGTAGCTTCTGGTTGTTACTTTCTTTCAGCCAACGTTCTCCTTCTACTTGTCTTTCTCGATTAGTCAAGACTAACAGCACGCAAATCCATACCTAATGTTCAGTTGGGGCAACGAGCTTAGCAGGCAAGTTATTGTCTAATCATCTCTGGTGGCTAAATATATATATATAACCTGCAATACTTTGAAGTGGAATCTGCGGTACGAAATGAAAGCACTAAAATAGTACAAGAAAGAATAATGGCTCATCGAGAGCTGTGCGATCTATTTTCTTTCTGTGCTTCTCCCCAGATGGTGGAGTAGCTCTAGAGACATCCGCAGTATAGAACCATTGAAGTGTGGTGTTTGGATATTTCAGAGAAGACAGGCAACTTTCGCTCCTGTGATATTGGACCAACATTCTATAGCATTTGTATGCCTATTATTCCATATGCCCTAACAAGACCGCAAACGAAGCGATTTATCCATCAAAGGTTGCTTAAATTCAGGGGATGACCTGAAAGATACCCGCCTTCTTAGCATGTGCTTGTGACATGTTAATACTAACGGAAACAAACAAGCATCATTGTTTAAGGCTCAAAGTCTGGTAGATACAATGCGGCTGCTACTTTCCATAAACACTTCTGCCTTGACACGTGGCGGGTGGCAAAGCTAGTAATGAGGCAATGAAAGAGGCGCCCAGTCGGCGACAATTCCATGCAGGTGAGAATCTGAGGCATGCCAACAACGCAGGGCTGTAAGGCTCTCCCCGTGCGTCATCCATTTCCAATACTGACCGAGAACAGGTATACTCTCTTGGCTATAATACTTTCCTATATCTTCGTCTCCTGATTCCTGATTGTACTTGACCTTGCGAACCCCCCACTCAAACCTCCTATTTTTAGCCGACCACTTCTCCACAGTAAAAACTACACCAAGATCACTCAACAACAACCTCGATAAAAGGGCTCAAATGTCCGAAAACGAAGAACAGCACATTTCAGAGCTTTCCGCGCTTTTACCCCATGAGACCGTTCGCATTCCCGAAACACGAGTCTGCGCAGACAGTGTTCAGTCGCTGGGGATACGAAGTGTCACCGGCCTCGTAACTCTTCTATGCTTTACCTTCATGATTGGGACTGCTTTAATTACTGCACCGCAAATCAGAATACTTGAAAGCATAATTTGCCGCCAATACTATGAACGGGACCCCGAGTTCACAGGTAGTCTTGATGATATTGACGAGCATCTTTGCAAGAACAATAAAGTGCAGCAGGACTTGACGATACTATCGAGTCGTATGCTGCTCTTAGATGCGATTGTTGGTATGTTACAAACATATGTTGGTGACAGTAGCCAAGCTAAACCTTGTGCTGACTTGCATGCAATAGGTATTCCGTTGACATGCATCTACGGCCATTTTGCGGAAAGGTACCTCCCTCAATTATCTACATTGTTTTCTCTCCAGTGTAGAAATGTTTTTGCAGCACTAGCAGCTGACATCAAACTAGAATCGGCCGAAGTGTGGTTTTTGGACTTTCTGTATTCGGTATAATACTGTCCCAAATCTGGATTGCACTTGTTTGCTGGTTCTGGGGGGACAATAACCTCGATCTAGTTTTGCTTTCATCTATAACTCAAATCTTTGGTGGCGGAGAGGAAGTCTTTATGAATATGCTCTATTCATCCCTGATTGATGTTTCGACTGTAACAAGCAAGTAAGTCATCACTAATCCAAGAATTTTACCACTCCGCGGACCACGGTGCAATGCTCCAAGTTTCCTTCGACCTTTTCTTCGGGAAGAGTTTACTATACTGATAATGTGTGAAGCTCGAAACAATTCTTGTTCTTCAGTAGCGGTCGCCTCCTTGGTCTGTTCGTAGGAAATGTCTGTGCATCTTTGCTGATGAAGCAGGCTCGATGGGGACCCTGGCACTCTTATTTGATAGGAGTCATAACGATAATAGCCGTGCCTCTTTGTGCAGCCTATATCATAACCTTGATAGCCAAGTCCACCACGAAATCAACCGTTGGCCAAAATGAAGTTGGTATAAGTTCGACGTTGCCGTCACGCGCCTCACACATTACAAGGCCCTCTTCGGTATCTTCGAAGTCATCGGACATTTCTCCCTCCCCCACGATGCTTTCTTCATCTTCAAATTCTTCACTACCTCCACATACCTTATCGCCCTCGCCCTCACCTACGCCCATCTTGCCAACCTCGACCTCGATCTTGACCAATATTTCAATCATGGTCCACACAAAGTTCCGTATGTTGAAATCTGCGTTCACAATATCTATCAAGTTTCCTGTTCTTTGCCTTGTTCTGTCATCTGTAACTACACCAATGATAAGTCAGGCAATCCATTTCTCGACGCAATTCTTCTCGAAACGGCTGTCTTGGACACTATCCGAGGCTACCTGGTGGCTCTCTTTCGGGACTTCCCTCTTCAACGTCGCCGTGCTGCTTATAATACCCCCAATCAAGATGGTATTACAAAGAGATGGAAAATTCGGCTTGCGCCTCAAAAGCCGATCCATAGACATTGTCCTTGGCCTATTTTCTCTCTTGTTCTTGATCTTCGGAGCTAGTTTTGTTGCGTGGACCCCAAGTAAGCTAGTGGCCCTCCTGGGAGTACTAATTATGACTGCGGGGACTGGATTCCCGGACCTTTGCCGCTCGGTAGCTACAGAATTGGTAAGTAAGAACTACATCGACCGTCTAAACTATGCTATCAGTGCTGTACGCTTGCTTGGAAGCATTCTGTACAGTTTAGTCCGACCGAAATTGTACCAGTTGGGCATGGAATGGGCTAGGAAAACCCGGCAGAAGATATGGATAGGCCTTCCTTTCTGGCCAGTCGTATTGTGCTGTATCTTATGTCTTATATTGAACGCATTTGGGTTAGGGAGTATATATTCCGAGGAAGAACAACAGAATGACGACGGGTTAGAGTAGACTAACGCCTCGCTGTTGGTTGGATAGAAGGGCAGGAAGTACACTATTATACATGATAGGCCGTTACCTTTATTCTCTTGGAACAATATCAAAAAAAACTGCAAAATATGAGCAGCTTTACATTCATGTCCCAATTTAGAACAACAGGGAGCGACAGACATGCTTGGATATATGAGACCATGACCTTCCATAGTTGTGCAAATGGATCATCAATTCAAGGCTTTTGTTTGAAGCCCGAATAGAAAGCAGAAAGGCACAGGGACTAGAGATGAGAAAGCAAAATAACAAAACCAAATAACAGATCCACGTGCATAGTCTACTTAGATACTAATACCCAATTTCAGCGCACTCCGCTAGAGTCCGCTAGGAGAACCTCCTTGTATATCTCAATATTTGGTTTGCTGGGAGAGAAATAACATGGTTGGCCAATCCCATGACCCAACTCCATAGTATACAACTATACAATGCATCATACACGCCAGCTCAATCGCCCATATAATACACATCCTCCCCTCTTCTCCATCTCTATCCTATAACCTGGCCTCCGGCGTCTTCCCCGCAACCTCCGCCACAGGCCACCTCGCAACCTGCGACCTCCCATTAAACTTCACAATATTATCCTTATACGGATGCGCATCCCCCTCAAAAGCCTTCAAACGCGCCAGCCTATCATCCCTCAACCGATTCTTCGGCAACATGCCACTGACCGCCTTCCTGAGCACCTCAGCGCCCCCCAGCTTGCTCATCAACTCATCCATACTAATCTTCTGCAGACTACCCGGCCGGGTGTTATGTCTGTAGTATAGTTTCTGCCACCGCTTCTTGCCCGTCGTGTGCAGGTAATGGCAGTTGGTAACGACGACATAGTCGCCGCAGTCGGTCGAGGGATCGAAGATAGGTTTGTGTTTTCCCATGAGCAGAGTCGCGATGCGGGATGCGAGACGGCCTAGTGGGGGCGCGGTCAGTTGGGGGGAGTTGGCGGAGGGTAGAGGCCGGATGGTTGTGAGGGCGTGGTGGGGGGTGCTGGGCTGAGATGTGGTGCCATGTTCGTGAGTAGGCAAGTTTTGTCTGGGGGAGGGAGGTTTGCGTTAGTATATGTCTGGAATGGAATAGGGAAGGGGCATTGGGGAAGAGGGAGGTAGGTACCAAGCCAATGGTTTGAGACATCTTCCTGATTGGCCCTGGGGCCGATTGAGATGATTATCGAAGTAAAGGAAGGCGGAGTGCTGAACTTGGCTATTTCGTGGTGTTGAGGTGAGGTTGTAGACTTTTGATGCCAAGCGTTTCTTGAAGGTCGGGATTTTGCGAAGTTCAGCCGAGGCGATTTCAAAGCACTGGACCGGCCCCAACTTTGAACAAAACAACTACAATCCCGTTATTTCTTTACAACGCTGCGGTTGGATTATTCATAAAGAAATACTCTTAATATCTCGTTGACCTAGATAAATATGGCCATCACAACCCCTTTCCAGGTCAGTTCCACGCTTCCGGCTGGGGAGATATGTCACGTGTGCACACATTGACATTCAAACAGACGCTTTTTGCGGTGCCAATGTCTTGCGAAAGCTGTGTGAAAGACATTTCGGGATCATTGCACCAGCTCAGCGGAATCCAAAAAGTGGAAGCGAACTTGAAAGACCAACTCATTACGATAGAAGGAACAGGTTCGTCCGATTCACCCCCGTTGGACTTCACTACCCGCATAGCATACGGGACTAATTTACAGTTCAGCGGCACCCTCTGCAATAGTTGCTGCTATTCAGGCTACGGGGCGAGATGCCATTCTAAGAGGTTCAGGAGGTTCGAACAGTAAGTTGCACAGCATCACGTCATGTGGTTCATTATTTACAACTCTTCTAAAGGTGCTGCGGTCTGCATTCTCGAGACGCATGCAGATACAGTATCAGATCCAGTTCGGGGTCTGGCGCGAATGGTTCAGGTCTCTCCCAAGTTAACGCTGATTGATCTTACGATTCGTGGTCTGTCGCCGGGGAAGTATTGGGCTACGATTAGGGAGACGGGGGATATTTCTCGAGGGGTTGTTTCAACTCGTGGAATATGGACCGATCCCAAAGAGGGCGCTCTGAAGCCTCGCGGTTTCTTGGGGACTGTGACGGTGGGCAAGAATGGGATGGGCAGTGTCTTCATTGACAAGCCGATTGAGATATGGGAGATGATTGGAAGGGGTTTGGTGGTGTCGAAGCAGCATGAAGGGGAAGGCAAGTTTGAGAAGAACGATGAGGATACATTGGTAGGTGTGATTGCAAGAAGTGCTGGCGTTTGGGATAACGACAAAACGGTCTGCTCGTGTTCAGGGAAGACGTTATGGGAAGAGAGGAAGGATGAAGTACGGAAGGGTATGCTATGATCATATATCGGACGATAAATGGACTATCAAGAGTCCTTCGTAATCTGATAACTGCATCAAAGACACCAAAGAAGAAATCTGGAAGAAGCATCAAGATGACCGAGCTTTCGAGTCTAATCTCACAATGGTAAATGTCAAACGTCAAGCTTTCATGCGTTCCCGGCAGATGTCTCGAATCCCTGTGAGTGGATCCTCCGAATTGCTTGTTCTGGATCATGCGTGCCTTGAAAAGTTGAAAGAGATCAATAGAGTTGCCAAACATGAGACCAAGAAGCATTCTCCGTTCTTCACAGGCCCACTCGCAGAATGCCCAGACGGCGCTCCTTGGAGATAGAGCCAAGGTTGAGACGAAATAAGCCATGCATGACCCTGTTTTGTCGATCGATACTGCATCATGCAGCCAGCCGGCGGTGGGTGTGAGTGTGCGTAGTTCAATACTGTACTGTACGAGAAGACTTGAGAAATTTGGCCCACGATAACATTTGGGGACAATAGGGGATTCCCAAACGTCGTTGAGGCACAAGCGAGTTTCGTACAGCCTCGTCAGCCTTCTCTGATACTGCCAAGAGTCCTGCGCACACGTCCGCCACGGGTTTGACATGCCCATGGGCTTCACTGGTGGGCTCATTTGTAGATCTTGTAGATGGATGTTTGTAATATCGGTCTCAAGAATGATCTTCAATCCTCTTCTGGGTCGACTCGTAGCCTCAGGAGAACTGTAACGAGTAAGAGCTTGAACGAATGGTTGGTGATAACTCGTGGTGGCTGAAAACGTGCCACCTCACTGCAGTCATGGGATCATTGTTGTTGGCAATAAAAACAAATAGAAGGAGAGTTCAAACTATTGACGTTCATAGGAAGACCATGAAATTGACCGAGTTTATGGGAGACACTTTTGTACGTTCGTGATATGATTTGTGCACGTCCAAAGCTTTACGCGCTCTGCAACGCCTCTCTGACAGAAGCGCATTGCCAGCGAACCAATCGGCAGGCAGAGAGAGATTTTGGAACACTCGCCGCTTTGGAGGATCTGTAGATAATAATTCAAGACTCGTCAGGCCTCACATGTGGCATGCTGGGATCGTATTTGGGATCTTATTACCAGAAGCTGTTTCTGTTGCAGGAGTTCGTTGGTGGCTTGGACAACGACGACCCTGAATATGTAGAAAGAAAGTCCTCCTTCAAGCAGCGCTCAACCCCAACCTCCAGCCTTGCTTCTACTTGTACAGTAGGTAGGTCTTGGGACTTCAAGGCTCTCATCACACTTCTCCATTTATCACATCACATTTATCACTATTTCCCGGACGCCGACGCTGGGCAGTTTCTGGAATATCTGCATTGTTCGGAAAAAGAAGTACGCACTGTATACTCGTAAAAGCAGAGAGAGCTCCAATAGTTCGCATTGTTCACCCGCATAAAGTACCCACTCCAGCTTGGGCCCCCGCTTCCAATTCGACATTGTGTTACGCGCTCACTTCTTCCGTCCCATCCCTATCCAGCCCAGCCACCTACCACCACGCACGCATCTCTTCTTTCACCGCAAGCCGCTGCTAGTCGGCGCACTTTTATCGTACTTACATTCTACCATCCCCTCGGTGGCACATCTCCTTTCCTTTTCGATCCTTTACCAGTTCTTCGGGATCGCACTGACGATCATCAACACACTCCTTCTTTCTCCGGGAAACTATACGATTCTGGCAGCGACCCATATAATCTCACTACAACGAACTAAAAGTAATAGTAACGGAACCCCGCCATAATCCACGCGTATCGACCGACCACCCGCTTTAAGACATCGAGGAAGGATACAAATACTGGGCGTCGAAGACTCGGAGAATATAGAGGGGTCAACATTTGGGCGGCATAAACAGAACACTACAGATACTCTGGCAAGACTTTGGATAATTCCGCATCTCGATTTCCACATCAAACAACGGCTGGTCGCTGAAGAGGCGACCAGTGATTGAACAACAACAGAAGGGCTGATTCTGGAAGAACCGGCATTGACTTTTCGAAATGTCTTTGAAACAGGTGAGTTTTGGAAACGAAGAGCCACTTGGTGAGCTGGAAGCTTATGCTTTGGAATAGGAAATCGAGACCTGGGTGGCAGCACTTGGCCACTACGATAATAATGAATTCGACGATGCGCTGAAGGAGTTTGATGGCATCTCAGACACTTCCAAGATTCTCTTCAACTGTGGTGTGATTCACGCTACGTTGGGAGAGCACGAGAAAGCGGTTAGTATAGCACCTCCCCTCCACCCGAATAGAGTTTTAATTATCTTTAGGTCGAATGCTACCAACGAGCCGTACGTTTAGATCAATACCTGGCCGTAGCATATTTTCAGCAAGGTGTTTCAAATTTCCTAGTTGGCGATTTCGAGGAGGCACTGGCGAATTTCAACGACACACTACTATACCTGAGAGGAAACAACATGATCGACTATGCTCAACTGGGTCTTATGTTCAAGCTATATTCTTGCGAGGTTCTTTTCAACCGTGGTCTATGTTATATATATCTCCAACAAAAGGAGGCTGGAATGCAAGATTTCTCTTTTGCCGTCAAGGAAAAGGTAGTCGAGGATCATAACGTTATAGATGAGGCCATCAGGGAGGAAGCGGAGGCATGAACCCCGAGTCCAGGCCTTGAGGATCTAGCTAATTATTCTAGGGCTACACTGTTTTCTCAATACCCGTTGGTGTTGTATATCGACCGAATCAAGCTAAGGTCAAGAACTTGAAAACAAAAGATTACTTGGGTAAAGCACGTTTGGTGGCAGCGTCGGACCGATCAAATGCCTTTACTGGTTTCACGGATCCGAAATCAAGAATGTGAGTTTCCCGTAAGATACATGGGATCATGCTAATAGTACTAGGCTGGCAAATTAGAAATCAAAGATGATCGTCCAGCCGATACTATCTCATATGCCGCCTCGAATCTCGTCAAACCTGGTCTTTCAAGTAAACGACAACAATCAGAACCTCCAATTGGTCGGAATGTCTTCCCGCCAACGCCGCCTCCTGAGTCTGAGAAGTCAAGTAGTTCGGGTTCAGGACAAATGTCACGAGGAATGTCTGTTCGGAATGGACCTAAGCCAATGCCCGCCAAGCTCAATATCGAGAAAGCTCGTCCGAATGAACGGTATGAGATCCGGGATGATGGCAGGTCACCACCACAACCACAACGACGAGGCACTTCACGAACGGCATCAGAACCAAGAGGGCCGCCAGTCAGGCAATACTCCTCTCGAGATGGATCTCGGCCGATGCAACGACGGAGATCTAACGACGAAGAAGAGGATGAATACCCCGGCGAGCTTTACGACATGTACCGAAACTCCCGCAGCAGTCGGCAAAACGGCGCACGGCGCCAACAACCTCGGTATATCGAGGAGGAAGAGGAATATGCCAGCGACTACGATGACGGTTCCTTCGACGAGAATGATTTCGAAATGGTTTCAAATAACCGGCCACCTCCTAGATCACGTGCTGCATCTTCTTCGGGCCGTGGCCAATCGAGGAAACCTGACGTGCGCAAGATCCGCGTCAAGGTCCACGCAGAAGACGTCCGGTACATTATGATTGGCGTCGCTGTAGAGTTTCCGGATCTCGCGGATAAGATAAGGGAGAAGTTTGGGCTAAGGAAACGTTTCAAGATCAAGGTCCGTGATGACGATATGCCGGATGGAGATATGATTACGCTGGGAGATCAGGATGATTTGGATATGGTCGTTATGAGCGTGAAGGCGAATGCGAAAAAGGAACGTTTGGATATGGGGAAGATGGAAGTGAGTAATCCCCCTTTTCTTCGTTTGGAAAGTGATTTACTAACCGCATGACAGGTTTGGGTACAAGAGGTTTGATTTATGACATTTAACGACATATTTCTTTAGACAAGATCTTTGCATCAGAATATATACCAGCGAGCGATCTAAGCATGCATATTTAGAAGGGATTTGGAGTCGAGTTATTTCTGATAAGTATATATAATACACCATGCGTACGTCTTGATGACTATGTATGTGTTGGGGTGTCTATTTAGTCAAAAGTCTTTGGTACTGCATAATATAGTGAAGGTCTGCGATGTAGTCTGAAGGAGAATACATCCTTTACGCATTCTGTCTTTTGATTCGTCTGTACTTCTAATTATATCGTCTCGAGAGCGTTTTTCATGAGGAATCGCAGGAGCTATGTTCATCTAAAAGCCCCTTCTTTCAAGACGACATTTGTTCTTTTACGGTCACCCGATGCAAAACTTCAGCCAACTCAAAGCCCTGGTTCCCTTGCATCATCATCTTACATAGGCATTCGCTTCATCTCTTCTATAGTCCCTATAAAACCCCAAGTCAGCAATCAAATCATTCATGCCACAGGGACCTAAATAACTGCAGCCCTCCACGTCCAAGCCACAGCCAATCGAATTAGGAAAACTCACAATACTTCCTCATATTCTCCGCCCCCCAGCGTCTTCACCTCCTGGTCCAAATGCGTCCAAAGCACATCTCCCCACCCCCCAGCCTCCATCCTCTCCCTCATAACCCTCAACTCCAACTCCCTCTCCCCGCTCTTCACACTCAACAGATACGCCTCCAGCTTCTCCATCCCCACGTGGATTTCTTTATGCTGCCGCAGCAGCTCGGCCGCGTTGCGCCCGTTTTCGAATTCTGGCATCTTGCGCGCTAGCACGGGGAATATGTGCGCTTCTTCAATCGAGTGGTGCGTTTCGAGGTGCTGGAGGAAGGAGAGGCCTGTTGAGAGGAAGGCTTTCAGGGACATGTTCGCGGGGCGCCGGTTGGTGTCGCAGGCTGTTTTGAGGATTGTCCAGGATTGTCGGAAATGGTTGTGCTGGGAATTAAGTCTGAAAGTTAGTTATTTGCTTGCTTGAGAGGGGAAATCGGTTTATGATTTTGCATTTTGGGTTTGAATTTGAAAGCAATGCGATAGATAGATAGATATACGCACAAAATACTCCATGTGTTCCGCCATACTGTTATACACCCTAAATTCCGCAGCGCTCAGCTTTGGTAGCTTTTCCTCGACTTTAGCTTCTTCGACCTTCTTCAAAGCTGCGTCCCGCGCCTGGTTCCCTTCTAGGATCTCGCCCTCCTTTTCACATGGCTCTGCTAGTCTGTTGACCTCCGCTTGGGCTTCCTTCGCCATATCCGCCATTATGGTGCTAAAATCTTGTCGCAATGGCGCGGCGCAGGTGAAGTTCCTGCGGCAGGTGGGGTGCTCTAGGATTGGTATTGGTATTGCGCCTGGGATGCGGGGCGTATAGGTGTGTGCGATTGAGGCGCGTGGGAGACCTGTCAGGAGGAGCGTAAGGAGGTGAGGGCGCATGTGCATGGAGGACGCTTGATTTGCATGGTGGAGGGGGAATAGATGGCGGAGGCTGCTACTTGTAATGTAATGTAATGTGTTAGTTCTTAGTGGCCTCGGGGATTTTTGCTGATTGAAGTTCTTATCAATATATTGATAATGAGAGTCTAGGCTCGGCTTCGGATAAAGGGATTCGCCGAAGAGGCTAACTAATTTAGTAAGCCATAGTAAGGTTAAAATTGAGGCTCGATTTTTATGTCATTAACAACAACACATTTTTACCGAACAATATGTTAAATTCGGGACTGTATAACGAGGCTTATGGGACCTAGTCGTCGAAGATATGAGATGTGCTGTGCTACGTCGGCGAGATGACAAATCAGTCACACGACACAGCTGCTTCGAGCGACTCTTTCCAAGGGATCACCGTACCGTGACATTCGTTGAGAGAAGTATGTCTACTTCTGAATCCTCAATCCTCTTTTCATGAATCAAATCAAATTATGTTTGAGAGTTTCGTCGTTATCAGCCTGTCCACCTGACTTCAATCCAAAACTCAATCTTTATTTCAAGCTCCGCCGGAATTCGTATTCTTCAGACAACGCGGAAGGTTAGCATTCATGACAGTGGGGCAGACGCTCAAAATTGGTGGGTTTGCAAGAGAGTTCATGTCCTTGTGGAATCCCCGGGCAGAGGCGTATAGCGACTCTGTTGGGGAGGACTATAAACTATCAGCAGGAGGTGATGCAAGGCCGAGCGAAGAGTCGAACCAAATCTCTTGTCCATCCACAATCTGGAATTATACGCCATTCTCCCTCCATTGTCCAGATATAACTGACCGTTCGTAGGCCCCTCGAGATACTTTGCAGCAATAAGTCCCCATAGTTTCCATCGTGATGTTTGCTTGTTGTGCCGGGCTCCTGCTTTCGTAGTACACTGCCACCAGGAACGTCCAGATCTCTTCAGCACAAACATTAGGAAAGGTACCACCTATAGTTGTTGCCCCTACAGCGCGGATAGAGGTCACTATTGTACAGGAACTACAAACACAGGCTCGTTTGCGGGTATGTGGCGGCCATTGTATTGGACGTTTTTCGAAGGAAATCTCAAAAAAGGAATCGACCTCTGCACTAATAATTACGCCGCTCAAGTTGATGCCCCCGGAAAAGGGGAAGACATAGACAATCCACCATGGCCTAACGGATCCTGGGATATGAAACTCTTCAAGCAAGCAAATTGCGTGTACGCGAGTGACGGGAGCGGGCCGGGAACTATAAAATGTCCCGATATGAGTGAGCCAAAGGCGTGTTTAGGTGGACAAGACTCTCGTCAGTTGAAGTGTATTGGGGCGTGGGCGTATTATTATCGGGAGGTTGCGAGATGTCTGTGGTAATGATTGGTTTTTGTAGAAGATAGAATAATGTTTTATTAGCCTTTTTTTTACTTATAGCTACTTGCTAATTACAGCGAGATATACGAAGCGAGCGAAGAAGGAAGAATCTAATATTACGTGAATACGGAGTTTCATACCAAAATGATGAACCCAAAAAGCTAAGCATTTTACCGCTCTTGTAAATACTGTAACTTCAGAACCTCGCTTTTAGATAAGAGCAAAATCTAGAAATGTAGAATTAGTAAACATGCGATACTTTATTACTTTAATTTTTCAAGCTGCTAACTATAGTGGCTTATAGCTGCATAAGTAAAGGAGCGTGGGGCCTAATGACTTTTACACTTTTCTAGAAGTAGCATTACTCATGCTTGAGATGATCAATAAAATAGGATCTGTAATCTAGGCTTGCGTAAAGTCCAATTCTTTGGTTGGCTGCTTGGACTACCACTCTAACAGGACAGGGGGCCCTGATTATGTACGTACTAACTTCAGGCTCTAGGGGGGGAGGGCTTGCCGAGGAGGCGAGAAAGAGGCTTTTACTAAATTCTTTATTCAGACGTCGTATCATCTCTTGTTTGGTGCCGAGACGTGAGAATGGGTAATAGATTACTTATCCCGTAAAGTGTTAAAGGGCAATACGCAGATAAGGTAGTCTTGGCAAGTATTTCTTTAAATATCTCTTGCTTATCTCTGAAAACCTCTAGATTTCTTTCAATGGAGCTGTAACAAGGCCGAACTACCAGAGGTTTGACTCCGGTCGAAGCAACAAGGGCTTGAACATGAAGCGGCCGGCGGAGAAGAGTGTCGTTCTGTGACTAAGGGCATTCAGCTTATGTGTACCAATGGCTATGCTCTTTTGGATTTTATACTGCTATGGCAGACTTGGGGAGAATCAGGGAACCTTCGGCTAGAGATTACGGCTTTGTTTGGCCATAGAGGACGAGGGATTCGATGGGATGCCGATTACCAGAGATGATGGGAAATGCTGTAAGGCCGCGAGCTTTGTTCGCCTGAGTGAGAACATGGTTTACATGGTACGTTCATAAAGCTCAACAGGCATGTCATTAAGGTATCAGAAGGATGCACCGTACGAGACAGAAGGTTCAGTTGTATCAAAATTTTCTTTAAGCATCCCCCTGACAGTACGCTCTGCTCCCCACCCAAGCCCCTCCAGAGTACGTTCCTTCGCCTTCTCTGCATAGGGACTCTAGATATCACCATTCCCAACACTCAGACAGCCACATCAACCTCAACACATCCAAGCACGCTCCGTAGTGTCCATAAAAAGACGCCTTAAAATCCCAGCACCCCTCTTCCACTCCCACTACCCTACCCTAATCCCCTCCCCGTGTATATAGTTGTCCCCACATAGATGCAACTGCTCCAGACGTGCCTCAAACCCTTCATCATCTCCAGACTCGCACCGTCATCGTCATCGTCGGCATCTCCCACCAGCGGGGCTCTTCTGGCATTGTACTCTGGCGCGTGTGCATTGCACATGTGCCACAGAGGTCACATGGGCCACTCGATGGGTGGGGAGTGGACTTTACAGACTGCTAGGCCGGGAACGCCGAATTGCATTGCGGGAAGTGGATGGGATGGGGCTTGGAGGTATTAGGATGTAGTGTTATGCATGCGGCTTCGATGGCCCTGACCTACTTGAGATACTTGTTCGGAAGTGTTTTGGCTGTGAAGACAGGCAGGTAGGGAGGTGGGAGTTTGCGTATAGCAGAAATTGGGATGAGGACTCTAGTTGTTTACAATACAATGTCTCATGCTCCCTGATGTTATTTACAGAGTCCTATGTTCTCTTTTGTGCTGTAAGAAATGGCCTCTTGGAGTTTAGTACTGGGAAACGTCCGGTTATACTTGCTGTTGACTAATTGCGGCGATCTTTTGTGTTATTCACTTGAAGCTTGAGAGAGGCTGTCGACGAGAAGGATTTATGATGTGACATAATGGCATTGTTGTTCTGGGTGCTATTGTTGCTCTAAGCACAATAAGAAGTCCATTCTGTTTGGAAACCCAAAGTTCCTTGGAAGTTACAGTGCTAATTCACACCACCTTGGTTTTATGCCATGAAGTGGCAGAACTATCAACCCCCACGCCGAAACAGCAAGAAATTCACATACATTAGGTTAGCAGTTACCCCCACTAAGTAAAACTTGCTTAACAGCAATCTTAAAGTTACTGTCTACCCTCTGTCGCGTCTCAAGGATCTACGCGCACAAAAGAAGGTCAAAGAATCCATACACAAAAGGTCAATTTTGACATACCTCGTCGAACTTCTACAACACAGGAAGGATTCTGGAACGCATTGAAATATGACAAAGATGATAAACATCAACGCTGAGAAGCATAAGCCCTGGGGTCTGACCGTACCAGGCCGCCCTCCAACCCCTTCTGAAGGCGCTGCATATGTACGCTTTGCCCCCACCTCCCCTCCCTCGTGGGAGTCGTATCCCAAAGCTAACAGACTTTGAAGCAATACAGTCGCGTTGGTCCCAGACAGAGCCAAAGACTCTTCTCATTTGAAAATGGCACTTGCCTTGAATATGGCCCAGATGTAAATTCAATGCAAATCCCCCTCCACTGCGCTGCTAACTAGCTACCAGGATCTTGTCGACGAGTTCGAAATCTCGCACCCATTTGCTAATCAGGTGGCAATCATAGACAAAGCCATCAGGGACATCAAGGCTGTCCGAGATCGGTATCAGAGACCAGCCAGGAACTCCCTGATGGGACACCACGAAAGTGGAATTGAGAGCGAGGAAGACCCATTCGATAACTTCCGCAGTCAGCAGCTCGATCCATCTTTGGTTTCCAGCTATTCAATTGAGTCGGGTACATATAAGCAAGTGCCATCCCGCTTTGCGACTGTTGGCGATTTAATCTCTGTACATTCCCATCCCAACAAGTCGAATGTACTGCTGGACGAGCATCGCGGCCATAGTGCCGATACCAGATATGGTACCACTGGAAAACCACCTTTTGGTACAATCCCCAGACGTCTTCAGAACAGAGACGGTCAAAAATCCGACGGACAGCATCATCAGCATGTACCCGGCCAGCAAAAGAGCCAAAACGCATACACTGGAGGACAAGCACCAGCTGACCGAAGTAGAGGTCGGCCCCGACGCGGAAACCGCAGCACCAGCTCGATGGGCCTTACTGAGCAGAAGGCTCAACAAATAGATGGTTTTAGTCGAGCAAGCCAGAATGGTAGTGCAGGATCAGACCGTCAAGAACGAGAGCACATGAATGGCTTCGATAGAGGAAGTCAGCACAGTTCAATGGAACTGGCCAGAGAAGCTTCGGTCGAAAACATGCATCAACATCTACAGATGCATGCGGGGCAATCATCGGGTCAGCAGTTCCAGCAAGTCAACTTTGATGAACCCTTGTTCCGCCAGCAATTCCTGCAAGTCACAGGTGCCACCAGCATTGAAAACTTGGTACTGTCAGCGCAGGCCCAGGGTCAGACTGTTCAAGTGCAAGATTTTAAGAAAATGTATCTTCAGCAGCAACGTGACGAAGAGGAAGCAATGTTGCGAGAGGCACTACCCTTAACGCAGCAATATGAAGAACAGGAAGCATTGATGCGAGAGTTAAATGATGCGAGACAGGATGCCATGAACATCTCCACGGGAAATTACGACTATGTGCGATTCATCGACGACCAAAATAATGAGTCGAGAGAGCGCGGAGAACAGATACTCAGAGGGGACGCCATCAATGGACAGGCAGTAATGCAGTCTCGTCCAACATCCTCCGGAGCGGACTCTCTGGGACATCAGAATGAATTGATGATGGGTAGCTTTGGTGAAGGACCACGCAGACCCGGGATGCTCAGAACCCCATTGGCCTCGCACCAATCCGAACAAGGCAATATTTCCTCCCCGTCCTTGAGTTACTACTCAGGCTCTCGAAGCCCAGTTTCTTGTGCCTCAGCAGACATCAGTGCAGACCAACTCTTAACAGGATTGCGGCGATCGAGAAGCGATACAGCCTTCCGCAACCCCAACGAAGGTCACTTGCAAGATCAAGCATACCCAAGCCACCGTTCAGCTCTGACCTCCCCACAAATCTACAACCCCAATGGACGCACATTTCAGAGCACGGTGGACGACTCGCACCGTATGGGAAGTCGTATTACACTGCCATGGGTTTTCGGAGGACAACGACCTGGCAGTGCTACCAGCTCCAACAACTCATCCGAGAGTAGAATCTTTGGAGAAGTCTCCGGTAGCATGAGCAGGAAACCTTCACCTGCAGGAGACTTTAGACACGTTCGAAATTTGGGTGGACGACGTCTTGGTCTTTACGAGAGTCGAGCATCGTCGGCGGGCCTTTTGAATACGGATGATGAGAGTGATGCGCCGGAGACTGAGATCGGTGGTACTCGTAGCCGCCGGGGTGCTAAGGGTCACAGTCGTCAACGTTCTGCATCCGTTGGAAATATGCGTTAAGGTGTTCTTTCTTCCGTCGAGATGTGCATCATTGCGTTACGATGTTCGTCCTTTGTCGGACTTCTTGACATACAGCATTTGGGGGATTTTGCAGTTGTGTGGTGATAAATTTGTAGATTAAGAGCAGCAGCGCATTGAGAGAGAGATACGAGGGAGGAACAGAAAAACAAAAAAACACAAGTATTATTAAATATGATGTCCCACTTGGAGTGAAGCATTGCAGTGAGCTTCTCAACTCATGTTGGGTATAAAGCTGTCCAACCAGATACAGAGGTGAACTGCTATACTCCTTCTTCATCTGGTATAAAATGAAGTGACGCGACGAGTACAGTAGACTCGTCGCGTCTCGCTTGAGACTTCGGCGATAAGATGACCCCTCCCCCTCCATCATAAATGTTTACTTCCTCCTTCTAAACAACTACTCCCCAAGATGCGGTTCAAAACATCCATTCGGAATATCCAGACCTTTTCAAGTAATACCTCCATACAAGCTTCCATCATTCACAATCTAACAAAATCTCCAGGGTTAACAACGTCCTTGTCTTCCCTTGGCAAGGTCGCCTGGGTCCGACTCGACGATGATTCCGCACGCTTCACCATCATTCCCGAGACAGGAACCCAAGTCTGGGCGTAAGATCCCTGCTACATGACATTACTGTCCTCTAGCATAGGCTAAGAAATCAAAGCTCTATATCCATCGACTCCATCTTCGAAGACTACACCATCCAATCCGCCGCCCCCAACAATATAATCAACCTCGAGCTACCCCTACCACCCCTAAGCCGCGCCCTCAAATCAGCCCTCAATGCATCATCCGCCTCTATCCGCCTCACCAAAAAGGACGGAGCCCCCGTACTCTCCCTTACAATCATCACCAACACCATCAGCAGCGGCAACAGCGCCAACGGGTTCCTGAATAACAGTGGAAGTGGAAGTGGAAATCAAGATCCATTCGGCGATAATGTGTTTCGGGAAGAGAATTTGGATGGAGGGAGGGATAGAGAAGCGGTCGTGACGCAGGATATACCGGTACGGGTCTTGCAAGCAGACAGCGTAGAAGGGATCCACGAGCCTAAAGTCCGGGAACCAGATGCGTATATTGTACTTCCATCGCTCATACAACTCAAAGCGATTTCCGATCGATTCACAAGACTAACCGCCACATCCACATCCAACTCTACATCCAAAGCATCACCAAAGCTAGAACTAGCGGCGAATATGCACGGTGGGTTGAAATTGAGGGTTGAGACCGATGCGTTGAATATCGAGAGCGTGTGGACCGGCTTGACGAATCCGGATTTAGATCCGGGGCAGGTGGAAGGGGGGCTGGAGGAGTTGCCCAGTGCGAGGCTCAAGGCTAGGGGCCCGGATGCGTGGGCTAGAGTTAGGATTGATGGGCGGGATTGGGGGAAGGTTCTTAGTGTGGGACGGATGGATGGGAGGGTTATTGCTTGTGAGTAGAACTTGCTTGCAGTCCCTACTTTACCTCCCCTATTATTTCGAGCACCTACTGATTGATTGACTGACGCTTTTGACAGGTTTTGCGGATGAGAATGCGTTGATTCTCTACGTCTATTTGAGCAATTATGATGATGGCGAAGAGCATTCTGTGTTGACTGTATGTATACTTACTTACCAACCATACCATACCCCACCTCCATGTCTCCCTATACTAATATCCCACAGTATTACATCTCTTCTTTCAGTGTTTAATGACGGGCATGAGCATACATATTGCATTCAGCGACGGCGTTGGGGAAATGACAGTTGCCGTATATCGAAAGTTCTCGAGCTTTTCTATAGAAGGAAAGTACTGCTATGTATACATATATACCATAAAAACATCAACAGATCAGATCAGATCAAATCAGCACGTTGAATTACAGGATCCAGTTCCATATATTCCTGCCTTGGGTGTTTCTATGCAAATTTGAAGGAAGGATCTGTTCTTTGGTGCTATGCTACTCTCCAGAACAGGATATGCTCACGGTATAGACATAGTGCACAGGAAAATCCAGCCCTTATCATCATCCATCCATCCATCCATCCAACGATTTCCCAGGACCGGTCTCACTCCAACTCTAACTCTAACTTTAACTCTAATTCTAATTCTGACTCTGACTCCAAACTCTAACGTCCTACCTCTACATCCGTCTAGGACATTTTTTACACTCCATCCATTACATCCACCCAACCGCTTTCTCTCTCCTCTCCTCTCCACCCACACTATACCATACCTACGAGTAGCCTAGGTAGGATGCACCACTTATATTTTAATAAAAAGACAAACTATAAATAGAGAACAACGATAAATAATGGGTCCAAGAATACTTTACGGGATAGAATACAAATCGCAATGCGCTAGTAGCATAGAGTACTGTAGAGTATTGTAGGAGTGAAATGAAACATTGTATTAGATATGTAGTTTGGTGTGATGTGGTGTGACAGGCGTGGGCTAACTGACCACTGACCACTGAACACTTAACCGCTCGGTCTATGTATGCAAAGAGGATCGATCGATCGACCGCTGCAGAAGATTATTCCCAAACGCCAGCGTAACGTAACGCAGAAAAAGAACCCACCACCCCATGTCTGTCTGTCTATTACACAAATTCCAAATATGTACATCTCGAAACCATCCTCATTATATGCGACCGCTTGCCTAAACCATTAATCAAGCGGCTCTGGTTCTCATTCACATCATTACCAAGCCTGTCTAGTTGACTTTTTTCAAGCTCAGCTTTGGTGCCTCTGTGTATTCTCGGTCATCTTCCCCCTCTACATCCTTCACTAGCGCCTCCATCTCCGCGACTTGTCGCGCCCATTCCTTCTCTCCCATCTTCGAGTCCCGTCGGAAGAGCTCATCATTCGGCTTCCGGTAGCTGCCTCCCAATCGATCCCAAAGTGTCGTGTATTGACCGTAGTTGTAATTAAAGTACAAATGATGCATTGTGTGGCATGCAGCACCATTCAGAATGGGGCTGTTGGCGACATATTCTCCGTCGTGGATGAAGACGGTCCAAATTTGCACAAAGGCGAAAAGTGCTAGGTAGGCGAACTTCTGCAGAGGGAAGAAGAAGGGGAAGAAATGGTATGGGAGAGATTGCATCCAGCCGTCGACGGGGTTGAAAGCAATGGCTGCATATGGTGAAGGCATGATCCATTTGTGGTGGGACTTGTGTAGGCGCTTGTACAAGAAGGGGTGGTGTAGAGCTCTGTGGATGAAGTAGACGAACATATCGGTAAAGAGGATAAAGAAGGGGAATTGTAGATAGTTGTAATATTTGAAGGGTTCGTCGGAGAGCGTGTCGTAGAGTTTCGAATGGCCGCGGACTTCGGCGAGGAAGAATGGGACTGTCAGGGCGGACATTGTAGGCATAGATCTGCATGCTTGGGAGATTTCCTGCTTGATTTGGTGCTTGAGGAACTTGGGGTGCTGGAAGGTCGTTTTGTCAAAGACGAATACGTAGGAGAGAGTCGAAACGATGAAGTATATCAATCCACCAGCAAGCCTAGAAAGGGAATTAGTTCAGCGATTAAGGGACTGAAGAGCAAAGACTTACCACATGATCAAGAATAGGGACAAGAACTGTCGGTAGATGTTGTCTCTTGACCATTGGCTCATGTATGCGGCATCCGTGGGTGGGAATGAGAGGAGTTGACTCGCGGGTTGCCACTGCCACGACGAAGCGGCTTTCGCATCAAAAGTCGTAGCATTGCTAAAGCCATCATTCAGATTGTAAGGCGATGGGGCAGCTGGAAGAAGTGCAGAGTATGCATAATCGAAGGCGTAGGTATCGCAAAACTCGAGGGCGATATCCATGGCGGCGATGGGGGGCGCGTGGGCGAAAGTGGTATGTGAGGGTTGACTTGAGAAGGGAGAGAGGGAGTTTTGATAGGGTTTCGCTTTATAAACCTCAAGTGAATGGGTTTATCGACTTGCCTTTGTCCCGTTTGACGAGGAAGATAAGGTGAAGGAGATGTCGTGTTAGGAAGAGCCCAATTCTGGAGGGATATCCAGTCTCTAAGTATTTTTCGGGAAAATCAACCCCCCTGCAAATTGTCGATGGTACCTGCACCAATTAGTCGTAGCTACCTCCGAACACCAATGAAAAGGGTCAATCTGGCACACTCGATCAACCGGCGCATTTGTCAGGCCATCCGGGACTTTCGTTGCCGTTGGAAGGGGAAATCACCAGACTTCTGGAATTGGGTAGCCATTATAATTACTTGAGTTCAACGGTTGATTGGACGGACTATAGGGAAAGGAGGTCACGGAAATAGCGGTGTATTATTGAGATGGCCGAGGGGCTATCAATGCCTCTCACTCATGCCCAACTACATACAGTACAGTACTGTACAGTACTGTACCAAATCCCAAGGCTTAGAATCAGATAAGATCTTGCTGATATGTAGGAACCGTATCCTACGGAAGTAAATCTACTCCGACTCCGTACAGAGTTTTACGGTCGTCTCCACAAAAAGAAGAAGCATCGCCATGGACAGAAATAGCGGTACCAATTGACCGATTGTGCCATCACTGCCATGTGGCGCTGAAAGTCAATCCGTAAGAACAAGTGCCGCTGGTTTAATACTTGGCGCTCTTTTGCGGAGAAGGCCGTAAAACACTATACGGAGGGAGCTAAATACCGACTGAATTATATCTACCACGCATATAGGGGCATTATTCTCCTTAATCCGTACGAGTACAAGTCTCACCATTCTTCTCTTTCTCCTTGTAAGATTACGTTCTCTTGCGCACCCAAATCCGGGGTACATTATAGCACGTGATCGTGACTTATACTCGGTACAACTCTTACCTAATTTCTTCCAAAAGCTTGTGGTAGCTGGAAAAGAGCAGTTCTTGATCCATTTTCTATTACCGAAGAATCCCGTGACTGCCCCTTTTTCATCCTTTTCGTGGGCACACAGCCATATCGCATGCCTAATTACCCTCGGACGAGTACCAGGCCAGGGTTGGGTTTGATCGATTGCGCAAAAGGCAGGCATGCTTGCGGAGCGGAACGGCGATGGCCCCAATCACACTGAGACCGTCCGTACCTACTCCACGACTGGGTGTCGGCCGATCTGGCGCTTCTAGCGGTTGCTTATCTTTACGGAGTACAGTACAGTAGATACGAAGTAAGTTTATATCCTCAAGGAAGATGCTGTCGGTCATCCACGGTTGCTATCAAAATTCGAATAGTTTTGTTTCTCCATGACGATAGCGTAGGTAGGCATGAAGGGTAAACCGGTGAATCATGGGATTCTAGCGGCGGGTGTTCTTTTGCCCAGCCCCAGCCCTAAAAAGGCAACCCTGAATAATGCTTTCTTTCAAGCCTCACCGCTTGTAGCATAGTACCATCCCACATTCCGAGTAGTAAGTACAGTAGTACGGTGGGCTCGGATGTGATAGAGACTTCCTGCATGACCATAGCCACACACCCACAATCCAGTTCCCCCCTCGACCAGGGTAGAGCCGTCAGCCGCTTCAGGGGTTTGTATCTATCAAAAGTGGTGGCGCCCGCCTTAGAATGTTTCTATCTGGCCCAAGCGTCCGTGGATGGGTGATTTGTGAATCAAGAAATGTGGAGATGGGTTAGGTAACTTGCACTTTGGTGAGTTATCCAGTCTGCCTGCCAGCCTAGTTACCTAGGAAGGACATTCAGAACTGCTTCTTCCTTTGCAAAGCCTCATCCCCAAACCTTCTCGGCTTTTCATCTCATCTCCTGATCCACCATCCATCCTCTACCCCATCGCTTCTTCCACGACAACACCAACTTCTCCCCACTGCTCTTTCAATTTCTTCTTCCTTCCATTGTTTACATTTTGCGAACAGCCGCAGGTGCTACTCCTGCTGTACCATCATAATATTTGTTGCGCGCCACGACCAGAAAAGCTGCAAACGCCGTGCTTCCTATCCTTCACCCACCTCACTTGGCGCAACACGGCCGGCGCCGGCACTGCCTAGGTATTCATATTTGACAGGTCTGAACCTTATTGCGATACCTTTCCAAAATCCGAGATATCTTAGGGCTCAATTCCCAACCTCCACTCATTATCGTCTCCCCGCCGCGACCAAATCCTTCATTCGACATGGCCGGCATGTACAACCCTCACCGGGGCTTAGGACCTCCTGCCGCAAACGCTCGATTGAACGAACTGCTGGAAGGTGTTCGCGCCGAGTTTGAAAACCAGTCTCGCGCAAGTGGAGAATATGAGAATTCAAGTAGGTCATCCCGAGACCTGTGGGAGAGAGCTTGGAACGGAACACATCCATATCCAGTCAATGTGATGAAGAACTTTGACTGATTTATCATTTACATCTAGTTCAGCACCAATTACAAGAGATGCAAGTAGTTCGCGAAAAGGTCTATGCTATGGAACAGACACATCTAGCTCTCAAGCAAAAGTAAGCGCTACCACTTATTCCACTACGAATGATACTAATACGCCCAGATATGATGAAGAGATCTCCCGCCTTCACCGCGAACTCGAGGCTCGAGGAGGCAACCCACGTCCTGCTGGTATTGGTGCCCCTCCTCAAAATGCTGGCCCCGCTGGACAAGCGCCACCTTCAATCGGCCATGGACCAAGTAATCTCTTTGGCGGAATAATGGCAGGACAGGGACCAGGAGGACCAGGACTTGCTCCCCCCCCACAAGCAGATCAACATGGCCCCCCACAGCATCAAATGCCCCAACCTGGACCTCCTCCACCCCCTGCTCTTCAAGGTCCCCCACCCCAGCAACAACCCCCCTTCCAAAGTGGTGGCTACCCTCAGCCTTCAAACGGGTACGGATCTCAGGCGCCTCCCAACAACTCTTCTCCTGGTCCCGGTAAAGGTCGCGTGCTCAATCCCCGCGGACCCGGTGGCCCAGCTACGCCTCAGCTAAACCAACCAATGCCTTACCCAGGCCCAAACCCAAGAGCTGCTGCGTCGCCCCAAGTTGGCCACCCAATGCCAACTCAACATCCTCAATTCAGAGTTGGAAATGCTCTTGCCGAGCTAGACCTAGAACGTTTACCTGACCACCAAAAGAAGGTCGAGTCGGATTGGTTTGCCATCTTCAACCCCGAAGTTCCACGAGTTCTTGATGTTGATCTTCTTCATACTCTTCAGCACGAGAGTGTTGTCTGCTGTGTTCGTTTCAGCCACGACGGAAAATACGTTGCGACTGGTTGCAATCGATCTGCCCAGATTTTTGACATCATCACGGGACAGAAGATTTGCATCCTTCAAGACGAATCTGTTGACTCTGTTGGGGATCTTTACATCAGAAGCGTCTGCTTCAGTCCAGATGGAAGATATCTTGCCACTGGAGCTGAAGATAAGTTGATCAGAGTCTGGGATATTGCTTCCAGAACCATCAGGAACACATTTGCCGGCCACGAGCAAGATATCTACTCTTTAGACTTTGCTCGTGACGGTCGAACTATTGCTTCTGGAAGTGGTGATCGTACTGTTCGTCTTTGGGACATTGAGGCTGGACAGAACATTCTCACTCTCAGCATTGAAGATGGTGTTACTACTGTTGCTATCTCTCCTGATACCAAGCTCGTCGCGGCTGGATCTCTCGATAAGAGCGTTCGCGTATGGGATGCAGTCTCAGGTTATCTTGTTGAGCGTCTCGAAGGTCCTGATGGGCACAAAGATTCTGTCTACTCTGTCGCTTTCGCGCCAAATGGAAAGGATCTAGTATCTGGAAGTTTGGACAAGACCATCAAGATGTGGGAGCTTGTGGCCCCCAGGGGAGGTCACCCAAACAATGCACCAAAGGGTGGACGGTGTATCAGAACTTTCGAGGGACACAAGGTATGTTTAAATCTCACAGTCTATGGGTGTTGCTAACATTAAAAAGGACTTTGTTCTCTCTGTTGCTCTCACCCCAGATGGAAACTGGGTTCTTTCCGGCTCCAAGGACCGTGGAGTTCAATTCTGGGATCCAAGAACCGGTAATACTCAACTTATGTTGCAAGGGCACAAGAACAGTGTCATTTCTGTCGCGCCTAGTCCAATTGGTGGATCTTTTGCGACAGGAAGTGGAGATATGCGCGCACGAATCTGGACATACAAGCCATACCAAAGCCCGTGAGTGTAGAATGAACAGATTGGAAATAAGACTGTATGCAAGGAGGGTATGGGTGATATGGCAGGCGTACTTTGGGGGAATGATGGGTTGTGATGACTTGTGCATTTTATGTATTTTTCTTACCTACTTCTCTGTGCTTGGATTCTGGGTTTGGCTCGGAAATAAGGTAGTCGATTCCCATAAAGTAAAAACCGAAATATAAAAGTAAGAACAAATCAGATTTATGAATGGAAGAATTTATTTATATAAACGATGACTTATAGTCTTGGAGCTGTTGCTCATATGAGTGCACCAAGCACCAGAGTGAAGCAGCATCTCGGCAAACCAAGCTCCCAAGCTCCGACCTGACCTCAAAATATCCCACGGCGCAACACAAGTACAAGTCACAATCATCCCATCCGCCCCTCTACAGTACAGTACATTACAGTACACCATTCATTACCATACGTCTACATACCTGCCCGCCTATCTACCTGCAAACCAAGCCTCCACTTCGAAACAAATCCTTCTCTCGGAACTACAAACACTTTAAATAAGCCTACAAATCTTCATATCATACCGTACCCTCGAATCCCTCTACATTCTTTTATCCTCGAATTTGAAATCAGAGCTGGAGTGGAAGTGTAGTAAGACAGTGTAGGTAGGGAAAAAGAGAGCAAGAAAGAGCAGCAGCAAGCAAAAATGTCAACCCCCCCCCTTCGAACAACCCCTCCCCCCCTACAACGCCTCGGACCCCAGCGCTTCCTTCCTCGGCATGTCGTGTCTAGAGCTGCTGATGATTGAGATTGTGCCGATGGCTTGGAGGGTTGTGGGGGATACGAATGGCACGAATAGTGGAGATGGTGGAAATA